TAGCAAAACAAGGCCTAAGCTTGTACTAAGATACATTAGCCTATTCCGCATTCGAGAAGTTAAGGGCTCTTCCGTATAGGCCTATTAGTTATAGCTTCCCCCTTATTATACTATCTACGACACCTTCTGTATATCCCTCCTTAAACTATACTATTAGCGCGAAGGCGATAAAGCGCCTGCTAAGTTAGAAGAAGTCTTAGCCGATAGTAAAGAGCTATAGTCTATAGAGCGTATACTAAAGCATCGGACTAGATAGGGTAAGAAGGAGTACCTCCTAAGATAGCAAAGCTATTCGCCTAAATAGAACTCGTAGGAGGCTAAAGATTCTTTTAAAGATATAACTAAGTTATTAAATAAGTATTAGACTAGTATAAAGAACAAGAAGAAGGCTAAGGGCCTATAATGTCGCCTAGGAATAATACTATCCCCGGGGTACTATTAAGCTAACTAATTAGAGGTACGTAATTGTTAGCAAAGGTAAAACTATACTATTATAGTAAACGCGTACCGAGTCTTAACGAGCGCGCTATAACTATTAACTAATCGCCTACTCTTTTAAGGAATCTACCTCTTTACTAGCGCAACCTATAAGACCCTTCTCTTAGCGCCCCCTCTTATTCGGCGCCCTATCGAGGCCCTAAGGCCTAGTCGGTCGGCGAGGACGGCGTACGCGCGCGTAAAAGGTAATAATAATAATAATAACGGTACCGTGCCTATACTAAAGGGCGGCACGACTAGCGCGGCTATATTAGTAACGGTATTACAGAGTATATCGCTAGTTAAAGCGTTATCGGTTAAAGAAGGAAATTAGAAGTAAGGTAAAGTCGGCGCTAAGACGACTAGCGCCGCTATTATTAACATTACCTACTCGCTACTACTACTAACCTTACTTGCTATTATTACTACGCCGTAGGTACAACCTTACCTATACTACGAGCCTAGAGTACTATACTAACTAAGTTAAAAGATTAAACCTACTAAGGGTTTAATTAAAACTTTAAGCTACTTAAAGGATTAAGCGACTAATAGACTAACTAATAGACTAACTAAGGGCAAAAACTATAGAGCTAAGCTAGCTAGGGTCGATCTTGCGGACAATAGGTTACTCCTTAATCTTTCCGACCCTTTAAGCGAGGCGAACCTTAACTATTACACTTATAATAGCCTTTACTTATAGAAACTAGACGAACTGTGTTTTTTGAAAAGATAAGATAAGATTAACAATTAAAGGCTACGAAACCTAACTAATTAGGGCTAGCGAAGCTACGAACAATAATAGTCCTCGTAATAATAAGAATAAACCCTCGGAAGCGGACAACCCTCGGAAGCGGATATTACTAGGTCTTTTAGAGTAGACGCAAAGAACTCGGAACGATATTACTTAGAGCGGAGGTAGGGCTACAATACCTCGTACGTCTACCTATTATAGTAGGGAAGACGCGCCTGTATTATAATTAGTCGATAGCCCTTAATTCTTATAGCTTTATATCCCTTTACTTTATTATATATAAGGATAGCGCAGTTAGAGTTATATATTATATTGTATTAGAGGTAAGGTCTAATATAGTTATATAATTAGGTAGTTAAGTGTTTAATTTAGCGCGGACTAAACAGCTTATCGGACCTACTAAGTTAGTAGCAATAGAGGTCGAGATTGGAATATAGATAGGCTACGAGGGCGCGGCCTTTAGAAGGGAAGCGTATATTAGGACTAAAGAGGTTATACGCGATTAGTATATAACCGGGCTCGAGTAGAGCTAGGGTCTTAGTGCCTTAGGCAGGGCTTAGTACTTAGTAATAGGCTAACTTGCCTACCTTCCTCCCTCTCCTCCTAGCTCCTTATCGAATACTACTTATACCTACTACTACCCTATCTACCTACTAATATAACCCTTCTTATAGCCTTCGTTATCTATTAGTCTCTCTAGAATCTTACTAAAAAGGAGAATATCCTAGGACGGTAGATTTAACTAGAGCTACGACTATATATTAGTAAATGTTATATATACTATCTTGTTTTATACTATAGTTAATAGTCTACCTCTAGGACCGCTCTATACTAAGAGTATCGCAAGTCTACTAAGGAGTCCTAGCTAATTTAAGAGATATATAACTGCTAGTATACGTATATTAAGACTATAGACGAAGCTAGTACCCGGCTTTCCCTTATATAACCTGTCCTAGACCTATTAAATTATCTCTCCGAAGAAGTAAAAGGTTAGCTTAAAACCTCCGAGCTACTATATTTAGAAGAGTTCGTCTATAAATATAAACTTAACTAGTTAGTTTACTTACTCCTAATAACGAAATCGAGTTATAGTATAAAGCGGTTTAGTAACGAGGGACTATAATCCGCTACTATAAGTATAGGTAAAGTATTTAAAGTAATTATATAAAAGTAAAGTAACGAGGTCGAGATTATACTATAAGTAGTCGAGGCTATAGTAAGAAGTCTTAGGAGTAGGAGAGGTATTATATAGCTCCTTCTCGAGCAAAGAGGAAGCGCCTATAATCTAATAGAATATCCCTATATTATAAACCTTACTATCTTATACCTATTTTAACTACTCTCTTAGTTCTCGAGTAAGAAGGCGCTAATATAACTCTATACTCGCTTTAGTTGCGTTTTATAGATCGATTAACTTAAGATGTAAAACTGTAATATATTTAGAAGAGGGCTAATTACAGAAAGCCTAAAGATGAAGTGTGTACAGTTGCAGCCTCAGGCATCATGCACGTGATAGCCTACACACGCACTTCAAGTAGAGGCTGACTCGGACGACAGCGTGGTCGCCATCATTGTCTCGACGGCATCTCCTTCGGCACGTCCATCCTCAAGGCCATTCCACAGCATCGTCCCATATTCTGAGCATCCTCCCAAGCCCAACAGCGACAAGAAGCGGGGTATCGGAAAGGCCAAGCACGGGAACAAGAAAGTTCCTCGAGCGACCAAGATGAGCTCAGTCGTCTCCGCGCGTTCATATATGTTATCTCGTACCTGGGTGGGACAGTGGACGGTGTATCGCACCCCGCGTGGTGCAACGGCCCGACACCCCTCCTTGGCCCTTGTCAGCCGGACCACTTCCGCACAAGGCTGTGACCGCTATCCGACGATCGGCTCGGAAAGAAAAAACATCGCTACACCCGGCAGCACTCTTCCTACGCCTAGTATCTTTGTTTTCCAGCGCCCTCGAAGTTGAATCCTGAGGCATGTGCCTAGGTCCGTGCACACACGCGGCACCCTATTTAGCGACTTCTCGCTTTTTCCGTAGACACTCAATCAACCATCGAACACACTTCAAGTGGTTATGAGCCCTCGACTGCTTCCGACCTGAGACAAGAAGAACACCCTCCTGTAGAAGCAGGGGGTGCGACCAGGAACAAGAACAAGACCTAACCAAGACCGACAACTGAACAGCTAAGCGCTGCAACTGAACAGCCAAGATGGCCGTTTCCGACTCGACTACTGCGACTGTCGCGACTGGCGGCATTCGCAAACTCACACCTACCAACTATCCCCTCTGGAGCGTCGACATCAAAGCCCTTCTGCGGCGCTCTAAGCTGGCTAAGAAGGACGACAACAAGAACACCGACAAGTAGTACTGCGACTACTGCAAGAAGAAGCATGGTCCAACCTGCTTCAAGAAGAACCCTGAACTGGCGCCTGACTAGTACAACAATCTCAACCAACAAGCCGCCAATTTGGCTATTGCTGTACCAGAGAATGACCCTCGACCTGGTTCAGAGCCAGCAACTAGCAAGAACTGGGCCTTCTGAACCGACTGAACCTGAACCGACTGAACCTGAACCGACTGAACCTGAACCGACTGAACCTGAACCGACTGAACCTGATACGACTGAACCTGACACGACTGAACCACGACTGAACGGCTGCTTTAAGCACCCACCTGCAAGAAGCAGGGGGTGTCGTGGCTACTGACTGAACCGCAATTAACACTTAAACCTGCTGGATGCAGGGGGTGCGGCGGACTGACTAAATGGCCATCTAAGGGCAAGATGCCTGGGCTACTGACTGACTGAACAACCATCTAAGGGCAAGAAGCCTGGGTTGCTGAAACCGAACAACTATGTAAGGGCAAGAAGCCTGGGCTATTGACTGACTAAATGGCCATTGTAAGGGCAAGAAGCCTGGGCTATTGACTGATACCTCTTTGTTTGATTTGAGCGACTTTGTATTCACCAACGTGCCTTGCATATGCACGAGGGGGTGAGTTGAATCCTGAGGCATATACCTAGGTCCGTGCACACACGCGGCACCCTATTTAGCGACTTCTCGCTTTTTCCGTAGACACTCAATCAACCATCGAACACACTTCAAGTCTCGAGCCTCGACGAAGGGAGGTGATGGGTGACGGGCAAGCAACGTTGATTCTGTCGCTGTCCTCAGAGGCGGTGAGTATGTTAGAGGCTTGTGCGGGACCAGATTCCGGTTTATTGGGACAAGATTCTGATTTAGTTAGTGGGGGAAAGCATGCTCCTCTTCAGATTGAGACTGTCTCGCGATTGCTATTATGCTTATCCGTATGGCGCGAGCGTAGCCCCAGATGTGCTCATAGCAGGGCTGCCATTGCGAATTCAATAATATGCGAAACCATAAGCTCACTCCATGCTCTTATCAGTCGAATCACAGGATCTGAACTTCACGAGATATCATCACACGAACGACATGCGTCACAGGCACAACGCATGTGAAGAAGCCCTGCAAGACGCTAGACTCCGCATTTGCGATGAAATAACTTCAGCACATCCTTGAGCGATGCTATACACTTCATCATTCGGACAGGCCTTCTGTACCCCATGCCCGGAACCCATCCGGTTGCGTAGGACACTCATCCGAGTTTGTGCCCACTCAACATGTCATAGAAGGGCTCCATGCCCTCCCAATATTCTAATCTCTCCTGAGCATTCAACCTTTTCTGAACGATCCCGAGCGCTTGCTTGAGCACTTTGGCCCTGATTGCACACACAGAATCATCACCATGGCAGGAGAGAAGGAGATCCAGACCGATGGCTTTGCTCGTCTTGAGACGGCCCAGAGTGTGGTCACTATTCCTCCCGACGTTTTCGAGAAGCTTTACCTCCAGCCTCAAATGCCTGTCAAGGGCGAACTTCGAAAGACATTCGCCAATCCAACTCCAGTGTAAGTCTTCCACGAGATATTCGCTCGCGAGATATGCTAAGGGAAATAGGGCGGTTGCCGGCTTCTTGCTCAGTGTGACACCTCTGTCTACCAACCTTCTTGGATGGCGAGGCTCTGGCGGATTTGGTGCTGCTAGCACGTAAGTCGCCGACTCGTATCAAGCGTAGGTGTGGAACACCCGGTACTGACCAGCCCTTCTAGTGGATCCTATTTTTTCTGCGGTGGTATGCTCATGGTTCTGGGTGGCGTCGGCGAGTACTTCCTCGGCAACACCTTTCCAATGGTAAGTTGACGATGCCACTTATCATGTCATGATACTGATCAGCCTTAGGTCGTCTTCCTCACCCTCGGCTCTTTCTTCCTGACGTTCGGTTCAACCCTAGTCCCTGACTATGGAGCCTACGCAGCCTACGCCACAGACCCGACCAAGCCTGCCTCTGGCCTTCAAAGCCCAGTCTTCTTCTCATCCTATGCCTTCTTCCTGCTCGGCTTCGCCATCCTAACCTTCATTTTCTGCATAGCAGCCGTTCGAACCAATGCATTGTATCTGGCTCTCATGATCCTCCTGGTCCCGACATTCGCGTGTCTGGCTGCTGCTTTCTGGAAATATGCCGAAGGCGATATGAGTGCTGGACTAAGGCTGCAACATGCAGGTGGTGGATTGGCCTTTGCCCTCGCGCTAGGTGGCTGGTACCTATTTGCTGCAATGATACTTGCTTCGGTGGACTTCCCAGTGACATTACCCCTGTTCGACTTATCTACGATTGTGCCTGGAGCTTCGGATCTGGCCAGGGCAAAAGTAAAGGGCTCACCAGTCTGAGCTTGTTTCCGTACTACGAGGCAGAAGAAATGACATGAAGTGTAATGGGAAGGTAATTTAACTACTGTTGAGGATATTTAATTGGACGAGAAATATGATTGATGAAAGGAAACGAGGAGTAACGAATTCGAAAAACTAAAATGAGATACATATCATGTACAGAATGAACGACGTGAAATTTCACACACCGGTCCATGCCATTTAATCTAAATCGTACACCGTCTGCCACCAAGCCACGATGTCGAAGCCAGCAACATCTATTGCTTCGATCTGACGAGACCAGATGCCCGCATACTCCGAGCAGTCACTACTTAACGAGTCCGTGGAGTAGACCGATGAAGAACGGCGCTTCTCGAGAGGACGAACATGCTCGACCGGCAGCTTCTCATCGCTCTCTGCTTTCGACGAACTAGCAGAAATCGGCTTTAGCTCGACATCATCGTCATGCTTTTTCTCGACAACATTCGTATGCGTGCTCGGCTGATCCTCTACATCCCTCACATGGTGTTCCGTCTTGTTCCTGGTAAATTTGAGTTTCAGCCTCAAACGGAATTTGTATAGGATTGTACCTGCGGTGATCAGCAGAATGACCACCACGATGGATGTGATGCCTGCGGTGACGGCTGTGCGATCTAGCGGAGGGCCAGATTTTGAGACTGCTGGTGTACTGCTGATGCTGGGTGTTGGTGAACTGCTAGTAGTAGATAATACAGCTGTGTGCAAAGTTGTGCTATCTTTCGATGAAGATGCTATGGTGGTGGAAGTGCTCGGTGTAGAGTTATGCCGCGTTGTTCTCGACGATATGCTTCTGGATGAAAGTGTACTTCTCGGGACAGGGAGTCTTGTTGATGACGTGATCTTGAAGTATGAAGACCGTTTGGTCGATGAGAGCCTGGTCGATGAGTGTGCTGCGGTTGTAGAAGATGTGGTATAGCGGGATCTCGTCGCTGTTACCACGAGTGTGACTGGATCAACAGTCGACGGCGCAGTTGGCTTGGGCTTGCGGGTGACTACACTCGTCAGTAATTCTGTAGTAACAGCTACCGAAGGCGTCAGGATGATAGAACTGACTGCCATCTTGATGCAATGCTTCAAAGTCTTGCCTGCAAGACTAAGTAGGGTGATTACCTTGAGCTTTAGAGGAGGATATCGCTTGGATGTTGTTCCGTCCCTGCCAGTGACAAAGCAATGATCCAAACCGCGATGTTCTCTCTGGGCCTCATACCCTCCGGTTCTGATGTTGCGCGGAATATATGTTAGCCACTTGCAGCGAAACAATGTATTGTATCCAATACAAAGGCCACAAAGAAAGCTGATGCATGTATCAAATCCAGACAGTGAACAAAGACCGCCGTGTTCTTTCAAATTACTAATTTTGGCCATCCGTGGCTATGAGGGCAGAGGTTGGTGCTGAGTACGCCGTGAAAGTGAATGCTTTCGCCAAAGCCATGCCAAGCTTTGCATGTGCCTAAGGTTAGCGCCTCGAGACCAACTACTGACCTTCTCGCGCTGCAAACACAGCTTGTACATCGCACCACAGTCTGCAAAAGTCAGACATCCGCCAACATGGCGACGCCAACACACACGACGCCCTCGGCAATGACCACTCCAAGGAACGCCGCGACCCGAGTCTTCGGCATCAGCGAACTGCTTGAAGTCATCCTCGACCATGTCAGAGCCAACGCGCCGCCTAAGACTTTCTTCAACGGCCACCACTTCCAAAACGCTCCATCTAAGGCGCTCATAAAGTTGACTGGAGTCAACCACACCTTCAAAGCTTGCATTGAGCAGTCCATAATCCTGCAGAAGCACACCTGGCTCGGCGAAGCCGATTGCATCGTATCGAATCCAACTTGCCTCTCAATCCCAGCTGTGTTGGTCGACCGCAAGCGCCAGACGACGGTCACTCAAGCAGCACACATCGCACCACTTCTCTGGTTCGTGAGTCGCCAGCTAGGCTGTCCGCTCACCAGGCTCGATTTCGACAATATCACCAAGACCTTCCTCATGCACTTCAACTTCGATACTTCCAGCAACTGCAGCACCGTGGAGTGGGACCACTCTTTCTCGTGGGAGAACATGCGCGGTGTTCGTGGTCCACCAGGCATCAAGATCTTCATGGTCATCACCGTCATCTTTGACAACAAGGGCAAATCCGAGAGCTACATGAAGGGATTCGAGCTTCTTTGTATGGACGCTTACCTCGGGGAATTCCTTCAGAAGATGCGTGAGATTCACCGGTATGGTTGGTCGGAGCACCTGGCGATGCGCGATTTGGACATCATGTCGGCTGAGCGAGCAGCAACTAGGCGAGTAGACAGTACTCTGCTGCTGCGAGCTGCTCTCGAAGGCGGATGGAGGCTGAATGAAGTGGACCGCATCAGTGAGCGCGAGGGCTTTGTGATTTGGTAGAAGAGGCAAGCGGACGACGAGTGATCCCGCTGGATGCATGAGCAATCTCTACAATCCAATGCTTGCTGTGGGCATGAGATCAAGAGTGCTGAGACCTATTGTCGGCCGTGTAATCGAGGATGAGAAGTGATTGTCGGTAGATCGCATCAAACTCTTGGCCGTCTAGCTCTTCCATCAAGAACCCATCGAGGCTGGAGGGTCCAATGTGTCTAATCCTGTGCTCAGCTTTGCAGTCGAGAGTGGGAAGTGAAGCCTGATGGATCGAACGTATGCTTTCCTGTCCAGCTCTTTGGCTCGACGTCAATGGTGATAGTAGGATCAGATGTGTTCAATGCCATTCACAGCGTTGTGAGCGAGAGCGAGAGGTGAGTGTAGACGGATCACAACCATCTCGCCCTCTGCAGCTCCCCTTCTCAACTTCAACTATGGTTGTATCGTTTACGCAGGCAGTTCTGTGCTCAGCTTTGCGATTGAGCGTGCTGCGCTTTCCTGGTTTGCTCAGGGAGCTGGAAGGGGCATGGATGCTGCACAAGGGTATCTGTACAAGTCGTCTGGGTATTTACCATCCTCTTACGGCGGTCCACTGACTTCCTGAACACTAACACTGTTCTGCCCTCTCAAATCTCCATTTAAACTCAGTCCCGGCCCATTGGTGGAGCTCAGTACGACCTCATGTATATCCTTCGGCGTCTTATCCGCAACGCCTGTTATATCCTTCTTCACGTTCTCGATGAAAGCTCGAATGTTTTTCTGCATCTGCTCTGGCGTGAAACCAAGCTGGCCAATGCTTAATCTTACTGTCCCCATCCTCTCTCTGTATTCGCTGCCGCCAACCATATCCCGTACGGTTGATGCCACGTCTTTCACCACCGTACCCAGCTTCGCACTTGGCATGAGACCTCGCGGACCAAGGATTCGTGCTACGCCAGCCTTGCCCAGCTTTGGGAGAGAGTCGGCGTGGCAGATGCATCTGTCAAAATCGATCTTGCCTTCTTTGACTGCCTCAAATACCGTCTCTTCACCAACCAAATGCGCTCCTGCTTCGTGTGCAGCTTTGCCAGCGGGCGAGTCAGGATTGGCTATGACGCAAATCCTGAGATCGGTTTTGACAGGATGCGGGAGTCGTAGGCGATTCCGTACTACTGCGCCGTTCTTGGGGGTCTTGAGTCGAAGGTGAATTTCGTATTTTGATGATGTAGGGTTTCGACCGACTTCTGCAGCGCGGAGGTATCTGCATTGCAGTTAGCATAGACTCCAAGGTAAGTGTAGTCATACAGCCCATACCGCATAGCGTCCACCAAAGAGAATTGGATGGCATTTTTCAGATCTGGCACACGATAATTGCTACTCGATTTCTTTTTCCGCCGAGAGGCTGGCACATCTTTTCGCTTATATTTGGCAGCATTGGCCGACTGTACTGCGGTCCGGACTTGCGTTTGGCTTTGGATAGGGAGCAAGAACGATGGGAGGATGGTCGGACCGATGCGTGACTGCGAGGTTGATGCGCGTGGTATCGAAGACAGGCAGGAAGGGCAGTATCGTGAAGCGGAGGCCATGGTGGAGTGACAGCGTTGAAGGGAGGTCGAGGTCGATGGTATGCTGTGGCTGTGGCGGTGGTTGTAGGCGCGGTGGTGAATCGTGATGGTGAAAGATGCGGGAGCGGAGGACCGAAGCTCGGCCGAGAGGTAAAGTACCGTACCGTAGAATACACAGTTGTCGCTTCCTCCACATGCAGTACACGCGCTGTATCCTCGTCGACGCCTCTCGACATCTCGCGTCGCGTCGCGTCGCGTCGCCTCCCGAATGTCCATTCGCATTATTGTCTTGGCGTTCACATGCTGTATATATGAGTGTCATTGAGTGGCCAGCAGCCTCAGCTCCGTCCAAACTCAACCCTCCGGCCGATCCAATGAAATGAACACGTGTGCCTGTGTCTATGCATACCGCTGCGCTGCAGACATGGGCGATGCGATGATTGCCATTGGCAATTTGGAATGTCACGCCGCCAGGATGCCTCATGGCAGTGTCCACTCGTTGCCCGTAAGCGGCGAAGTCGTTCGGCGTCTGCAGCATTCCTGAACTGCTCATTCACTGCCACGGCGCCAGGGCCGATGTCAACTATCGATGTGATGAGTGCCGACACGCGTGCGAGCGCCAGGAATACTTCGATTCACATCACGCCCGAGACGACCGGGCGTAGCGTTGGCCCGTTGGCTGTTGGCTGTTGGCTGGTAGGTACCATGCTACATCTATCTCCTTCAAACGCCCAGAGAACTGCTACCCACGAGCCTCTGCGCATCTCGACGCCGCCCGCCTTTCTCGACGACGCAGCTCGCGACACCGAACCGTCAAGCGTGCCTACCAAACGAGGCAGTGTGAGGCCTGCAGGCAGATGCTTCTCGTGTGACTTGGACAAGGCCTTAGCCATATCCGCCGCCGACATCGATCGATTCAGAGATGGCGCTTCAACCGCTCTCCGTTGGAGATATCTTGATGCTAAGTCAGACCGCTTGGAAGATTGGTAGAGCTTTCACACATCGCAAGAAGAGTGCGCCATCTGAGTTCACCGGGGTCGAGCGAGAAGCAAATGGACTGAGTGAGGCCCTCAAGCTGCTTGCCGAAGCTCTGCACGAAGATGGGAGCATCTTATACCATGCCAACGACCCTACGAAATCTGCCGTCAACACCATTCTCGGCAGCGCTCACAAAACGCTTGACGACCTCGAAGGCTTCGTCGATCGATATCAGGTCATCAGGAAGAAGGAGACGGGAGACGGCTTCGTAGTAGAGCGAAGTTGGAGCGAAGTGGTTCTGGCCAACTATCGAACATTCAAATGGACGACAGAAGGAGGAGATATCGCCGACTTGCGGAATATGCTCGCAATGCACACCAATTCAATCAATTTGACCATGCAAGCGTTGCAGTCTCGCTCATTGTCGAGATTGGAGAGGACAGTCATGCCAATGTCGGAGAACATCGCGAGCATTCACGATCGGGTCAATGGCGACCTTGGCGTGAAGATTAACGACCTGCACCAGATCATCATGGGTATCGCTAATGGCACTCCTTCATTGATCGCTAGAGACAGGCAGATCGGGTCAGGAAGTGTCAGGGACAGCTCAAGCACAGTATCGACACTCGAAAAGTCGCTAATGCTGCCGGAGCAGGACCAGAAATTGTTGGAGCCACCTCCACGATCATCGAGCTTTATGCCCCCACGCCAGAAATCCTACCCGCGTGGATCCGGAAATGCGACGAAGGTTGCCGCTTACACGACGGGAACTGCCAGTGTGAGGTCAGACGGAGAGGATTCAGCTTCCTATAGTGCAGAATATCCACAACATGGTCATGCTGAACATCAGCGGCGTGCCATGGACTGGGGCTTTGAGACCGGCTCGCCGATGGTGGCGCGAGGCAGTATCGCTGATGACAACGATGCACAGTTCGGAGCGTCACCGAACGACAGCGCGTATGGTTCGTTGTCTCGCAAAAGTTCGATGCGGAGGGAGTCGGCGACATTGCCTGCGCTGTTCAAAGCTGTCGAAGATGAGTACAATGCTGCAACTGCTGGAAGTAGTCGAAATGTGGAGCAGCGAGACCATTCGCCAGGGCATTCACCCAAAAGTTTCAAAACGGGTAAAGTGAAGAGGCTGTCGTGGCGCGCGTCTTGCAGTCCAGCACTCCTACCACCTCCTGCGATACCAACGAACGACAATGATGGCCACGACTCACCAGCAACGCCAGCGTCCATATTCTCAAACTTGCAACGGACTAAGAGCAATATTGACGAACGACCACAAACCGCCAAGTCTGCCACGAAGTCGATACACCGGCAGACCATAGGATCGCGATCCGTAGGCACGAACGAAGGTCCGAAGTTTGAAAAGCAACTGTTTCGCAACGCTGCCATCCTGTGCGACGTCCGGGGCAAGCTTGTGGAGTATGCTCACTTCAACTCCGAGCAGCCTGATCCACGGTATCAGGTAGAGATGCTGGAGGCATGTAAAGAGGCCAGAGTAGTCGTGATCCGAAAACGAGAGAACCGAGAGCACGGCGGCACGAAGGTCGTCACATCAATCTGGTGTATATCGGATGACGGCGAGGTACGACTTCAGCAGAAGCTGTCAGAGACTGGGGAGACAGTCCCATACTGCTCCTACTTCGAATCAGAAAAGGTCTCTCTGCAACCAGACGATCCGAAAGAGGACATTGCGCTCAAGTTCCACTCCGAAGAATGGGGACATATGCTGAAAGAGGAGAAGAAGACGAATTGGGTCAATTACTACTTTGTGTCTGAGAAGGATGCCGTTGCGTTCCAGTCTGCCATTTACGGGCGCATGCTGATGGGAAGCTATCGTACGACCAAGACAATTGTGCTTCACGAAGGCCTCAAAGGCGCATTCGCCTTCGAAGAACAGTTCGCCAACATCGAATGCTCCGACTTTGGGAAGATGATGGCGTGTCCACTCCAGGCGCTGCGGGCGGTGTCCTGGCGCTAATGCATATCAGCTCGAACTTCGGAGAAGGCTGGGCGAGATGGTGGATGAATAATAGCAAGCAGCAGGTGAAGATCAAAGAGGACGGAGCAAAGTATGCCAAAGTCAAGGGTCTTGATGTGAAAGTCGTGAAGCCCGGCACGACTGCGGCCCAGATCGAGCGCACAAGAGTAGCGTCATTCGCCGGTGAAGAGGTCGCCAAGATCCAGGCTGCGACCAAAAAGAGTTCAACACTAAAGCAGGTTGGAGGCATCAGGATCGAATTCAAGTCCGAAGAGGAGCGTAATGCATTCGTGAGCATGGCGAAGAAATGCCAGGAGAATCTCATACCATTACCTGAACTATGATGATGATGAGGAGGAGGATGACTTAATGATATGTTTCCACCACATGATACCATTTCGCGAAGGACTCAGGACGCGACACTACAGCGCGCTCATATGACACGAGACAGTAGAAGAAGGGAAACTGTACAAAACACCCTCTCCTCACAAAACATCCCCATCAATCACTCCGCCCTCCACTCCACCTCCCTAACCTGCACAGGCATCCCCTCCCTGGGCTTCGCCGCCCCAACCAAAATCTGATACAACTCCTCCCCCTCAACATCCTGCCTCCCCATCCGAAACGTCTGATCTCTCGCATAGAAACTCCCATCCTTCCCCACAACCTCTAACCCTTCTCTATCCAACCTGACATCAAACTCAAAAGACCGACAAATCAAAGCCAAAATAATCTTTGTTTCTAAAATCGCCAAGTTCTGGCCTAAACAGCTTCGAGCACCGATTTCGAAAGATCGAAAGGCGCCTTCGGGGATTTTGTGGGCGTTTTCCGGGAGGAACCGGTCGGGACGGAAGGTGTTGTAGTCTTCGCCCCAGACTTCCGGGTTGTGGCCTAGACCGTAATGGATGAGCCAGATCATGTAGCCTTCTGTTGGGTATTTCGCTCCGGTTTTCTTGTCGTGTAAGAAGAGACCTTTTTGGCCGTTTCGGGGTGCGGAGGCTGCGGGGAAGAGACGGAGGACTTCTTTGATGACGCAGGTGGTGTATTCGAGTTTGTTGAGGGAGTAGGGGTCGGATTTTATGTTGGAAGCTGTTTGGGATATGGGGCCAAGGATATTTTCGTGTTCGAGGCGGAGACGTTGGAGGACCTCGGGGTGTTTGCCGAGCATGTACATGGCGTAGCAGATTGTGCTGGAGGTTGTGTCGTGGCCCGCAAAGAGGCAGATTCGGATTTGGGTTATGGCTCCTTCTTTGAAGGTTTTGTCGAGGGCTTTGGGTTTGGTGCCGATGCCTTTTTCTGGATGCGTGTTGGAGGAGAGGTAGCTGTCTAATGCCAAGTCGAGCACGGTCTTGCGTCGTTGCTTTTTGATTGTTGCGATGTCTTTGGATGCAAATTCTTCGTCGATAAGTTTGCCAAGATATTGTTTCATGAACCTGTCGTTCTTCCATCGACGATAGATGCCATATGGTCGCCACATTTGGAGGGGATGCATTCCCTGATCTTCGTTGGGTAAGAGGTGGACCTGTTCTCGAAGTGCTTGAATGAATTCGTTATCACCGCGTTGCATGTTGAAGTGTAGATCAAGCACTACTTTGCCAATGATGTCGATGGTAAGTCGCGTGGACGCTTCTTCCAAGCGGAAGATTTGTTTCGTTTTGGCCCTTTCCGATAATATGTCGCAGTAAGTGAGACAGTCGTCGACTATGCCAGGTACCAGAGTCGTGAGATGCTGTGTGCTGAATCCGGGATTGAACATTGATCTCCATTTCTTCCACTTCGCTCCATCAATCGAGAGCATGTCATCTTTGCCACACAGAGGTTCGAGGAATGTTCTCAGACTTGGGTGTTTCAGCGGCTGATGTTCCACACTGAATTGTTGACAGATGTCCGGATCCATGACAGCAATGAACGGGTCGCTCATCGGCCACACGTCGACATAGAAGAAAGAAGCCAGTCGATGTTTTCTCCTGACCAGCGCTGGAAATACTGCAAGAATCATCAGCGAGTTGAACGAATGAATTATGGGGGTGATATTGGCTGACCGTGAGGATGGACACGACGAGGCAATGCCATTGCTACCTCGGCCATTACTTTCAAATTTCCAAGAATCCATGAGTGCGGCGGTCCAGGCTATTCGTGTTAGCTGGAGGTGCCCAGATCATAGGGAATTAAAGTCACGTACCAATGCCCTGTGTCTCTTGCGAATTTGATAGCCGATATAGAAGAAGCGGCCTAAGTAGGCAAGTATGATGGCGCAAATGGCCGTAAGCACCAGCCTTATGTGTAGCTGCGGCATCGTGCACGACGTTGGTTCAGAGTTGGCGTCCGGATGCTTGCTCGTCCAAAGCTGATTTACTTATTGAAAGCCGTTGGTTCTTAGCCGAGTCTTTGCCCTGCCCTGCCCTGGTTCAGCTCCTCCTGCACGGGAAGGGAAGCCATGTCAACTTTTGGATTTGCAGTCCAATTCTGAAAGAGGGAGATGGAGATTCTCTACTGAGAAACGTGTGAGGTTTATCATACTGCCATATACCGTTGGCCGCTCCGCATGCCGTCATTTGCGCCAGCCGATGGCTCGTAACGTTATTCTACTACTTGTGCATTGCCAAGATGTATTCTATGAAGCCTGATAGATATATCTGAGATGAATACGCTTCACTGAACCGCCCAAACTCGTACGTTTGAGACTTTTGCAGAGTAGGCTGGCCAGTCCAGGTCAACATGTGAGGCTGAGACGGTCGTCGTGACATTGGTTCGGGAGTCACCCCCTTGGTGACCAACCATGAAAAAGACGCCCCTCGAAGAGTCAGTATTGCATCGCCCTTTGAGATCAGCAGCGCCCGTATTGTACGTCGTGATTCCACTTTTCTCTTGGACATTTGAGGCTTGCATGGCCTTTGCCGTGGCACTGCAATGATACAGTCACCCGTGCGAGTGCGCAGCCTGATGCGGCGAGAATTGAGATTGAGCGCCGCCGCCTTCCACGCCAGGCTGAACAGTGGTCAACAGGTGGCCAAGAGCAGGCAGGGGCAGTGTCAAGCTGCGTTCAACGGCTCCGTCGTACGCCCGTCTGTGCGATCAGTGGGAAGTCCACACCGACAAGGAAAGCATTCTGCCATCATTTTGAGCCAGTCTTCTTTGCGTCTCGAACAGAGCCTTCTCTTATCGGCTCAAAGCCTCCTCTCCTCTCATTCGCCAATGCATATTCTCTCGGGGACACCGTGTGTTTAGATGCAGCTCGAAGCACATCGGTCGCTCGAGGTCGGGAAATCGTTGTATCCTTGAGAAGCTGCCGAGGTCTTGCTGCAGGTGGCCCTGGCCTTGAACGCTTCTGCACGCCAATGTCTGCGCTTACGCTTACAATGCCGGCGTTCTTTGAAGCAATGATCTGATGTCAGTTTTGAGCATTCCAGGTTGTAGAATGCGAGGATGGAAGGCCAATGGAAGCTGTTTTGCGCATTCCACCGCGATTTGGTGCCCCAATAAATATGTCAATGAAATATTGCTCAGCTACATTTGACTAGGCCAAGGTAGAGCTCCAAAACAGCGCAAGGTAACTAACAAGGTCTGTGATAGAACCTCCGTAACGACATCGGAGACAGCACTTTTCTTCCCAGGCATCACATCGCAATGTTTAGGACGATCCGGGTAGCTTTACCTGCCCGGCCTACCCGGTCTTACTTCCGGACGGCGTCTCGAAGAGCCCAAACGAATCAATCCACCGCCTGTTCTTCCAAAGAAGCATCACGAATAACACGAATCGAGTCCCGAACACCACGCTTCCTCCGCAAGTACCTCACTCCCCTACGCAATGCGCCCATCTCCCACATCTCGGCATTCCTGATCCTTCACGAAATCACTGCCATCGTACCCCTCTTCGCCCTGACTGCCGCCTTTCACTACACCAACTGGCTCCCACCTTTCACGGAATGGAAGTGGTTCAGCGATGGAATGACCAAGTTCGGCAGCTATCTGCGCAAGAAGCGATGGATCGGAGATGATAATGGTCGCGGAAGTTGGTTTGGAAATGGGGAAAATGCATCGCGCATTGTCGTGGAAATGGCGACAGCCTACGCTCTTACCAAGGCACTGCTACCATTGAGACTCGTCTTGAGTGTCTTGGCCACGCCGTGGTTCGCCAGATGGACTGTACTACCTATCACGAATCGCATCTCGAAGCTGTTCAGGCGCAGCAAAGCCACACCATTGAAAGATACAAATGCTGCAGGAACCGGCGCGACCGCTGCTGGCGTTGTGCCAAAGAAGCCGATTTGATATATTCTACGCTCATGGGCCAACTATTTGATGTATTGGCCAGCGGCAATTCTTCCCTCAATGCTGTGAATATCATCCTTGCGTTGCCGTGGATCACGAGGCGTATGGACCATTGACCGCCTACCCCAGATCACACGAAGACAAGGATCACAAATTTGACTCGAAGCAATACTATCTGCGAGGGGCGCCGAAGACACAGGGCGAAGACGCAACATGCGACCCAAATCCTTTGTGGTCATGAGCCGTTTGGACGACTTGAGGCCAGGTCGAGCATTGCATTCTCGGTCCTTTCTACTCTCCGCTACCGATTCGCATATCCATATTCAAGCGATGCCAGGTCACTTTCCTGATGGCACGCAAGGAACCCATAGTCCTGCACCGCCTCCATATCAGGGCCAGAACTCCCAATCACTCGAGAGTCAAGAGAAGTCAGATGGTTGGCAGGTTGGAGCCCATGCTTCGAATTCGCATTCCGTGGCGGAGAATGGGGCGATTGCTGCTTTGACGGATGGGAGGAGTACGGATATGATTTTTTTTTGCCAGCAGAAAGGTGGGAGGACGGTGATGACGACTTTTAGTGGGGATAGTTTTGGGGATTTTGTGGGGGATGAGAAGAATTTGAATTCTGCGAATTTTGGGTACGGGATTGCGGCGGCGTGGGATGGGAATCATGGTGGGGCGGTGGTGAATCAGAATTCGTCGAGTGCGGAGGAATTGCTGTTTAGTAGTGTTGCGACGAATGGGCAGACGCAGAATTGGAGTACGAATACGGGGAGTGATTGATGAGGGGGAGTGGGTTCTTTTTGAGCTTCAGCGCGGCGTTCTGCATATTGCGTAGGTTTCAGATCAACAGATATGGTTCGGTCATTATTTGTACAGAACTCATTGAGCCATTACCATCACCTTTCCTTCACCGCCCTCAATCTCAACCCTCGAACCAACTTCCATCTTCCCTCCACTACTAGCAACCACTTTCCCACCACCTGCTCCTCCATCCAACTCCGGCAAAACAAGCACCCCCTTCGTCCCCACCGGCGTACTCCAAGCAAGACTATAGCCATCCTCCGTCAAATTCCACCCGGCCCAAAACTTCCCCAACTTGGTCACAAACCCACCCTCCACACTCCTCAAGTCCCCAAACTGAGGCTTCAACATCCACCTCTCACCCACCGGCCCCGTAACGCTCAACCCCAAAACATAATTCGTAAGCGCACTCGTCGGCCCAGAACTCCAACCATGCGCATGACTGGTATAACTCGCATCATAAGCATAACCGCGATAATTCCTATACGCGAAACTCCCATTTGTTAAGAAGCCTTCTATGACGGTGGATTGCGTTCCGTTGGGGTGATTGAGATACCAGCCCCAGCAACGACGGATGAGTTCTAGTGCACGAGCCGTTTCGCCGATTTCGAAGTGTCCTTGGATTTCGAAGGAGGAGATGAAGGGGGAGATGTGATGGGGGAGTTCGGGGGCTTCGGCGCCACGTTTTTGCCAGCGGGTTGTGAGGCGGTTGGAGATTGAGGTTGCGAAGGTGGTGTTTGGGGAGACGAGGTTCCATAGGAGGGCCATGCTGTTTGCGTCTTGGGGGAAGAGGGTGGTGTCTGTGGTGGTGTTGTCGCGGAACATGAGGTAGCTGCCGTCGAAGAGGTGGGAGAAGATGTTGGACTTTAAGGTTGAGGCTTGAGAGGTCCATTTGCTGCTTAGATGGGGTTTGTTCAGCCAGGAAGCGAGGTCGGCGCCGGTTAAAAGGGTTTTGTAGAGGATCATATTGGGTTCGCTGCCGTTACCACTGGTGGACTGTCGGGCCCAGTCTCGTGTGCCTGTTACGTTGAGCAGGCCTAGAGGTTGCAGTACCTTGCCGTAGATGTAGTCCATGGCTCGTTGGTAGCTCGCCCAGTTGCTCTCAAGCCAGGCTGTGTCGTTGGTGTAGAGTACATAATGGTATGTACCAATCATCGTCCAGCAATGGTAGGTATCACTGTTCAGTTGCAATAACGGTGGGCCGGATTCTGGAAAAGCACCAAGCTCGTTCTGGTTGTCATACATAACCTGCAGCGCATTGCGAACGCTTTCGAGATCATCTCCAATCGAGTAGAAAGCTGAAGGTACTGCGATGCCCATGTCTCCCGGCCATACGGCTCGATCTCGTTTGGCGCCATCGACGATGACCGTCGTGCCATTCGACAGAGTGCCATTATTTGCCCAGCCAGATTTCAGACCTCTTCCGGCTACAATCCAGCGTCCAGTATTGGTTGGAACGTAATTGGTCTGCAGAGTGTAGGCGCCACTATACCAGATCTTGTTGAGCATCTCATCACTGCAATGGAAATATCCCTGGTAGGCTCGAAGGTTCGACCATGTCGGTTGGAAGGCAATCTCTAGAGAAATGTCCTCGAGCGTGAGAGCAGTTGTTCCATTCGTTTCGTTCGTAGCCAGGAAGAGCGTGAGATACCTGAAGCCGCCACGCAGATGTGGCAGGGACATTTGGTAGGAGTGTTCGCCATCGGACGCAAAATCATCATACAGAGCTCCATCATCGCAGGCCCGATCTCCGACACCTCTCGAGAAAGCACCATTACTTGAGTCACTGGCTAGACCAACCCATTCGCTTGATTCTGAGAATGCCAGTCCGAGTGCTCCGGCACCTCCCGAAGTTGAATACTTGACGGTCACAATGCCACCAACTTCCTTCCCGAAATCGTAGACGTACGCTGAGCCGTTGCTCGCGAGCGTCACAGTCGCCGGGTAGGAAGAAAGCTTTTCCAGACCCGGATAGCTCAGCAAGGTCGTTGGCGCTACAGTCCTTGATGAAGGCGCATATATATTCTTTTCCCAAGGTCCTGGAAACGCAGTCTCATTCGGTCCGGAGCATTCGGTGTCTCGCCAACATGACTGCGCTGCTGTCACGGTGAGTAGCACACTGAGTGGGATGAGCAGCGTCCGCAGCATGTCATGTCATGGGAAGAGAGACGGAGCGATGCCGTCTACAGATACCTGGTCTATATATGTACCTCGCATGGCTGTCCATGTCTCGCGGCAAATTACGCCGAGCGAAGGTTGGGAGTTACCGTAGAGTGGGGCGCGACTATTCGTAAATCAGCTCCGGCTATTCATAAATCAACGGACCTAGGGCCGCTCCGGTCTCGGTGAGACCATATTGTTAGTAATCCACATAGAACAACATCGCATAAAGACTTGTAATGCCTATGCTAGCTGTTTAGTAGAATAATAACGTAGGAAAGAAGAATTAAGTAAATTAAGTAAATAATAGACGTAGAATTCCGATTCTAAATTCGACACTATAGCTAATCCTAACTGTTCTAGGCATACTGCCTGCCTAGCAAATGAGGTTCTACGACCCTCGCATTAACGTATAGCTCCTACTATACGATCTTAGTATATTCTAGCATTACTACTAGCGCTATAGGTACTAGTAGAGTACTCGGAGTAGGCGGAGGTCCTTCCTAAGTAGGTAAATAAGTAGATATAGGGTTTCTATCGCACTACCTATGCCTATAATAGCTAGAGTAGCAGTCTACGTTATCTTTAACGCACTTGCACCTCCTATAGGCCGTTTTATATATACAGCCCTTACGTAAACGTTCTCGTAGTGCTAGTAGCGGTAGAATAGGCCTCCCCGGCTTAGCCTGTCTTATCGCTTCTTGCTAGTTAATAGCGGCCTATCTAGCGGCCTGTCTAGCGGCCTATCTAGCGGCCTGTCTAGCGGCCTATCTAGCGGCCTGTCTAGCGGCCTGTTTAATTAGCTTAGGTCTAGTTGCCTTATACCGAGTCGACCGTATAAGCCGCTTATTAATCCGCTTAAGTAGCTCTAAGGTACGGTAAGTGCTAGTCTCGTTACTATTATAATTAGTCCTTAGTATTCGCTAGTGCTTCTCGAATATACGAATAGTAAGAATGCCGGTTACAGACTCCTTAAGTGCTAGCATCTAGTATATACAATTTAAGCTATAGACCCTCCGATAACACTAGGTACAATCTAATAGCGTATAACTATTAGACTTCCGCTTCTCGAGCTCGGCGCGTACGAGAGCCCTTCGCTCGGCCGCTTTACGTAGAGCGAAGGTACTAATATAGCTAATAACTTCGGTATAGAAGGGGTCGTTAAAGAATACTATTACTAGTCGTATAATCTCGAGTCTAACTATTGCCTTATAGCGGTTAACCTAATAGTAGAAATAGGGTACTATTCGGTTAATAAAGCTATAGATATCGTTCCTATAGGTCGTTAACTATGCCTTAATACTAGTATAGCAACCTTTAACTAGCGACGTTATTATATTGCTAAAATAGCGTATTCTATCGATCTAGTATTTAACACACTGTTCTCGATAGATCTACTAAGTGTCGGCTACGTATTAATATAGTATATACTACGCCTCGTTATCTAAGTAGTTACGAGCTAGTTTACTATTGCTAGCGGCAATCTTGCCCTCCTTAAGATGCCGATAGTTGCTAGTAAACGAGTCGATAGACTAAGAGTCGATAGTAGCGCTAAATAGGTCTATAAAGTCCTATGCCGCTTGACTTAATAGCCTACGCCTTATTAATAGATTAGGAGGTCTAGTACTAAGGAAGGCCTTCGCATTAGCTTCTACTGCGCGTTTAATATACTAGCGATAGAGCTAAGTACGTAGGTAAAGCTAGTCGCTTGCTAAGGCCTTTATTAATGCCCTATTACGGTCGTAGATAACAAGACGAGGCTCTTCTACGCCGTATTCCGATAATAACTCCTATATATAGCTAATAGCTACTAAATACTATTTAGTAGCCTGTCTAGGTATAAATATAAGCGCTAAGGGGAAGGTCTAGTTAAATTGATTAAGTAAGGCGATTATAAGCAGCAGCATACTATAATCGTTAGTCTTGTAGGTGCAATTTATAACTATAATATCCGGACAATTCTTGTAGATACTAATTATCTTAGGGTACGAGAAATACAGCTATTCTAGCCGTTGCTTACCGCTTAGTCTAGTGCCGATAGCCTTCTGTACGAAGTAGTTCTATTATAGGAGGTCCTCGATCGTTTTGTCTACTACTAACTTGCTAGCGAGTCTCAATTTCTTAGCCTTTTGCTAGGCATTTGAGATGTCTCGTAAAGTGGCTAGTACGACTACCGAATTTAGCCCTCCGCTCGAGAAACGAGCCTTAATAGCCGTCTTAATCTGTCGATTAGAAGCACTAGCGGCTCGTAGATTAAGTATCTCTTAGACAATCTCCGTAGTACGGTAACGGCGTCAGTAGTTAGCTAGTGCTATAGGATTGACGGCTAGATAGTTATAGCTATTGCTATTAAATATTACGGTCTATTAGCAGTTGCTAGGATTAGTCGAGTCTTTAGCTATTATCGTTACGGACTATAGATAATTGTATAACTTAGAGCGCCCTTTACGCTACTTTGCTATTAGATTAAGCCGTCTTCGCTCTTCTAATTTATCTCTCTTAGCTTATCGTAGAGTAGGTATTAAATACCTAGTATAGCGGCGTTAGAAGGTCTATACAATATAGTCTATATTAAGTCGGTTGCCTTACTTCTTCGTCTCGAAGCCCTTCTCTAGGGCAAACGTATCTATATACTCTTTAGTATTAATAACACTGTTAAATACCTAGTTCTTAGGGTTCTTAATAGTTGCGTATAGTCTAGGTTCGTAGGCCTCGGTTTCTAACTCGCTCTAGTTACTATATTCGTCGTTGTTGCTAAAGTTATAGAACCTATTAAGTTTTAATTTCTAGGAGAGGTTACTATTCTTACTAACTAACCCCGCTAGCACCGCCTTTACCGTTGTTACTGCTACTATTACTGCTTAGCGGTATTAACGGCGGCGGCAACCTCTTACTACGTACGCCGCGTAGTATAAAACGAATAGCGGTATAGCCTGCCTTATACTAAGCTAGCAAATTATCGAGAAACGGCAGTATTAGGTTTAGTGTCTTAAAACTAGTATCTAGCTTACTAGACAACTAGGTTTCGAGACTATCGTATCTAGTCTTATACTCGAAGCTAATATACCGCTAGCAATACGAGCGCTCGCTTTCCGCTATATCTTCCTAGAAGTCTAAGAGAAACTGCGTTAAATAGCAGCGATCGATGCTATAGAAGTACTCGTAGCCTACTATATCCTTAGGTCTATATACCGTCTCGATCTATAGTTCAAGGCCTCCGAGGTTACCTAGCTTCGGCTCTTATACCGGCTATAGCCTCTTACTACGTATCTCTTGAAACTAGCGCTTTCTTAGATTATATAGCTTAGGAGATAGAGCGGCGGCGGCGGCGGCGGCGGCGGCGGCGGCGGCCTCGGTTTGCAGCTACGTAGAAGGGCTTAATAATATAGCTAATATGGGGTATAGAAGGGCGGCGATAGAATAGCGACAATAGCGATAGTAAGGTATATATAATAGCGACGGTAAGGTAGAAAACAGCTATCTAGCGGTGGAGGACATAACTAACAAATTTGCCTTAGGCCTCCTCCGCGATCGGACGACTGATTTATGAATAGCCGGAGCTGATTTACGAATAGTCGCGCCCCGTAGAGTAACAACCACGCGATATTCAAGACCAGAAATGAGTATGCCATAGTAAACCTCACCTCACACCCTCACTGGAACGAACGTGAATTTCTATTCGTATCATGCATGCATAAGCTGGCCTCCAGGACTAGCGATACACTTGAAGTGTGTGTGTTCGATGGTCTATTGAGTGTCTACGGAAGAAGCGAGAAGTCGCTAAATAGGGTGCCGCGTGTGTGCACGGACCTAGGCATATACCTCAGGATTCAACTGATACTATAGCTCAGAGCCGGAGCGCAGCAGTCGTATCTCCCATATTCTCCCCCGCCATTTCCAAAGACGCCGCCCGCTAAGAAGACACTAGAGATACAGCAGAAAGAAGTCGGAGTGGTAGCAAAGCTCGCCTGCTCGCCTCACTTCTCGCCACCAGCAGCTTCCTTCTTGATCTCGCCCTCTGCCGTCTTCTCCTTCTCAGCGCCCTCCTTAGTCTCGTCGTCCTTGGCCGGAGTGTCCTCCTTCTCTGCCTCCTCGTCCTTGATGACCGGCTCCGACTTGGCAGCAGCAGCGCCCTTCTTGACAGCGCCCTTCTTGACTGGGGAAGCCTTCTTCTTGCTCTTGGGAGATCCATCGCCTGGCTCGGCCTCCTCGTAGTCGCTGCCCTTCTTGGTCTTCTGAGGAGTGCGCGCCTTCTTGGCCGGAGTGCCCTCCTCGCCGCCGTCGCCACCCTCCTCACCGTCAGCGTCCTTCTTCGTGCGCTTCTTAGGCGTGGTGGTTGCGGAGCCGGCTTCCTTCTTCGGCTTCTGCTGCGGAAGAACTAATCAAGGGTCAGCATTGATGCTGCAGGATCAAAGCATGCGCAACACTCACCGATGCTCACTCCTGGCTCAATCTTACCCATCTTCTTCTTGAGCTCACCCCACTGATTCTGGGCGGTCTTGCGGACCTTGAATTCGCCGACTTTCATGAAAAAGTCCATATCGAAGTCTGGGCTGGTCTTGTTCATGGTCGCTGCGGCGGCCACAATGTTCTTGATATCCTTCTCTGTGAAGACGATTTCGTTGACTGGTGCCGTGGCCTCTGTGGCGCCAGATGGGGCCGGAGTGTTCTCAGCAGACATGTTGCTTGAGCTCTGTCTTGACTTAGCGTAAGCGATGCCAGATAGAGACCAAGGACTTACAACAGTAGTGAAGAGTAGATGGGAAGGTGAAGTACTGTTGTTGGAGACTGTGGAAGTGGTTGGAAGTTTTCGAAGCTGGTCGATTGCTGGTCTTGAGTGGTTTGTCTGAGGGAAGAAGGAACAGGTCTCAGAGGTGGGCGAGAGGCGCGTTTTGTACTGCCGGCGGTCTCTGACGACTGTCTCAAACCTCACCTGCATGTGTTCTTCGGGCCTGCATGCTATTGGTCTGTCGAGTGACCGGAACAATAGCACAGGCACTTCACTTAAGCAGGCGCTGACATCCTATTGTCCCAGCTTGCCCCAACTTATTGTGTGGGCTCGCCATACAAATTTTGGGTGCGGATTGGGATGGAGTCAAGGAATTGCCTATTGTCACGGGCATGACTGAATTGCAGGCCCAATAAAAGTGGATCTCAATCCTGCAAAACCTCACTTCGATGTAGGAAGTGGTGAAAGGCACAATGCATTTCCCCATATCTGGTCCGTGCGCCCCCGTCACGTCACATGCTGTTGCGCAACCCAAGAATGCTGGAAGGGGTCCGTGGCCTGTATCCTGGCGCAATGAATGAATGCTGTCCATCAGCAGTCAGGCCGATGTCGCGTTGACTGTGTTTGCTTTTGACGTGGCGCTTCGGGCAAGAGATGCCAAAACAGATGACTACCACAGATGACTTCCCGACGAAGAATGGGTGTGAATGTTGTGATCTTCTGTGGAATTGTATGATCTCATTCCGTGTCGAGAGCACTCTGGAATTCTCGCTCATTTGATCTACGTTCCTCTGTGCCAACACTTCGATGAGGCTATTGTGGCCGGCGGGTATCATGCGGAGCAGCCATGTCCGTCCCAAAGAGCAAAGCAACCGCAAATCCTGGTGCTCTACGATTCGAGTCATGAAGAGCAGTCAGACAAATACCCGTCTGTATCGCTCAATCCAAGAACGTATGCGCTTCGATGAAGCGAGGAGCTAAGCATTGCGCACCGCCTCCCGGACGGTGGTGGCTCCCATACTTACGTAATTTAGTCCATGTTCCTCAGCAGTCAGGCCACCCGTTGGGTCGTCTGAGTTCGCTGGAGGTCCGAATGGCATAGGCTCGACAGCAACAAGAATTGCAGCGCACAGGAATCGCAGCGCCTGCAACTGCGTCGTGGTTGAGCTCGAAGCGGACAGTGGTAAGCTCCTGCCAAACACAATAGCTTCGATTGTATCGTGAAGAATAGGAGGACTTTGTATCTCTCTGAGTCGCCCGAGCGTTTCGACGGCTTGATAGCCTAGCGGAAGGACGTTGGTGACTTCCACACCTAGAGGCTCGCCGATCTTCTGCTGGTTGACGACATGATCGCAGATGCTGAAGATTTGCCGGAGCGCCTCGCAGGATGGCGCTGAGGAGAGTGGAGACCCCTCTGAAAGCCACAGCGTGCGCTCGAGTGTTGCCTGACCAGCGGCCGCAACCGAGAGTGGTGAAGGGTCGACACTGTTGATCGACGAGAATGGAGAAATGACGAAGCCGCCGAGGACACGATGCAAGATCTTCCTCAAGTCGGACAGCGTGTTGGAGTCCTCCGTTTGTGCTGCTGTCGGGTGTAGCTGCGTTGAAGACCAGGATGGTGTCCGTCTGAGCGAAGGGGGACATGTGTGTGGTCTCGTCCTTGTCGTTGGTCGTGATGGCAGTGGGCTTAGAGACCATGGTGAGTGAGAGGTATGATGAGCTTTATGCCGAGACGAGTGAACCATGGGTGCTCGCGTTCTGTGAGCCATTGTTGCTGGCCTTGCTGTAGCCCATGGCGTAGCAGTGGTTGACCAGGTCATCTGCGCTGCAAAATCGTACAGCACAGGGACTCCCCAGTGGCTACAACCAAAAGATGTGATAGCAACTCCGCATAGCTGCTCAACGCATGTCTTCATTGATGAACTCCCAGTTCAGTGTACCAATCAGTATACCATGCATGAGCTCGATGATGCAGCACTCTTGATGCCACATCACACCCGTCAGACTTGAGTGATGAAGTGACGCTCGAACAGGCAGGAGCGGCCACGTTGGGGACTTGTTGCGCGAGCGGAGAGGCAGTGACCTGAGTAGCCATCTTTGTTACTCACTGTGCCGTTGACGTGGATCTTGTGTTTGAGGTGAGGTTGTGGAAGAGGGTGAGAGGGTGTGTGCGATGCCTAGCCGATGATCATGCGGCATAGCACAGGCCGACCAGTAGCGTACGCTGCAGTCTGTAAAAATGATATCAGTAATCGTGTACATGAAGAACATGGCAGACGACATACCAGCGGCTGTGGCATAGCACGCCATCAAGGCATAGCAGTTGTGGAGGTTGTGTGTTGTCGGTGAAACCAGTCGCCGGCCACTGCTTTATGCAAGGCTGCGCCTGTTCACGTGGCATTGAGCTAAGGCAGTCACGAGTGGCAGTGAGGCACGAGATCTGATCTGATGTCCGCATCACACAGGTGAGGACCACGTTGAGGCCAGAAAGGGGTTTGCGAAGAAGGTCCAGGAGATAAAGGTTATGAAGTGAAGTGTGCTCAGTCCCTCCAATTGATGAGCACTTCATCCGTTCTGAAGCGCTGAGTGCACTGGGTCTTCTCCAGAGGGGTCCTATAGCCCATCTCGTATTGCAGAAGTCCAGCATGAGCAATCATAATGCCGTTGTCAATGCAAAAGCGCTCGTCGGTAGCGTATACGCTTCCTCCTCGCTCTCGTGCCATCATGCCCATCATCTCTTGCAGCCGCAGATTGCACCCAACTCCTCCAACGATCAGTACTTGAGAACTTCCGACGTGTGCCATAGCTCTCTCAGTGATCTCTACCAGCATTGCGTAGACTGTCTCCTGCAATGTATAGCACAAGTCTTCTTTCGTGATGGCCTCTCCACTCTCCTTGTCCTTCCAATCCTCTCCCAGCTTGCCGGCCATTTCACCTACTGCCGTCAAGATACCTGAAAATGAGACATCCATTCCTTTGACGGCATACGGAAGCTCGAGAAGCACTTTGCCCTTCTTCGCCAGCTGCTCAATGTTATATCCTGGTGCTGGATCATTGCTGATCTCTAGCACTCTTGCAAACCGATCCAAGCAGTTTCCCACAGCGATATCCAACGCCTCTCCAAATATTCGATAGCGCTGTGCCGAGTAGGCGATGACTTGAGTATTTCCTCCACTGACATACAACACCACAGGGTTCTGTGCGCCAGTGATCGCTCTTCCCATCTCAATGTGTCCCACGCAGTGATTTACTCCGACCAGCGGCTTGTTCCATAGTTGTGAAAGCATTCGAGCTGCAATGGCAACGGATGACAGAGGTGCACCCATGCCCGGTCCTTGCGTGAAGCATATGCAGTCGATGTCCTCGATCTGGATCTTGGCCTGCTTGATAGCTTGTTTGACTAATCGAACGACCCATCTTCGGTGATGGATCGCTGTCTCCTTTGGCAGAAAGCCGGTGCCTGGCGGGGAGACATAGGTATGTCGAAGATTGCTCAGGATTTGTGTAGGTTGTGAATCGACCTTTCGTCTCGCAGCATACGAGGATTCATCGTCGGAATGTGCGCTGTCGTGGGGTGATGGAGGATCGAGCAGTGCTGATTCTGGGTGGTATATCACACCCACGCCCAGCTTGTTGGCCGAGCCTTCAAGACCCAGTGCGATAGGCATGCTGGCGACGTTTCACGCTGTTTGGACAGTGTAGGTGAATAACGTCGGTGTTTCGCACATGAAAATCGCTTAGTCAGCCCGCAGAGCCACGATCTCCGCCCAGGACCGGACCGGACCGGCTGTGGCAGGAACGTCATCCACAGATCGGCAGTCAAAGCCGCAGCCGCGACCTGAACGACGCGGCCTGTCGAGACATTTGCTTGCTTGCGGGCCATCGCTTGTTTCTACGCTGAACGAAACAACATTCACTGCAACTCCACTCCCACCTCTCATACTGACCGCGCCGGCCGGTCACAGCACTCCGCACGTTCAATCGCCCCGTCGTATTCCTCACTCCCATACAGCAGCATCGTCCCCGCCGGCGTACGAAACAGAGCACAATTCTGAGCCAACATGTCGTGGTCCGGCTTCAAGAAGAATGTCAGTGCGAGACATACAGAAGATGGCTACGGACAAGGCTGATGATCTTCCAGGTCGGCCGCGCGACGACGCAGGTCATGATGAAGACAGGCCACGTCGAAAAGACCAGCGACCGCGAATATGAAGTCGAAGAACGCCGCTACCGCACCCTCGAGTCTGCCTCGCTGCGATTACAGAAGGAAGCAAAGGGCTACCTCGACTCGTTGCGAGCCATGACTGCCTCCCAGATGCGCATCGCCGAGACCATTGACGCTTTCTACGGCGACAGCGGCGCATCAGACGGCGTCAGCAGAAGCTACAAGCAGGCCGTGGAAGATCTCGACGCAGAGACTGTCAAGGCGCTTGATGGGCCTTATAGGTGTGTCACCCAAGACCCCGGGATTTTGGATATGGTCCTCTTTGATGAAGAGCTGGGAATCTACGACCATGAAGTTTTGGCTGGCATTGAGGCCGAGCTGAACTTCAAGGCGGGCAACAAGAGGACCTATACCAAAGGACTAAGTGGAGGAGATCTTGAGGGAGCGCAAGTGCTCATTGAGTCTATCTACAGGACAACCGTGCTGGAGCCCATCAATCGCTTTTGCGCCTACTTTCCCGACATCAACGAATGTGAGTAGACATGTTCTATCAATCCTCTCTGATCCGTGACTAATGAATGTCTAGGCATTAAGAAGCGAAACCACAAAATGCTCGACTACGATGCCATGCGATCGAAAGTCAAGAAGCTTGTGGAGAAGCCGGACAAGGATCCCTCCAAGCTCCCACGCACGGAGAAGGAGACTGAAATGGTAATGGATGCTTCCACTTTTCTTCGCACCGACCACTTGTTTGACAGCCTTCCCACCTCGCCAAAGAAGGAAGATTTGATGTTTCTTTCGCCACCAAAAGCGCTTGATGGGCTCAAGCAGAATGACAAGATTGCCAAGCTGCAGGCCGACGAGGATGCTGCGATGCGGAGTGTAGGATTGAGACGGAAGTCGAGCATGATGGGTAAAGTCAGTCGTCTGGGCAGTGTTGTTCGCAACTCGTGGACTGGCACGTCTCCGACACATGAGGCGTCTTCCGAGCACAGCGACGAGGTCCATCTGTTGAAGCCACCAAGTCCGGCTGTCCGCCCTTCATGGGCCTCTTCTCGCAGCGGTGACTTCAACATGCCGATGTTGCGAGAAGCTTCCTCGGAGGACCTGGGCTCTCCGACTTCACCATCTCCTCGCACCGCTATCAAAGCTCATCGATTGGCTCCGAGTCCTCGCCACGCAAGCGTCCCACTTCCAACAGTGCGCATGCGAGACTTCGCTTCAACTCCCACTCCGCATCAGAAAGAGAAGGAAATGCGTGGCTCAGCTAGTCTGAAGCGCCACAATGGCATCAGCAGCACAGCAGCTACGCCACCCAGGCGCACCAAGAGCGTCGCCACTGACAGCACCAACAGTCACCCTCGTCTAACTCCTGCGCCCTTCTTCAACCCGTCAGAATTGGAAGAGATCATGCGACCATTCAAAGAAAAGTTCATTCAGGAACAAGCTGACGAACTCGCGCAGGCGAAAGTCGCATATGAACAACTTAACCAGCAGCTGACGGACGAGCTGCCACAATTAATAGACCTTCGGTATGTCACTTGTTGATCGGATGTCCCGCACACCTACTGACGTCTACAGGGTACCCTACCTCGACCCATCCTTCGAAGCTTTAGTCAAGATCCAGTTACGATTCTGCGCCGAAGCATACAGTCGGATGGCACAGGTACAGCAATATCTTGACGCATCAACGAGAGACCAGTACGCAAGCGGTGATCTGGACGCACGTGTGGAAGATGTTCTTGGGCAGATAAGAGAGCTCAGCATTGCAGGCACGGTCTAAGAGACGCGTGCGCAGTGAGAGGCCTATGACAATGTTATGAGATGAGACATGGAACGGAGTTGATGAGAGCGAAGAAAGCATGTTGCTCGCAAATGAAGCGTAATTCAATCGCCTAGTACTACCACAATTCTAGTGCCTGTGCAGAACACGGTTACCTTTTCTTCAGAGGCAACTCCTCTTTTACGCCAGACAGCTTCACCTTCACGACCCGCCATTCCGTGGATGATTGCAAAGTTCAAATTCCTTCGAAAAGCTCAGCACCATCGCAATTTGAAAGTCGAGCAACCAGCACGAGCAGATGCGGCTCCAGCGCGCATCTCGACGCACACTCCTGTCGCCCGCCATTTACCTCGCACTCGTGGCCATCGCGATTGGCATTCCATCCACGCTGGAACTCCTTAGCTCGCCATCATCTCGATCCTTCAGGCAGCTTCGTCCCTTTGAACAGTGTCTGATCCCATTGTGACATGACCTCGACTCGGCCAAAGTAATCGGATTGTCCAAAGAAGTCCGATCACGATAATCAAGCCCATATTCGGCGCAATAGTGTTTGGAGTTGAAGGATCGTAATCGTCGTCAGGAAGTTGTGGTGCTGACACTGAGAGGGCGGTGATTATTAAGGCCATTTTTGGTTGATAGATTGGTTGATAGATTGGTAGGTTGATAGATTGAGGTTTCTTGCTATGAGTTGTTCTTGCATGGGAGGGACATGGGAGGATTACATGTATTTATATGGGATAGAGTGATGCTTACCTTAGCTTTGGGTAAAATCTATTTGGTTGGTGGGTCACGAGGACTGAGGACTGAGGACCAAATTAAATTTACACATCGTGGCAATCAGGATAGCTATGCATGTCCACCTGCTAATTACAAAGTGCTTCTTTCTTGTCAACTATCTGCTGGACTTCTGATGATGTTTGACCAGTGCATTCAAGATTTGCGAACATCACAGGACGCTCTGGTCCCTCAAGTTCTTCGTTCACATGTCTTATGGGTTCTCAAATCTCCACCTTCCTCGACAGATCACTGCCCTCTCTTGCTGGACATGGTGCACATCCTCTGAATGATGAAATTTGGCAATATTATTGCTCTGTGAATCCGTTGAGTGATGATCCGAAGCGGAATGTCGAATATGGGAGTTTTGCTGCTGTGGTATCGATGATCCGTCTCTGATGGCAATGTTTAGCATTTGAACGTCTTCGCTTGGTCGATCTTCATCTGAAAAGGATATGCGGGTGAATTTGGAATCTGTAGAGTCCTCGCTGTAAGCACCCATGCTAGCATCAACCCGACCCGTTGTGTTCTCTTGAGAGTCGGCAGCGTTTCTTGGTGGGTTTGATGATACGCGACAGCCAGTAGGGAAAAGTACTTGGACGTCATGATTGTTTTCGTGTGGTGGATCGGCGGCTGACAAAGATGTGGCTTCAGAGTCCGTATGATTGTCGTTTGCCTGGGCGTTGGTCTCAGAACCCTGTTGAGTATGAGTGGTCTCCTTCACGGGCAGATGCTGTGTCACAGTTTCAGACGAGTAATCTCCTCCAGTTCTTGTTTCGATGCTCGGTCTAGAGACTTCAGTCCCTACAAGTTCAGGGATTGCATTTGGATCGGTCATCCGAGTGTTTGGCTCATGCGTATAGCTCGGATGATCTGTGACCTCCTTTTCTGACTCTGCGACAGGGATACTTTCTGATTTCTCTTCTTCGCGGACAGCGCCCAAGAATGGATCATTTGCAGGCGATTCAACAATTGGTTTGAATCTGAGCCGGACTCTTACTGCCTCGTACGCATCGACCGGACTATATCCATACTTCTGCAGGTCCAGCTCAAGATATCTGACTGCTGTCGCTTTGGCATTGCCTTGCTGAATAAGGCGGTCCATCCCTTCCCTGGCCCAAGCAGAGCGGTATTCTAACACTGCCAGGAACTGGCTGATGTCTGCAGTGGCTTTCTCAATAGAGACACCCCACCTGGCCTGCCATTTCCTCGCCAGTCTCTGTATCGCTTTCTCTCGTGAGAATCCGTATCGAACAAGCCTTGAAACATATCTGACCATTTCAGAAGCCTGCTCTTCTGCCGCCAGTTCTCGGTCCATATCGACTTCACTCATGCGCTTCTTCGCCTTGTCTTGTTCTAGCCTGGTCTGGTGCTCGCTTTCCTTGGCCAATATTTCCTTGAGCAGCCGCATATGAGCTTGATCGCCTTCGCCATATATCGGAGGCATGAAGACATCAAACAGCCCCAGAAGGCAGTAAGCAGCGTCTATGTCGATGCGGCTGTGCGCTCTTCTCTCGAAGAAGTTGATTGTGTTCAGGGCAATGCTTAGTGATGTGAGATGATTCGAGGCGTAGAATCCGAGAGATGTCTCGTTCAGGAGGGATTCCCGGAGTGGAGCGGTAGAAGCCTGCTCCCAGATCATCGCCGAATGCGCACTTAACACTGCTCAGGACCAGGAGATTCGACTCAAAGAAGATCTTCATGGCCTCTCTACGAATGTCGTGACTGACAGCGAGGACTTGCCACTCCGGACGACGGAAGCCATGCTTGGTTGTTCGTGGACGATCGGTGACCAGCCATTTTCCGACCATGACATTTTCCCGCGACAGGCAAAACTTGTAGACCTTATCTCTAAGCTCTCTTTATAAGTCTCTGCAACGGAAGTGTTCTGCACGGGATCAGCGATGATTCAGTCGAGTAACAAATGCAGATACCTTGAGCAACAATGGAAGCTTCGATGCCAATGTTCATGGCCTGCAGCTTCGCAATTAGCTGCCGATCTACGGTGAGAGTTTCCTTCAGAGCTTGCACGGGATTCATCTTGATTCTGCTGCTGATCTCAGTGCTTCTGCGTCGCATGGACTCAGGCACTTAAGCTCGACCGGCTTTGTGCTCAGAAGCTGCGTTTGCTCTGAAGGAAGAGGGCTTTCAAGCCAGATCGGGTCCCCTCGAGCAATTTCGAGCGTTGTTTCAGAATGGCCTGCGCTCCAGTGATAGAACATGGCAGAAAGTCCCGGCCAGAGATAAAAGGCGCCAATGAACCTCAATTCTAGTGGGCGTTGGGCCAGACTTCATCAACATGACTTTCCGCGCGATACTCCTCGGCTTCCAGGGCTCCCCTCTCGTGCCTCAACTCGAATACGTCAACGAGAGGATGCTGTCCCTCGGCTGGGACTCCTACATCTACCTGATGCCCAGCGAGAGAAGCCGGGAAGCAGCCGCCAAGGAAATGGATGACGCCTTTCGCGATTTACAGCTCCATACCGACTCTGAAGATGACAAGCTGGTGGTCTTTTACGCTGGATACATTTGCGGTGCGATGGATGCCACCGCTCCGAACCGAGCTGCGATGTATTGCCACAGCGAAAGCACCGACTCCGCGAACCGGTCCGAGGTCGTGAATGTCAACATGACTCCTCGATTGCAGCGCTTGTGGAATGAAATGCCGAATGATGTGCTCTTGATCATGCAGACCCCTTGGAATGCGGCGCCCTGTGCGGTCCCAACTGCGACCATGCAGATGTGGGGTCTCCTGAAGCCAGAGGAACACGAAGGTCGAAATGTGCAAATGATGTCCATACTCTACGAGGATTCGCGGGCGCCGAGACCTGTTGCCGTCCATCCAGCTTACACGGCTCCACCTCCGCTTCATCTTCGGGAACCTGGATGGGATATCGGCGACAGATTGGTGACATTTGCGCGTCGAGGCGACTCTGTTCGACAACTCTTCGAGGAGCTGTATCAGAATTGGCTCAAATGGCAGACGAGTGCAACTGTCGGTATTGAACGGAGCCAAATACTTGTCAACACGCTTTGTGGCGACTCAGCGTTCTTTCGACTGACAAGCAGTGGCTGAGTCGGGACCTCAAAAGCTCACAGTACTAGGTCAGCAGAAAGGTCCGAGACCCTCACAGGAGTGGCATGACTTCCGTGCACGGTACAATCTCTCGCGAACTCAGATGAAGGACATCAGTAAAAGAGCCGGGAGCCTCTACCCCAACGAAAAGCTAATAGCTGCAACGTTGGAGGAAGGCCTCACAGAGTACCTCCGCGATAATCCAGGCATGCGAGGTGTCAGGGAATAGCGTACGCATATGTGCGTTGGGCACGGATGGTAGTGAAAGACCTAAGAATCAGCAGGAATGCGGTCTCTCCGACCGGCAAATAGGTGAGATGACAGATCTTACAGCTCAATATCTCGCTCAAACGCACATGCCAAACTCAAAGAAAAGAACAAGCCGCCGTCTCAGCTAAACACCACAGCCTTCTTGTCCAACGGTCGTCCATCAGGTCCGATCCCCTGCGCAGCAAACTGCCTCTCCGTATACAACCTCCTCGCCTCATCAAAATCGACGCCATGTCTCCTCATCAATCCATAAATCTCAGCCTTAGCCTCTCCCTCGAGACCACTCCTGCTATCTCCAGCCGTGATATTTTCGGAAATGTCGAAATCGCGAGAATGTAGGCCTTGTTCTGCGTCACTCTGAAAGCTGGTCGGGAGAGCCGAGTATCGCCAGCGATCGATGTATGCTGCGCCTCGGTCGTAGATGTTGTAGGCCCAGACTGGGATCTCGCCGGGTGCGGTTATGTAGGGTATTGGAGGAGCATAGGGTTTCCAGGTGTTGCGGGTCACGTAGAGGACTAATAACACTTGGTTAGCCGGAGATGTAAAAGCTATGCGACTGACTTACTGGTGGCTATTACGAGGAAGGCAAAGCTGAAGGTGTAGAAGTAGAAGCCCATGATTGCTGGTCGCTGGAGTGGTTGTTGAAGTCAAGAGGCAGTTTATGAGAAGACGGAGAGAATTCCGATGAAGGGCAAGAGCGCCCTCTGCCGCTATCGTGACATGCACAGGTGATTATTGTATAAGGCAGTTCGCAACCTGGTGGTGTCACGTCCGCAATGCATACAAGGGAGTCGTCAGCGCGCGCCGCTGCCGAGCAAGCCGAGCCGAAGCTTTGAACCTTTCCATCTCCAAAGTTCTTGCATGTGAATCTCAACTTTGCGCCAGAGCATCTCCACGCACATCACCTTCGCCGATCTCCCATTTCGCCAACATGTCCGGCGCGCGACACTGGGAGCAAGATAAGGACAGTACGCTCTACATCGGAAACCTCGACGAACGCTGCAGCGATGCATTAGTATGGGAATTGATGCTTCAAGCTGGACCTGTGATCAACGTGCATTTGCCAAAAGACCGCGTCACGCAGTCGCACCAGGGCTATGGCTTCGTCGAGTTTGGAAGTGAGGATGACGCAGATTACGCAGTCAAGATCATGAACCAGATACGACTCTGGGGCAAACCCATTCGAGTCAACAAGGCCTCTGCAGATAAAAGAGGCGGCGAGAATGGCGCAGGATTGGGAGGCGGACAGGGAGTCGGCGCAGAACTTTTCGTGGGTAACCTGGACAGCATGGTAGACGAGAAGGTCCTATACGACACATTCTCACGATTTGGTCCTCTCCTCGCAACACCAAAGGTTGCACGAGACGATGCAAACCTCAGCAAAGGCTACGGCTTCATATCCTACTCCACCTTCGAGTCTTCTGACGAAGCCATCGAACATATGCATGGGCAATTCCTCATGAACAAGGAGATCACAGTACAATACGCCTACAAGAAGGATGGAAAGGGTGAACGACACGGAGACGCAGCAGAACGAGCGCTGGCAGCACAAGCAAGAAAGCACGGCGTGGAAGTACAAATCCCAGCTCTGCCCGCAGCACTGGTCATGCCGAGCAACACTCCTTCTGCTCCAGCCGCTATGAACGGCGGATATCCAGGCGTCGTACCAACTGGCATGCCACCACGACCCACACCGCAACCTCCTCCGGCATACGCAGGGTATGGAGGGTACGGCGCTCCTCCAACACCAACAGGCTTCGGCCAACTCCCCACGCCAACCATGACAGGAACAATCCCGAATGGTAGCTATCAACATCCTCCACCTCAACCTCCTCCACCAAGTCGTCAATACAACCAATCACCACTCCAAGCACCACCTTCAAACGCAGGACTACCAGCTCGCCCGCCACCTTCTCATGGTGGGTATGGAGGTCCTCACAATTTACCTGGAATGCAACAGCCATTTCAAGGTCAGGGTGGCCCTCCACCACCTCCTGCAGGTTTCCCCGGTGCGCCGCCGTCAGGTCTGCCTCCTATGCCGAACATGCCGCAAGGTTTCAGACCACCGCCGCCTCCTGCGGGCTTTCCGTCGGGTGGATCACGATAGGGTCGTGGATCTCATTCTAGACAGAGTTCCAGGAGTAGTCGGAGTGGGAGCGAGGGACCGAGATATTATGAGTGAGTGAGGCGGGCATTCAAGTCTGAAAATTAGCGAGGCGTTGTGGATTGGGAAGGGAAAGGAACTGCATGAAAACGGCGTTGACCGAAAGTAGCATATGGGATTGCAGAACACGCGCTCTCACGCGCCTTTTTTTTCATTTCATGCTTTCTCGACTGATCTCTAATCTAGCATTCCAGCATGTGCCTGCCTCATCTGCCCAGATCATATCCCAGCGTCTTGTTCGTTCGATCGTTCGTCCGAGCCATCACCAGCGTGGATTCAGCTCAAGTTAGAAAGCTCGTTCATGCCTCAGCTATAAGAAAATGACGCATTGTTAGTACAATTCACGCCAAAGTCAAAAAAACATCACATCTCTCCCAAAAAAGTCTTCAGCAGCTTTCTTTCCCGTTCTGAGACCCGGTTTTTCAATGCTAGGCTGGCATAATTTGGTCGAAACTTGTGTGACGGACTCAGTTGTCTGGAGTTAGTTTGAGAAACTTACCCTGGAATAAAATCATTAGCATATCACACCTAACAAATCAAAGGATTCTCGAAATCATACCTGTTGTGCCTGACCCTTACGTCCTCTGGGCTTACTCTTACTCTCCTTCTTGTTATCCCTCTGACTCTGCTTGATGGCACTCGCTCTCTGGACGGCCTCCGCGCGGAGATCTGGACGATATCCCTTCTTCGCGGTGGAGTTGACAATGCTCTTGTACAGCTTACGCGACGGGGTAGAAGACTTGAAGGAAGAGGTGTGGTAGGATTTTGCTGGGCGGTTGGAGTTCTTTGGGAGCTTGGTGGTCAAGGTAACGGTGTTGTCGTCTGGTTGGATACCGATTGCTTGAGCATTGGCGTAGCCTGAGTATTTGCGAGAATGCTTGTTGGTGAGGTTCAATGGGTCGCGGGAGAATTGCACGCCGCCGGATTGCTTGCGCTTGACGAGGAAGGAGTTGTTGGAGCCTTTAACATAAGTAAGGAGGTGGATGGGGGTATCGGGGGTTGGGGAACGTACGGGTGACCTCCCAGATGAGGTCGTTGCTCAGGTTCTCGTAGGCAGTCATGTTTGCGGTATTGTTTGGCGAGATACTGCTGTCGTTCAATGCGCTGGTGGTGGTTAGAGCTGCCAAATCTCAGTGTGGGCGGCTACTCCCGGTCGGAGTCGGCGATCTGTTGCTTGGCAAAAATCAAGAGACGTCCGAGCTTTGCTTGAACTTCGTGAAGTCTTTGGCCGCAAACTCTTGCGATCTACACATCACCACAATAGCCTGTCACGAGTTTTCAGGCCAATAATCCAATCGATCAAAATGGCGTGGCTGGCACTGTCTGAGGAGAGCAAGGTATGCGATGGGAAACGCTCAGCTCGGGATGGCAGACTGATCATTGAACAGGAGCGCCTTGCACGAGTTATCGACTTCTCCAGAATAGCGGTCCATTAGTACGATCTTCTTATTTACAGTAGAAAGAGCCATATATTGACGAACTGGCAGTGGCTACCTCCCTTTGATCATCTATCTCGGATACACACGAAGCAACCCGAGACCTTCCCTCATCCGGTACGCTTTACAAACAGTTTGGCAAGGAGGACATTTGCTGACTAGGTCTAGCCTTTTCTCTCCGCTTGCACAATAGACGATGGCTGCCGTAAAAGACGAAAGATGTATTATCAATGGCATGGATACCAGGCTTGGGATAGGCATGAGCTGGGAAGTGCATAGCAAGGCGTTACGGAGCTGCCTTCTGTACAGATACCACATCAATCACCACTGTTGAAGCATTGAAACGAGAACTCTTCGACCCGCATTAGCTGACGAGCGATGGAGGACGCGGAGTGACCCGTCCAAGCCAATAATCAAATCAGCATGTTAGGACACCAGGATCGCCAAGTGTGCAGGAGAGAACCACAAATGGGTGACCATCTCATCACTAGTCAATTCGAAGAGTATGCTTCAAACCACTCACAAAAAGTACATCCCCTCGCAGAAACTCAATTCAAGCCATGTACATGTAAGAGCTGCTTACACCAGCTAGCAAGCCACTTAGCATTGCAATGCGCCCTCCAACACACCAAATGGGTACGTTGATGTCTCACAAATCCAGTCCCCCGTCCTTTAAAAGACGCACAGTGACTTTCCCTCCCATCCAAGCCTGCACTCGGCGTCTCCGCTTACTGACCACCTTTCTTGAGGTCTTTGATCTCCGCCATCATTTGCAGCATCATGCTTTGGTTCTGGATCATCATAGTCATAACCTGCTCGTTGAAATTTGGACCGGAAGCCGGCTGTGCTGGGGCGATGGGCGGCACCGGATCCGGAGCAGTGGCAGGACCGGAAATGATTTGAGCAGGGTTGGCGGCCTCGGGACCTGATGCTGGGATAGATGTGGTGATTGCAGGTGATGCTCTTGTATGAGCGCTTCCATCTCCAGCGGGCAAACTCCTTACTCGCAAATCTCTCGGCTCCCTCACAACGATCATCTCTTCTCCGTCTGAGTCCACCTCCACGACTCGCGGACCCATTGGCCTTCTTTGTCGACGGCCCTCTGCAGGTTGATGAGAAAGTCCAGTTACATGTCCCGGCTTCTTAGCCTTCATTCGCGCTGTGCCCGCTTTCTTCTTCAGCGCAAGAGCAGCCTGGTGTAAGCTGACAATCTTCAGCAGGACGGTTCGTAGATGCTTGTGCAGCTCTGGCGGCTGCGTGCCTTCGGCCCAGCGAGATCCGCTCAGCATCTCACTGCAAGCGACGTCGTGGTCGATCACAGACTCCCAGAGCGCGTCGCGGATCCGCTGCTTCTTGTCATCTTCGAAGTTGTGTGTAGCTTGGCCGAGGAGTATCACGCCGTCGTAGAGCGGTTTTTGCATGTGATCCTTCACGACCGCTTTGAGGTGGACGAGCTCTTCGCGCGTGCAATGCAGGACGTATAGCATCTGTTCATTGGAAGTGCCCGCGGCCCTTGTGAGTCGTGGCGTCGCTTGCCTCGCGAGTCCTTGGCCAGCTGTACTACTATCAGTGTGAAGCTTTTCACGTTTTCTCATGCCATGCTCTCACTGCTTCGGCCCATGCTTGCACGATGTACTCGACGCTGTGTTCCGTGTTTGAGAAAACGATTTTGTATTAGTAGACAGCGATCAAAGCTGCGTGAACATGATCGTGGTACGGTCGACGAATCAAAACAACCGTAACCGTTGAGAGATGCATGATCAGTCGCGTAGCGCGATTGCCACAACGAGTTCAGTGATTAGGTCTGTCGCGAGCTCACTTGACTGGACTCTTTTGAACCTCACCAAGCTCACTTGGAGCAAGAGACATCACTGCGACGATTCGCCGACGAACGCCTCGCGGAGAAACTGGCCAACGTACGGACAAGGTCGATGGAAATGCTTGCGACAATACTCCTCGGTCCCTATTAAAATACAATACAGATACTGACGCTATGGCAGGCCAGCTGAATCTCCCGAGTTCGTATACTAAATTTCATCCTCCCGAAAACAGGTCTTGTTCTGGTCCCGACCTTAGCGCCAGACGAGCGTGAAAAAGAAAACGAATGCTCAGTCACCAGTCAAATCAATAGTCTGGCCATTAAGAGAAAGATTTGCGAAAGGCTTGCCGTCCTCGAGATCGTCCAAGTCCATAGTCTCGGCGACCTCCTTCTTAAAGGCCAGAATGGGCTGAGAGTCGTCGAGAACGATAACGTTTGGTTTGCGCTTAGGAGGAGGGTCGACTTCCTCAATGTCACTATCGGGGTCGTAAACGGGAGCTCTCGGGCTTCGAGACTTGCTGCTTGAGCCAAGCGATCGACTCATGCTGGGACGAGCAGAGAAGAAGCGTTGGCGGCCTGTGCTTGGAGTAGCGGTACTGTCGCCGAAGTCTGGGCAGATGCCTTCTTCGAGGTAAGTTGGCTCCGGGCTGGTGCGGCCATAGGCTGGGTAGGGGCGTTCTTCGTGGCCAGAAACCGGAGTGTTGCGACCATATGCAGGGTAGGCCTCGTTCTCAGGCCCTGAAGAGCTCTCTCTAGCCTTGGCAGCTCGACGTGCTCGACGCTTTTTCTCTCTACGAGCCTCTCGACGCTCCTCCTTCTCATCAGCAAGGCGCTTTCTCTCAGCAGTATTCCTCGCTCTGGCAGCAGTACTCTTCCATGGCAAACCAAGCTTTTTCTTGCAATTCGAGATCTTGGTTGCAAGATCTCGTGGCTTTTCATCGTTACCTTCCCATCGAGCGCCGCTAAGCATCTCTTCGAATACCTCACTATGCGCGGCCATACGATTCCAGAGGGCGTGAAAGTGAGGTCTGTTTCGGTCTTCTTCCCAAGTGGTGGGGAAGGGCTTGCCGTCGTAGTCGTTCCTCTCCATAAAGTCCTTGAGATGCGCTCTGAGGATGCGAAGCTCGACTTCGTCGCATTTGAAGTAGTGCATGATGTCGGCATTCGAATAGAAGACCCAGTCTGGGAGCTTGTGGTTGTCGTTCTGGAAAGTCTTTTTTAGCAACGTACATTAGTACAGAAAGTGGATACAGTATACCTGATTGTTGTTCATTCCATTGCGATTATTTGACTGAGTCGACCTACTCGAGCCACCACCGCCACCACCTCGACGCTGATCGAGGCGCGGCACAACGCTGTGCTCACCTTTGAATTTGTTAGCAATGAGCGTACGATGATATATGACGGTGCTTACGCTTCACTAATGGAGCCATAGCGTGCCGATGAATGTTGCAGTGTATGAAGCTCTTCAGCCTATGGTGAGGATGGATGCGATAGTGTCGTGAGAGGAAGATGGTTATAGATGTCGAAGTCGTTGAGACAAAGCGATGCGTTACAAGTGTTCGAAAAGTGAAGATACATCTCCAGGCCCCAATATGCACGAGCAAGGCCTGTAGCCAATCAAGTGAAGCATACAATATGCATCACATGCTTCATTGGAAGTCAGGCCAAAGTGAGGCAGATGCCGTGATCATGGTGCGCGTCTGGGGGGTATCTTAATGCATTTTACGTGCGGTGTTCCCAGCTAAGGAGTCGTCAGCACTCTGGCCAGCCTTCACTACATGTATCTCGGCAGACTTCAAGACTTGCTGCCATATGAGTGCTTCTTGTCAGGCGCTCTATTTCAGAGCACCGGAAGAGCTCACCATGCAGGACCCGTGATGACCTGTTGCCATCTCAAACCTAGAGTGGGAGCGGAAGATAAAGTAGACAATGCCTCACGTCTTTTCCGATATTCTGCATCAGAGACATCAATAGAGCTCACTATATCAATTCCGTCACCCCTGCGAGGCATACAAATTTCACTTCTGGGGCTTGCTGCAGTCGACCGTTACATTACGAGCGGTCTCTCTTCGTGAATTGCCCAAAACGGTCTCGGAAATCTCCGAAATGCGGCATGCTCGGCTTCTTGCTCAGCTCTTGGAAGTCTGGCATAAGCGAGTGGCGCTTGCCAGGTGCAGGCTCTGCCGGACCTGTAAACACCTTTTCGAGCAGCTCCGCGCCTTTGATCTTGTCGACCTTTGCGAATCTTTGCTGTGATTTGGAGGAGTCAAAGAACTCTTCGCCCTTGCCATCGGCAGCGAGAACCATGAGATCCACAGTCTGCCTAAGACCTGTCAAGCTCTCCAGCAGTACTGATGCCTTTGGCAGAGCTTCGACAAATTCAACGAGATCCATGACGTCCAGCCTGTATGCAGTGACCGCTTGTGGGGATATCCTTCGGACGTTGGGGTCCAAAGGCAAAGAGAGCAGCGAGTTGCTGATGTGGTTCAAAGCTTCGAAGTATATCAGCTCCTTGATCTGCTCTGGTAGACCCAAGAGTACCGAGCTCATGATGTTGGACAGGTATCGAGTAAGCTCTTGGATGTATGGGCTTGCTGCATCGGGAACATATGTGCTTGTCCAGGCATACTCCGCGGTCTCGATGAGATCGTCAATCTTGCTGTTTACCAATTCGAAAATACGTTTCTCTGCCCGCTTCTTGGCTGAGTTGAATTGGCTGGTCGCTTGAAGCTTGATCGGTCCTGCAGCGCTACTGCTTGATCGTGCTTCCACGAGCAAATCTTCCAAATCCTTGCAGGCTTGCTCGAAATGGTCTAAGTTTGTGAGGATTTGCACAATCTGGCCAGGATACTGTGACGACAGACGCTCTACCAGACTACGGCAGACCTTGTCGACAAGTAGCTCGTCCAGACTTTCTTTCAGCGTCTTGTCGATTACTGTCGTATGCTTGAAGTGATCGTCGGAGAACAGATAGATTTGGTTGAGGAAGTTTCGAATATCGATGCAGACCAGCGGATACATCTGACTGAAGGGCAGAACGCATGGATAAGTCATTTCCTCGACATTCTCCTGCTCCGGTGGCGGCGTGTACCAAGACACTGAAATGACCTTGGTGTACTCATCTGCATTGTTGATTGGCATCGGCATGTAGTCATCAGTGCTGACAATCTGCGTACCCGGATTAGCATTGCACAACATATTGAGGCAGCTTCCAGGAATACCTCTTGGAAGTCATCGCTGAACCGTTTCTTCAGCAGCGAACTATACTTGTCGAATAAAGTCAGAAGCAGGCTGTCCAGGCTGTTGACAGGATAGCCCCAACTGTCCATAGTCTGGATGAATAGCGCAAGAACGCCTTTCAGCTTCAGAAGCTTGTCATCGTTATCCACATTGTGGAGTGCACTGCTGATGAGCGAGATTGCAGACTGACACATGCTGTCCCAGAGCTCGTCGACATCGCTCTGCGAACGGAAGTTATCGGTCTTCTGCATGGTCGCCTTCTCCACGATCGCGAACCCCGCCATGCCCTCAAGTAAGCCGCTCAGACTGCTGTTCTCCTCGTCAAGTAAGTTGATCGTCTGAGGTATCAGCAGATCTTTCTGCCGTCGCCGTGTGGCAGCGTAGTCCGCTCGGAACTTTTCTGTCTCGCCTAAAGCGTCATGAATATGCAGACACTCAAAAAGCGGCGAGAAGTCGACCTGTACTTCTTCGTTATTGAGCACATCGAATTCTTCACTCTCATCGGCAACCAGTTCAACAGCCGAATTCAGCTTGAAGCCACCCAGGTAGTCGTCCGCTTCCGCTCGTTCCTTCTGCCGCGCTCTCCGCATCTCTGTGTGATAGAAGGCGACTTCGCCCAAGAACTGCGACGTTTCCCGAATGCGATACAACCAGGTGTGCAGATCTTGGGTGACTGCATCAGCAATGAGACGCTGCGTAGCGGGTACCGAGCGCTCTATCATCTCTGCAATCTTGTACCTTGTAACTTCGCGGAGGTGGACATTCTGCAGCTCATCGAGGGCCCGCAGAGCTGCGTAGTGGTTCTTCTTCCCCAGAAGATCGTGGACCTGGTTTGCGAGCCGCAGGACTTCGAGGCAGTCCTGCAAAGCTTGGGTGGCATCGTCAATATTCTGTCGCACTCCTCGCGAATCGACCAGTGCCTTCTTCTGCTCCGCAAGCTTCTCCGTGCTGGCTTCGATGCTCCGACTGAGTTCCATGATCTCGGACGTCAGGTTGACGGTCTCCTCACGCACCGACTGTAGCTGGTTCACACTGGTAATAAACTCGTGGTGATTTGAATTGCAGATGGATTCAATCTGCGATTCGCGATCGGCCGAGACATGATTGAGAGCGTGTATGAGGGGTGTGACTTGGGTCTGGGTCTCGGCATTCTTGAGCAGAGGTATGAGCTGGTCGAGGTAGTCAGACTGGGAGGAGGAGAGAATGATCTAGGTGCGCTCGGTCAGCATGGATCGTGGTTTCCAGGTTTGACTTGTCGACATGCTGCTTCTTCTCTCCATAGCTCATTGCCACTTGGCCGAGGGCCTTTCGGCTTCTGCGGCGGACCTCTCGTCTCACGCATGGCCTCGGCTCATCTCGACTGTGTACAAGATGGAAAGACAAGAAGGCACGAGAGGATGAAGGCGTTGGACGCACCTGCTGCACAGCCCCGGTGAGGTCATCGTACTGATCGCCCGCAATTAGGCCCGGCATCCTCACTTTCGATTGCCAAAAGCGGAAACTTGTGCCACGCTCAAGCTCACTCGTCAAAACAAACACCTCTCGTGCAGTGCTCCTGACTTCTACCACTCAGTCCTCAACAACAACTTTGTTTCGACAGCGAGAATGCTTCCACGGATTTCAGGAGATGATCGCGTTAACTGCGAATGATCTACCACTGTTTGGACTGGATGGCAAGTTCCTTGCAAGGCCTGGTATGGATCGCCTCTCGATACGAGAGGAGTTGCGCCGCAAAGCCGCACGCCTTATGCTGAGGATTGACCTGGCCAGGTTCCCGTTGGAGCTCGCGGGCCTCGATGTGTATGGTCAGCGCTTGAGATCTGAGGATGCGCCGGCGGGCCTCGATGCGTATGATCAGCGCGCTCGATTTGAAGATGCGCCGGCGGACGAAGATTCAATACTTGCGCGCCCCTGCGCTCGCAGAACACTGTCCAGCGCTTGTGGGTTGGAGTATTCTGCGGGAAAACAATGGTCTACGCGCAGGTCAGGTCTATTCGGATGCTTGGTCGATGCTATGCACGTCAGTCAATGTCCACGGCAATAGGAGCTCACTGCCGATATTTACTTGCGGCAGGCAGCAACAATGAGCGCGGACCAACACACGCCTCAAGCTTTCCAAGCCCGTGGTAAGTGATTGATTATCCTAAGTTTTGCGGCGACGAAGATGCAGGTACGGCAATGCGTGTTGGCAGTGGCCACCTTCGCGCTCCTGCATGTGAGGTCCAAAGCGCGGAGCTGGCCTTGGCAGCCCGACTGCTGCTTCCCAGCCGCCTCCCGATTCATCCCGAGCGGCTTCTGCATCGGAAGGCTCGACGCACGGACATTAAACTAAGCTTCCCGCTGTGGGGCGCATCTTCAGACCCCTGCAAGGCTTTCTATCAAAATGCTTGGGGGCGAGCACGTGACAATGGAATGATGAACGAGGACGAATATTTGTGCTGACGGAGACGTGCAAGAGAGTCACCGTAGGATGTACAAGTGCAAATCGGCACTCGCACAGTGTTTCGCACGGCTATTTCAGCGTGCAGAGACATGGCACGCACTGTGGGAGCGCACAAGTGTCTATGCTGGACGACAGAGTGTGGTTCCCAGCTGCACACCTTGCGAGAACTCGCGTGGCATCGGCATCAGCATCAGCGACGGCGTTATGCCCTCCCAACATGACCAACAGCAGCTACAGAGCCCAGCAAGGCTCCCATGGCTGCTCCACATCGTCCTCTTCCTCACGATGGGCATATATCGCTATGTCGGCCAGCCCCTCACGATGCATCCGCCTGCCAATCTGGTTGCTCGGATACTCACTCTGGTAATGGACAAGCAGTACCTTTGCGAGGCCTGCCATTGGCCGAGGGGGCCCACTGCCGCTTCCCTTTTCTTCACCAGGAAGGCGCCAGTGCCCCTCGCTCAGTCATCCCCTCAGTGACGGAGCTTCAAAATTCCTCCCTCCTTCTCTCTCTTCTTCCTCTTCCCCCACACGCACACAGACATTTGGTCGATTGCAGAGACAGTACACGCAGCCCACAATCTCCATTCTTTGCAGTCATTCCTGGCACCCCAGCACATTGCTTCACATACATTACTTGCCCTTGATCCTTCACCATCGCTGCCCTTGGCCCTTGGCTGCTTCCTTGCTTCCTTACGATACCCACGCGCGAGCGAGTCCTTCGCGCGCCGTCATCCAGCGCAAGACCAGGAGCCAGCAGATCAGCAATCATGTCTGCCTCGACCCCAACTCCAGCCGCTCGCAAGGGCGCAGCGACCAAGAACGACACCGCACGCATGAACGGCGGCGTTCCAGTCGACTCGTCCAGGTGAGAGACACGTGTCCACGCGATTTTGACTCCAGCACACTGACAGCGTCACAGCAAGCCAATCGTCAACGGCAACTCCCACGAGACCAAGCCAGGTTGGAGCGGACCGGCTGCAGTCAACGGTAGCAGCGCTGCCCCGTTCGGCGGCAACGGCGAGGTGTCACCCACCGCGCGCCTCAATATGAGATTGTCGGGCCAGGCCACCCGCTTCGAACCAACTGCCAAGCCATCTCCGATCAACTTCCTCAACCGTGGAAGCACTGAGGACGACGCCGATAAGCCCACCATCGTCGACGGCTCGAACACGAAGCCGATGAGCGAGAAGGCTCGTGGCAAAATGGCCGCTGCGCTCCCACCAGCTCCCATTGGCACACACAATGGCACCCCCAGCCCGTCTATCCCTCCGGTCACCTTTACCACCGACACCGGCCCACAGGTCGAGTGGAAGGGTGGCCATTACATTCGAATCGCCAACATCGCTAAGGACACGTACGCTGACTGCTCGAATGTGCTGTTCAACGAGGTACGCCCTTTCTCGTATCGCACAAGTCGCAAAGCTAACAAGTGGACAGATGCACTGGAACACCAAGGTCACCGGCCAGAAGAGCTCTGGCGCGAGCAACAGCAAGCATCTCACAGTCTACATGCGCTTTGACCACGTCAACGACGCCGAGCAGGCTGAGAACGACGTATCCATGGTCAACCAAGAGTGGGTCGTCAAGCACGTCTCCCAGACCGAGTATGCCGCTGCCCAAGGCACTGGTTCTCGTACCGAGACCTCATTCTTCGACGGCCAGCTTGTGTTCGTTGCCGTCTTCACTGGTAACCTCAATGAGATCCAGACTTCTGGCGTGGCCAAGACGGTCAAGACTCTGGCTGAGCACTTCGGCGAGGTCCTCGCATTCTCAGAGGCCATTCACACCACCTCCACTGAGTGGCACTTCCGTGTCGAGTACACTCAGATCTCTGCCGCTCGCAAGGCGCTCCACGAGATGAGCCGCGCCAGCAGCTACTGCTTCGAGGTAAGTTCTTCGCAGTCGGCGACATGCTGCAGCTGCTGACATCTCTCAGGATTGGTCTGTGACAGCGAGAAAGCTGCCAGAGCCACACACCGTCGGCACTGGACCACTCAATGGTGGCTTCACCGCGCTCACTCTAACCCCAAGCAAGCATGCCGATGGCACAACCACCAGCCCGACAGGCCGCACTGCTTGGGGCCTTGACGCCGAGGGCAAGCGCGTAGCCAAGCCGGCGGCGCTCAGCGTTCCGAAGATTAGCAATCCGGCTGAGCCTGTGGGTGCCGCTGCTGTCGTGCCAGTCCGCGACTATCGCATGGACTCGTCGCCACTGCCAGGCCCTTCTCGATTCTTTGGCTCCATTGACGGCAACATGGACCGCAGCGCCTCTTGGTCGGGTGGTGAGACTACTCGCTCACGTCGCAACGGTGGCATCGGCGAGGAGAATGAGCCGCAAATGGTCAATCTCAATCGCATTCGTGATGGCGTTGATGTTCGCACCACCATCATGCTGCGCAATCTGCCGAACGCCTGGACCTACCTCGACGTCAAGGAGTGCCTTGACACCACTTCGGCAGGCAAGTACGACTTCTCCTACCTGCGCATCGACTTCCAGTACAATACCAATGTCGGTTACGCATTCGTCAACTTCACTGACCCAGAGTCAATCATCGACTTTGTGAACAAGTTTGTCAACAAGGAGTGGCAGCCAGGATACCACCCGCGAAAGATCGCACAGGTGTCGTACGCCACAGTCCAAGGCATTGACTGCCTGATCGAGAAGTTCCGCAACTCCGCCATCATGGCAGAGTTCTGCGACTACCGCCCAAAGCTGTGGTATGTGCCAGCGGACGTCACCATCGGCGATTGCACACCAGATGCTGTCGGCCAAGAGCGTGCCTTTCCCCCGCCAAACAACTTCAGTAAGCAGCAGCGGAGTCTTGACAATGCCGGTACCATTGGTCTGTACCAGCCTCGCAACCGCAACGCCAATGCCAATGGCGAGCGCACCCGCCGCTCCAACTATGACCGCGGCACAACCCATCAGCTGCAAGAGGATGCCGCTTACCAGCATGGTCCAATGTCGCCATACAATGACAACTACGCCTTCAATGCACCACGCGCTCCCATCGGCGCTCCACCGCAATTCATCGCTCCGCCAATGATGCCGTACGGCTATCCACCAATGCCTGCAGGCTACTACCCTGGCTATCCAGTCCAGTACGGCCAGAACGAAGGCTTCGATCCCTTTGCATACGGCGCATTCCCTGGCCATGGCGGCTACCCTGGTGCCTACGGTCAGATGGCACACTACAATCCGGCTGCACGCCTGCGCACCATCTCTCGCGGTCGCCTTGGCGGTCGGCCGACAAACGTCACCATCGCTGAGCATGGCTACTCAGACGTCGACCGCAATGCCCGCCTCGCCGCCAACGGCTACGTCCCACGCAGCATCTCTGCTGCTGGCGAGTCGGGTGAGTACTTCGAGGGTCAAGCTCATGGCTCTGCCGACGGCAATGTCTCTCCAGGCAATGCAGGCGCCTCTCGCTTGGGCACCGAGCACTCTTAGATTGGGTGACACACTCTCTGGCTGTTCGAGTGGTCTACTACAACACATTGAGCTTGATTCACGGCTTGGTGTTGAGTAGCTTCGAGTGCTGGATGTCCTCTTGCGTGTGACTCAGGTGAGAAGTCAGGATGGTGCTTTGACAGCCATTCTGGATGGTATTGGCTTCGACGACGGCGCATCTGCGACTCCATCAGAGCCTGCTTCTGTTTTTGCTTTTCGGTGATTCTCCATCGCTCGGACGCGGGTCCTCATGGGCTCAATGGTCATGGCGTAGATTAGAGTAACAGCAGTAATCATAATGGTGTATTGCGTGCATCTTCCTGTATCCTTGAGCTTCAGTCATGGCGTCAATTGCGCACGTGAATTGTCTTTCATGGCAAGAGAGCATATTAAGATGCAGAGGGGGAGTTGTCGATTAAGGAGACAAGAATATGCTCAAAGGTGTCAATGTGATGGTCGCTATCGACGCCGCCCCTTGCCAAACCCTCTTTCGGCCACCTCGGCTTCCAGAGCTTCCGCCCAAATCCTACCAAGCCTCCCAAACATCTTTCGAGCCTCGTCTCCCTGAAGCAAAATCACACGATGCCTTGAAGCCTTCAACGATACGTGGGTCTCCCAGTCAATGATTCGCACAAGTAGAAGAAGCATGATGCTTCCCCGCCGGTCTCGTACAGCGTGCCTTGTGCTTGCGAACATCCTCCTCCCGATCGCCGTCCTGGTCTTCGCATCTGGATTCTTCCCATACAAGCCTGTCTTGCCTGGCCTGGCCGCCTTTGAAGAGCACGGAGAGCAAGGTCTTATATCTCATGGTAGCGACTCTAAATTTGACAAAGTCATATTCATGGTTGTCGATGCGCTGAGGAGCGACTTCGTGTTTGGTGGAGGGAGTGGCATGGAATTCACGCAAAGGTGAGGAGAAACATACGGTATACATGAGGGCTAGCAGTGCTGATTGCTGATTGCCGGGTCTTACAGTCTGATTCGAGACGATGCAGCGATTCCATTTACTGCGCATGCCACACCTCCTACGGTCACAATGCCACGAGTCAAAGCGCTCACCACAGGCTCCGTACCGAGCTTTCTAGACCTGATCTTGAACTTCGCAGAGAGCGATACAAGTTCTTCCCTCGCGGCGCAAGATACGTGGTTGAGTCAGATCAAGGCTCGAGGCGGGAACATTGTGTTCTTGGGAGATGATACTTGGCTAAAGCTGTTTCCTGCTTCTGCTGAGGGGGTGCCTTTCTTTCAAAGAGCAGATGGCACAAGCAGTTTCTTCGTTTCGGTCAGTAGAACTGGCCCTGGTGAGGTATTGATGAACCAGATAGTTGACGTATGCAAAAGGATTTCACAGAAGTTGACAATAATGTTACGCGACATGTTCCTGAAGAGCTTGCACGGTCTGATTGGGATGCGTTGATCATGCACTACCTGGGACTTGACCATATTGGGCACAAGACTGGTCCGAGTGGTCCGAATATGTTGCCTAAACAGAAGGAGATGGATGGGATCGTGAAAATGATCTACACCGCAATGGAAGAGGAGCTTCATCATCAGAATACCCTGCTTGTACTCGCTGGCGATCATGGCATGAACAACGGAGGGAACCATGGTGGTTCTGGACCAGGTGAGACCGAACCTGCGTTGGTCTTCGTAAGCCCAAAGTTCAAGAGCATAGATCGCAAGAAGAGAACGCAGTACTGGGCTCCAACTCATCCTAAGGACGGCACGGAGTTCGAGTATTTCACAAAAGTGGAGCAGAGCGATCTGGTACCTACACTGGCTGGTCTCATGGGTCTACCGATCTCTCGAAACAGCGTGGGAGTGAGCATACCGGAAATGAACATTCTCTGGAGCATGGATGAGACCGTCGCACATTTGAAGAGAAATGCGAATCAGATCTCGCAGATTGTCAAAGCGACCTACGGAGAAGAGAGCTGGGCCAAGACGGTCAATAAATACCGTGTCGTGATCGAAAGAAGTAGCGAGGGCTGCGATGCTCTTTCTTCCGATCAAGAGAGGCTGGCCTGTCTTTGGGCGACTTTCGAATTGAGAACGAAGAACATGGAGGGCCCATACCAAGAGAGTCAGGCAAGAACATCAATTCTCAAGTTCTTGCTTGAAGCACAGGATGTGCTAAGCGGGACGGCAAGCTCGTACAATATCCCAAGAATGATCGTTGGAATGATGCTCTCAGCTGCAATCCTCGGCCTTACTCTGTGCTCTTTTCAGACACTCTGGCCTGTCAGTACTCCCGGCATCTTCCTTGGACTGATCAGCCTTTTCTACGGCGTCATGATGTTTGCCTCGAGCTATGTGGAAGAGGAGCAACAGTTTTGGTACTGGGTCACACCCGCCTGGATCATCACACTCGTATTCGTTCGTCTTCCCAAAACCTCTGCATCATCTGAGATAATACGCCTTGGTCTTGCAGTCTTTACTCTGCTCGCCGTTCATCGTCTGAGTGTGCGCTGGAATCAGACTGGTCAGAAGCATGCTGGAGCGCCGGACATTGTGCACACATTCTTCACAGAGCATCATATTCTGATGTGGATGCTCATCCTGGCAACTTATGTCTACAACGGCTGGAGTCTGGCTACCAGAGCCCTTGCAGGTCTTGTTGCTCCCGAGATCGCAGCAATATTCTCCGCCGCCCTCGTATTGCCAGCTGTGGTCTTCAAGCTTACCTTCACACAAGCCGATGCACCAGAACTTGTTAAAGACCTGGCTCTGGGTATTCGAAGCTTCGTTCAGCCGTTCGATCTTGTCCTCCAAGCAAGAATTGTATTCAGCGGTCTTGCAGTCACCACGATTCTGGTGTCTATCTTATCCTTCATGAGCGCAAGGCAAAGTCAGAAAGACGCCATCACATTGGTTGGTGTTCTACCAAGCCTAGCAGAAAGAGTACACATCCTCCTCACCCTCTTCCTCATAACGCAGACACGAGCTCCGAACGTCCCTCTTTTCCTCGGTTTAGAACTCCAGAGAGAAGCCCTCGCCTTCATCTTCGCAGCCACAACAACAACGCAAAAATCTCTCACCAACCCTCGACTTTCAACCACCACTGTCCAAAACCCTTCAATCACATCAATTGCCACATCAACTCTCCTCCTTTCGCATACCACATACTTCGCCTTCGGCGGCAGCAACTCCATCTCTTCCATCGACCTAAGCAACGCTTACAACGGCGTTGCAGACTACAACATCCTCGCCGTCGGCACTCTCCTCTTCGCGAGTAACTGGGCTGGCGCGATTTGGTGGGTCAGCGCCGCGAATCTGCTCATGTGCAACGGCAGCAAGAAATCTTCTTCCCTCTTCGCTGCACGAGAGAAGAAAATCCAACCCAAAGATCGCAGGAACTGGATCGACGCTGAGCGAAAGAAGCTCCACGATGAGGCTTTGGCTGCTACAATGGGATCTTCGAAACCTACATCGGATACAGCTTCTTCTTCTTCGAGTGTTTGGCTAAGTTATGTGGCTCATATTACGGCTTTCGAGGCCGCGGCGTTGCTGGCTGTTATGGCTGCTTGTACGGCTTTGAGGACGCACTTGTTTATTTGGACGGTTTTTAGTCCGAAGTTTCTTTATGCTATGGCTTGGAGTGTTGGATGGCATGGCATTGTGAATATTGGAGTGGGGAGTGGGTTGAGGGGTTTGAGTGCGATTGCGTAGATGTATATGAGGGATATGAGGCAGTGTGAGGGAGGAAGTTGGAAGAGGGTGTGTTTTGATAGTATTTGTATGAATATGATGAGCTTGGATTATGTTGCTACTGTTATCAATCAACACTTGGATCGGAGGAGACCGATCAAGGAAGTCATATAATCAGGCACGCAGAACATTTTCTCTCAGTTGAAGCATGCTGGAAAATATCCTTTCGCTGCTGCAGCTGACCATGGGAAGGGCAAGTTTGAAATCTCGTGAACGAGAGTCGAGTCATAGTGATGCCAAAGCAAATACAGTAGTAGCACATTGCCCACGAGCTGCTGATGCTTCTCAACGTCTTTTCCAGAGTCATCCGCCTTTCTGCCCCGTCTCCAACTCAGAGATTCCTCATCACTATTATCGACCATGCCAGCTCGAGGAGGTGGAGGAGGAGCAGCATTTTCAATGTCAGATGCCCACGAGAGCGCTGCGGGAACTACTTTCACGTCGAGTTTCATGCTCATGGCCTTCATTGGCTTGCTCTGGATTTTGAGACAGTGCTTGATGCGTCGAGGTTGAGTCTCATGACGCGAGAGATGGATGGGCTGAGGTCAAGGGTGGACTAGGAAGAATCGCTGTGGGAGAGAGGTCGGATCTAGTGAGGAAGAGAGGATGTTATGGAGGTGCGCTCTGTTGGAGCATCGGTCTAGTAGTATGTCAAATGTCAACGGCCTGTCAATTGTCAGTGGTCGTTCCTGCACTGCAATGTGCACGGCGATTTGAGTGTTGGCTGCGGTGCCATGGTTGTTTGTCTGTGCCCTTTTGCAGTATGTATGCCATTCGAGCTGTCCGTACAGCAATGCTCGAGTGTGTGCCTCATGTCTGTCTGAAGCTCGCTGTCATCTCGGTGCGCTCATTCGCGGTCTCTTGCATGTCTTCCATGGTACGCTGCAAGCTGCCTCTGAGCTTGTCCGCCATGCTGACCTCCGATGCACTCTCGAGTGGTTGCAGAGACCCGAGAGTGCCTGCACAGCTGTAGAGCTACCAGAAGATGCGCTGCGATGCCCACAAGGTCTGCGCTGGCTCTCAAGGGGCATCTGAACGGTATGCGCTCGTTGCTGGTGTTGTGTGCTGCTTCTCTATGCTCGAAACTGCATGCTCCCAGCCTCCCAGCCCTCCCCCAGCGAGATCCCGATCTGTCCCGACAGCAGAATGACAGGCCAGATGGCCGAAACGACGCTAAGCATAGCGCCCGCAGCAGAATAGTTTAATCTGACCTCCCATTGAACGTCAGGCGCTCGGACTCCGTGGTCGAGGCTGGCTGGGCTTCGGGAGCTTCGAAGCCGGTCATTCTTCCCTTCTGGCCCCATCAAACGCCGACGACATGCACAGCAGACGATGAACAACACCATAGGCGTCTCCAGCGCAGAGAGAAGGCGCGCATCGCGCATACTGAGCTTTCTTTGAGCAAAGATGTGTTGACTTGCCAAATGGTACCAATCCTCCGCTCCACCTCCGCTGCAGCGCCGACCACCATCCGCCGAGTATGCAGGCCAAACCCGAGAACATTAGTCCTGCGCCCTCGATCACCTTCAGAGCCCGAGTCAGATGTTAAACAACGCTGCTGTCGTCCAACAGAGCTCAGACGTACTGATCTCCAGCTGCGGCGGAGGCACGACCTAGCGCCCGCCCAGCGCCCAGCGCCGACGCTCAGGCCAGCGGCCACATACCAAAGTGCACGAAATGCGACCCATACGACGGTACAATAACCGCCGGGTAACCCAATCTTTGCTGACTTGAGGCTGGGATTGGTCACTGGCCGGCCAAGGTCAAGCAGCAGGGCTGGGCAACAGGCGAGAAGAGCAGTGGGCAGAGTCGCGCAGTATCCTGGGACACTAGACGCTACCCTCGAGTCCATGGACCATCACATTGTGTCCAAGAAGCGAAGCTGGTTTGGTTCCGGAACTTGGAAGCCGAGTTGGGCAGATCTTGCACACTTTACAAGGAAAGCGGCCGAGTCAACTTGAGAACGCGCCATGCAGAAGTTGACTTGGAGCACCTTTGGGCTACAAGCTGCCTCGCATCTTTGCAAAGCTTGTCAATCGTTGCCAGTGGCTGGCAGATATTGTATCTGTCGGGACACAAGCTTTGTGCAAGAGCAAGACCCGCCGTGAAAAGCAGCCTGGATGCCTCAAGAAGTGTGGGAAGGACGCATCAACTGGCTCCTTACGACAATTGGAGCATTGTTGTTGCTCAAACCTGCCTTGATAATGCTGGATCCATTGGAGTTGTGGTTGCCGACCTCCACTTTCACGCCAAGGCCGGATCCCGATTGGCTTTCACGCTTCAGGGAGAGGTCTCCTCATAGCTTCCCAGCAGTTTCACAGGACAGCTCAACAGCTAGCATTTCTGCTATCCCTCTAAACTTCTTGTTTGGCTTTTGCCAGATCATGAAGCAGGAGTGGCCCGTCAGCTCTGCGGAAACCTATGTGGAACCTGGAATTTTCGGATGCTCAGACTGACTGCCATGAATGGAGTACTGGCTTCTGTCGACTGGAAAATCACGATAATTCATGAGTAGCCTCTTAAGCAAAGTCTCCGGCGTCGTCGTGACCCTTCAGCATGGACTGGCAAATCACTCTTGTTGTGCTCAGCATACCTGACTGGAGGCTGTCCCACGAAGTTCTGTTCGGTACTGAAGCTGTGCTGGCAGTAGAGGACGGGCTTCCGTATCGCAAACCTACCTCTTTGGGCGCCACGCTTCTCAGGAACGCGGCATTGATACCCTTTCGGGTCGACTGGTCCATCCAAAGCTGCTCGCAGAATCAAGCAGGCCGCATGCCAATATGAAAAGATAAATCAAAACTTCTCTTACAGTAGATTCCGACTTGGGCAAGTCTTTGGCTATCTCATCGTCCCGGGACGTTTTCACCAGAGTCAGCTTTGCTCTTGTTGTGATCAATGCCAATCCGCCCCAGAAAGCAAGACCAGGACTCCGTCCTCATGAGTGTGCACCAAAGCCTCTCGATATTTCTGAAACCTTCGAAAGCCATTTGAAGCTCAGGTTCGATGCATGGCAAGCTGCAACATGGAGAGATCATGTCCCTCTGCAAGCCAGGACAAGGCGCTGGGTTATCGTTGCACGGTGGCCTCTTTCGCTTGATGATGGACGTAGGGAAACCTAGTTTCGAATTCTCGACGTCTATCGACCAAGTCGGAAGGTTCGGGTCTTCTCCTTCGAAGACAGACAGTGCGCGATGCGGCTGTCCTGCCTCATCGATGCGAGGGCTTTGACGGAGTGCGCTTCCAGTCGTTCTTTGGCTTTCTCCATCGCTGCGAATGTCCATGCAGCGATGTTTTTCCTGCCATACACGTTGTGCGTTCTCTGCTGCTACCCACAAACGTAGCCCTACAGTTCCGAAGCTGGAAATGTCCGACCGCAGACGCTGGATGAGGAGTACGCAACTCCAGAAATTGTCTCGTTGTCGATCATCGCGCGGAACTTGCTGGGAGGGCAGAACCCACGCTTCAGGACGGAAGCGAGAAAAGGACAGTGAACGGGAGGTGGGCCATTGTGTGGCATGTCAGGAGGAGCAGTATGCGCTGCGTTCGTGGCCTGCCATCCGATGCTCATATGTGGCTTTGAGCGACGTACGGCCTTGCGATGCTGCGAATGGCGCAGCAAGCGTGTCCGGTGCCGCACAAGTGATGAGAATCGAGGCCAGCATCTCTTCGCAGAAGCTCAGCTGCATTGTGCTCAGCTTATCGTGGATGCATTGTGGTGTTGCTGGAGTTGGAGCTCGTTGAAGTTCAAACCATCTCCGAAGCTCTCCGCAGCGTACATCCAGCACTATGAGCGACACACCAAGCAAGCCCTACCTCCGATTACACACCACACACCACGTTGACGGCCTAAAGAAGTGGATGCGGAAGATGCATAGGCTGTCCTCTAAAATTTCCAACCACCACGAAATCCATACTGGCCCTGGAACGAAAGATCTAGATGTGTGAGGGAAAACGGCGTTCCTGGATTTGAGATTGAGTATTATGTATTATGAGTTTTCAGAAGCTGACACCCAATGAAGTAAGAGAGATCCCATCCTCCGTGGCTCACACTGCTTCATTGGGGCCTGCTGCCGCTGCCGTTGCCGCAGCCTTCGTCGTTTACCCATAGACAACCTGCTAACATCGACCAGATTATCACGTAAACACTCTGGCTTCTATTTTTTTTTTTCGATCCGTCAAAGGAACGAGAGCTTAGTCATACAACCTGACTTCTATCTTTTTTTTGAAACGTCAAAGAACGAGAGCTTCAATCGGTTTGATTGCAGTAGACTTTTTGCAGTCATTGAGAAGCTTCTGCGCTGATTTGTGTCTGGTTTCTGCTTCTGCCTCTTCGGCTTGGCTTTTTAGCTGGTTGCGGGTTCGAATTGGTCAACAACACGCCACTACAACGACAGGCAATTATGTGGAATGATCCAGATGTTTGATATGGACACTGGCAACAATCTCCACTTGCATTGGAAGCGTGGAGATGCTTCTGTGGTTGACAATCTTTTTTGGAACCTGCAAAGAAGTTTGGCTGTTTGCTGTTCGATTAGCTTCGCCGCCTTTGACAGTCCGTGCTCGTGTGCCCAGCGCCAAGCTCGCTGTTCATGAGAGCATCACGATTGTCAAACTCCGAACATCAACACGACGAAGGACAACTCTCGTGATCACCCCTTCAAACACTACGCAAGCAAGCCAACAGCATCCGAACCGCTGCCATGGATCACGACCCCGAAGACCGAGACGACGAAGTCCCACAAGTTGGGTGGAGATACTACCTCGAGTTCGCCGTCCACTTCTTCCGCAGCTTCTTCTTTCCGACACGCCCTTCTCGCCTCCAAGGTCCACTGGCGACTGCGATTTAGCATGGAGAGCCGTGAGGGTTATTGCTTGACCGAGCTCGTTGGGCAGGTGGACCGACTTTGGTACAGCACACATCACACCAAAGCTCTTTCGTGGAAGAAACCACTCCTCGATACATTCAGCTCTCGGCTGGGCCATCAAAGTCAAGATGGGATTGACAGCATGGCATGGGGGAGCGGGAGATGCTGGTGACAGGCTAAGCGCTTCACCAGGGAGAACACGCGGCTGGCGCTTCAGTAGCATTGCTGCGATCATGCGCTTGAGATACAAGCTGAAATGAGAATCAGAATTCACCCATTCGGAGCGGCTGTGTTTCGATTCCGTTGCATTTCGCGTGTTCTACTACATCCTCTCACGTACTTGGCATATCCTCTCATCACAGTGACACGAGCAACGCGGCTTTATTCAAGATTGCTACGAACAGAAACTTGGGAGGATAAGAGACAGAATGTTTTGGTGAGGCATCGCGAGCCTTACGGAAGATGTTGAATTGACAAGTTGCGATGGAATTGAAACAACTGTGCATATAAAGGTAAGATTGGGCAGATTTCATGATCGGGGCATGTATCAGGAATATATGGTTTCAGCTCTCGCGCTCTCTTCCTCTTGCCCGATGATGAGCTCTGCACATGCAGTTCAAAGCCGCTGCTCGTCTGATGTGGAGCAGAGGAGACTTGTGGTCTCGGTTTCGCGGTGCACAGAAGCGATTCTGGTGGCAGTTACATGAGGCTGAAGACAGGATCTGGAATATGCGCCAGTCGTGCTCTGTAATACAACATACTAAGATATGTGATGGCTGCGGCACTGGACTATATCAAAGGGATCATGACAGATAGAGGCTTGATGTTGCGATTGTACATGTACACTTAGCCTCAAGGCTTGGATTATATAGGCCCAGTTGTCATACACGCCAACTAGAGCTCCCAGACCTTACAGCGCCCCAAAACCACAAAATTCTTAGATTTGTACAGGCTTGCATCTTGTCGGATTGGCAGGGTGTGAGGGACTTCATCTTTTGGACGTGAAATACAGTGTTCCCTCAAACAACACGGACACCAAACTAGATGATATAAATTCCCATTATCGTCGTGAATCTGCGGCCAGGTTTCGGCTCGGGTTTCTATTCGCCGTTGATGTGTGAGCTCGATCGCTGCAGGATCTGGATGTGGGTGCGTTCGATTAGACCATCCATCAAACAGTTGATAATAATCGACGCCACTTTCGAGCAAGAGGCGAGTAATGCGATCCTGATCCGGGTGTGACATTTGTCCACTGTGGTGGTAGAGATAGCTGCGCCATGATATAGCCAAGATGCGAATGTCAAGACCATGACACGCCAAGAAAGAGATCATTTCTTGCACAACAGAAGTGGTGCAGTCGGAAATCTGCCTGGATCCAGTGTGAAAATCTGATATAGATGACCTGAAAGCTGTGGCTGGACTGAGGCGGTGTGTTTTACGTACTCATAGAGATTGCACTTCATCAATTTCCTCATGATTGTGCCCAGCATCCAGTGTGATGACCGCCGAAACGGCCGGTAATCTCTCACATTAAAGGTGATCTGCGGGAGAGGAATCTTGCGGTCTAAATCGAAGACGGCAAGCTCAAGGGCCGACGTCTCGTTGCACACATTGTCTGGCGAGGCCTTTTCCAGGAATCCGAAGACTCCATAGGTGAGTTCATGCTGCTTAGGGTATGCTAACTCTTCTGGGGTACCGTAGACTGTTCTGCAGCGAGCGAGAAGTAGGTGACCGATGAAGGTAGGGCGAGTCATCCATCCTGGAACGCTCACGTCCACAAGTTCTTGCATTTCAGATGTAAGGAGAAAGTCGTACACTGTGCGGTGAGTGAAGTCCACAGCGCCGTCGTTTACGGCGAGGAGCCCTTCGCAGCTCGATTCAACCACTCTCTTGATGTTCTGTAATTTTGCGTCATCGACAAATTGGATCCCCATGTTCGATATGAACGCAGGATCGAAGATTTCAAGATCCAAAACGATCTTGTAGAGCAGTGTGTCTTCTTCATGACGCCACGCGCTCGCGTTAAGCAGCATTGCCAGCTTCAGGCATCGAGCTGTCTCTGCACCCTTCCACGTAGGGCTGATGCGTTCATATATCATTCCCTTCAAGTACAGCCCAAGCTCAGGCGGAAACTCGTTGCCTACACTTCTGCAAAGAGCTTCCAGTGTGCCAAAAGAAGTGGAATGAGGTTTACAGTCTGCCTTGGAAAAGTAGCTTGTCTTGACGATAATTCAGCGCGAGGTATTCAAGGCCTTTTGCATCACAGTCCAACATCTTTCAGGATATGGAACCACTCTTGAGGGCTGGCATTGCGCGAAACCCGGTCTGAGAGCACAGTCATGAGCGATGAGGAGAGAAGGCAGTAGGAGGCCGAGGCAGCTGCAAAAATGCATCAGTCTGATCTCAATATGGCCAATTGAAGACCCAGAAATCCTCGGGGTTGCAATGTTGACGATGAAATACGATGAGAATTGGGAAGGCTGAGTTGAGCCGAAGAAGTGAGTTCAGTACAACGAATTTTGGCAATCAAGACTGCAGGGCTTATTTGCTGACCATTTCTCTCACAACGGCGAAGAACATCGCCAGTTCGTCCTGCGCCAACGACTATTCCATGTGCAAAGTCGCTTACGATAGCGTGGCCGGGCTGTGTAGAACTTCATGAGACTCACTCGTAAGTGCGAAATCTCTTTGCGCTCCCTGCGCTTTCCGCAGCTTCGCAACACATCTACAGCAAAATGGACGACCAGGAGCCAGAGATCGAGCAGGACGAGGAGCTCCAGAAGTTCTTGGGCACTGCAACGTTTGGCAAGCAGTCGCGGGAAGCAAATGTCCAGAAGCAGATTGATCTGAGCAAGCGCCCTGCTCAACCAGCGACAAGGCAAGGCGAGGATGGATCACAAAAGGAGGAAGACTCGGACGACGACGACGACGATGACGACGATGATGAGTACCCAGTATCACACGAGATGGTCATCAAGACACATGAAAGAGCCGTAACAGCTGCAACGCTTGATCCATCGGGTGGTCGACTGATAACAGGTTCCATGGACTGCACTCTCAAATTCCACGATTTCGCATCCATGACTCCGACTACGATTCGCGCTTTCAAATCCGTTGATCCCAATGCAACGAAGAGTTCTGCTACGGTGGAGACACATCCCGTGAATCAGGTAGTCTTCAATCCGCTTTCAGCTGGGCATGTGCTGGTAGCAACAGCATTACCGCAAGCAAAAGTGCTGGGCAGAGATGGCGAGACGATATGCGAGTTCGTGAAAGGCGATATGTATCTGCGAGATATGCACAATACCAAAGGACATATTAGTGAAGTCACGACAGGATGCTGGCATCCGACCGATCGAAATCTATGTGTAACAGCAGGCACAGACAGCACATTGCGAATATGGGACATCAACAACCCGAGACAGCAGAAAGAAGTGATTATGCACAAATCAAGAGCAGCAGGTTCTGCGGGGCGGACACGAATGACAAGCGTAGTTTGGGGCTCGCCAGTACAAGGCGGCAACAATGTGTTGGTGTCTGCCGCGCTGGACGGCAGTCTTGTAATGTGGAGCGGCGAAGGACCGTTCGCACGGCCGGCAGCAGAAGTGAGAGATGCTCATACACCGAACACCTGGACGAGCGGGCTGGATATCGACTCTGCCGGCCGTATGGTCGTGACCCGCGGAGGAGACGATACAATCAAGCTTTGGGACACTCGCAAGTTCAAGACTCCAGTGACGAGCATTACACACGCATCTACATCTTCTCAATACCCAACAAGCAACATCCGCTTCTCACCAACTTCGACCAGCATCTTAACAGGCTCTGTCGATGGCAAACTTCACATTCTCAACCCAGGCACATTGAAGCCCGAGCTCGTCACGCCAGTCACTCCCGGCAGCCCTCTGATCACAGTCCTCTGGCATGCAAAGCTCAATCAAATCATCACCGGCTCAGCAAACTCAGAAACCCACATCCTCTACAACCCCAACACATCCTCCAACGGAGCCAAAACCGTCATGTCCCGCGCTCCGAAACGCAGACACATCGACGACGACCCAAACTTCACCACCGACCTCTCTCAAGGCATATCCGGCGACGCAATCATCACCCCCGGCGGCGCCCTCCCCAACACCGCCTCTTTCGCCTCTCGCCATCCCACAGTCGGTCTCACCGCATCCGGAAGATCTCGAGATCCTCGAAGACCCCATCAACCCGCAACAACCCCCTTCGCAAAAAACAACCCCGATGAAGAATACGTGAAATCACAAATCCCACTTTCTAGCCTTCGAGATGAAGACCCGAGAGAAGCTTTACTCAAATATGCTGAGAAAGCTGAGAAAGACCCGCTGTTTACGAATGCTTGGAAAACGACGCAGCCGAAGACGATTTATGCTGAGGTTTCTGATGATGAGGAGGATGCAGAACAAGGTCCTGCGAGCAAGAAACAGAAACAATAGTTTTACCAACGCATCAGCCTTCCTTAAAACATGTGTGTAGCTGGTTCTGCCTGCTTACGCTCGGCTTGTGGAGGTGGTATGTACCGGTATGTATGAGGTGGCAATGCAAGAGGGAAGGAACGAACAATAGTTCCTGCATTAGAGGCTGTCAAATGGGGATGCGGACCATGGTTGTATTTTCATGCATGCATGCGCGCAAGGATCAGGTCAGCTTGGGTCGTGGAGATGAGAAATGTATGGGGGCTGAGAAGGATTCGAATCATCAAACACGCCTTTTTCAAGCGTGCGAATATTCATGGGATATCAACGAGTTCTCTCCAGGTTGAGCGATGTTTTCACTACCGCTGTATGCATATCCATTCCAGCCTCCCCAGCGCATGGTGCCGGTCTATGCTGTCTACCATACTTCCAAACGCCGCGCTATGCTCAGGTCCAAGGTCATGAAATCGTGTCAATCTAAATCTTTCTCGTGGGTGCGACGCGCAACTTCATTTCTTCTTGGCCCGCAAACTTTGACCCTCACCACTGAAGTTCTGCTTCTTGCTCGCTTCCTCCTCAGCCTGCTGCTCTTTCGACTTGAGCGGCTTGATTTCGTAACCGAAGAAGAGCTTGCCTGGCGGTAATCGTAGCGGCTGAGGACCATTCATGCGCGTCTTAGTCTTTGGCGCGAGGCCTGGAATATTGACGGATCCTCCCTGTCCGGGTATTGGTGTGTTGGTGCCAGGTGTACTCGCGGGTGTGGCAGCTGCGCCCTTGCCCTTCTTCGCGACGAGTCGCTGACCTGCGCCGGAAAAGGCGGATGCGGCTTTCGCGTGTCCCTTCGCTGCGGCATCTGAGTCGGGCTTGATGCTATTGTAGTTGATCGCTTGTGCCATAGATCCTTCTGAGTGCATGAGACCGCCCTTGCCCGCCATCATCGATCCTACGCTTCGAGGTGTGCTCGTACCGCTTCCCTTCACGGGTTCTTGATATCCCACTGGCGCTGCGAAATCGACCTCGAGATCTGTCTCCTGTACACTGATTGCCTTCTTGTCGCCTTGCGGCTTCACTTCCAGCACCGCAATCTCGTAGACTGTGTTGTTGTACTCGAAAGTGAAGACATCACCCTGCGTCAAACAGCTGAAATTCCGGAATGCTTGCTCGAGCACTGCTTTCGGGTCTGTGATATCTAGAAAGTTGACATCTTGAGGTTGGAGCTTGATGAAATTCCCAGGCGGCAGATCGGTACTCTTGCACTGAATCAGGTCACCAGGTTCGAGACCCAGCACCGTCATGATCCAATATGGTAGGTAGACCCTCCCCTCCTCTGCCGTGAACTCGAGCACACCGGCGTGGGTATTCTTGTCTTTCGTGCCGATTTCGAAGAGCATAGGATATGTGATGTGGAGTTGCGTGAGCTTGTCGAGTGCTGAGGCTGGTAGGAACATTTTGCCGCCATGATTTGCTGCTGGTCGCTCAGGTCCTGGCATCATGGCGATCGGATAGCAGCGATAGTATTCGTCGAAGCGTCGAGGGCGACCGCCGCGAGCCATGGCTTGGCGATACATCATCATCGGGTCGGAATCGTCGAAGTTGTAGAACGCCTAGGAGGTGTATGTTAGAGGTTATGGTTGCAAGCGATGACGAAGCTGGAATGTACTTACCATTTTTGCGGCGCTGCAGGTGGAAGCTGCGAGCTTGCTCTAGAGGCAAGGGCGACTCGGATCTACTGAGGGCGTAACAAGTGAGACAAACTGATCAAGGTAATGAAGATGGCGAGACGGGAGTGAATGTTGTGCACGCGCAAGAGCTCTTGCGTAGCACGTGAAGCTACGTAGATGCCATCGGAGCTTGTGAGCTCAAAGTCCGACCCTCCATGAAGCTGAAAACGAATATTTGATTAAAGCGCTTAATTAACAACGTTATGATCGCCTCGGCCTACCTGCTACCTAGGTACCTACCTAGTGCCTACTACCTACATAACATATATAGCGCATTAGCATATCGGAGTAAAAGTGCGCTAATACGTTCTAGGGTGTCTACGCCCTTGCTTAGCGGCACCGCTTACTATATAAAGTATAGTAGCGGCTAGTATTAAAGGCCAATTAGTACGATTGCTAGGAACTTTAGTCTTCTAGCTAGAGGTAGTAACGATTATAGTTAAGAAAGAGGGTGTTTTAAGAGCCGTATAGAAGGCAGGTTTAAAGACTAAGTACTATAGACTATAGACAACTAAGAAGGCGCTATCTAATATACTATTTACTACGCTGTCTATCTACCGTCGGCATTAATAACTACTTAGCAACGAGCTAGTATACTATTAACCTATTATTAGACCTATTCTATAGAAATCTTATAGTATTCTTCGACAATAGCGAGGCTAAGGGCACGACTAGTTAGTCTGTCTCTTCGGCGCTTAATCGCCTATTTAAGATAGCGCTAGAGGTTCTTAATTAGGTTCAAATTAGGTAAAGAAGGCGGCTAGTTGTCTATAAGAAGAATGCGGCGAGCCTATAGCTAATAGACTATATATTCCGCTATATATACTAGAGCCGAGTCTTATTAGAAGAGTGCGGTTCTTTAGTTTAAGGTAGGCTTGTATCTAAGAGGGTGTTATTAGCTAGCGATTAGACTATTTATCTTCGATATCTCTTCCTAAACGATAGGAAGGACCTTCGAAGAATAATTTAGCCTATTAATATTGCCCTAGTCCTTTGTATTCTATAGCAACAATAGTCCTTTGCCTCTTATGCCGCTTATATAGCCCTATATTATTTAGTATAGAAGGCGTTAGAAGCGAGGCCTTAAATATACGTCTTAGTTGCGCTTAGTACGGCGGCAAGTAACGAAGACTCTCTCGTATAAGCTATTACGGACAGTATACTCGTTACTCTAAAGGACATTAGCCTAGTTAGAGAGTATCTAGTTAATATAGAAGATAGCCTATTCGAGCCTTAATCGTCGAGTGCGGTCGTTATAGAAAGGACGAGGGCGAGCGACGTAACGGCGGTAGCCGTACCTTCTATAGATTCGAGAGATTATTAATAGACTATACGTTAAACCGAGGGCGTTACGGACTTCTCGATAAGTTATTCGCCGAGTAATAGCATTCTAAGTAATAAATTAGAGTATTTAGCGCTCCTATACGAGTATATAGAGCCTGCGGCCTCTTCGAAGTGTTAGTAGATAGTAAAGTATAAGCTCTCGAATATAGACTAAATCCTCGCTATCGATTCCTAGGCGCTCTCTATAACGGTATAGTATAAATAGCTCATTTATAACCTTATAAATAGTCGAGAGCGCTCGCCGAGACTATTCTAAGATCCGAAGAAGAGGCTATTTTACTATACGGTAGAGTTGTTTAATAGTAGTACGTAGTTTATATAGAAGGACGGCTCGGCGGAGAATTCGCTACTCGGTAGTTTATTAGGTCGCGATTTCGTAGGTTAGTAATAGACCTAGATCCCTAAAAATAAGGGATGCGAGTAATAGCAGTGTTAACTGTCTAGAAGGCCGATTTGCGAGTAGTATAGCAGGCAGTATTAGGTGCAATAAATTAGTAGATTATATCGATTAAGATAAATTCTCGGTCGAGGAACTAGAGGTATTAAATAACGTTACTAAGCCCTCGGAGCTTTAACTCCGGTCTAATAGGAATCGCCGGGTACGCGGGGTAATCCGAACTAAGGCTAAGTTATTATCTAAAGATCGAGACTCTTCTTTAGTTAAATCGATAACTTTAATATTAATACGACGTATTTAGCCTCTTAGTTAGTCTTTAAGTTGCCGCTATTCTTCTAGCTGCATTTCCGATTTATTATACTCCGGCGGACGGTTATAAACCGGCGGTAGAGTCGATAGGGTACGATCGCGGTAGTAGACATAATAGGGAGCAAATCGGGCAAGTAGATTAATAGTTAGTAGTCGACGACGACCCTACGATAGAGCCGGCGGCAACAAAGGTAATCTAGATCGATAAGGCAATAGTGCTAGTTTAAAGGCTAGTATTAAACTAACTAAACGGACTAAGGGCATTATAGAAGGTATTAGACTTCCGCGGTTACTAGTAAGGTCGGAAAGTAGGTTTAACTAGGCTCTATATTCCTCGCCTTGCTCGAGGGCTTTAAGTAATACTAGACGGCGCTAGTCTAGTAGACGGTATACCTCTAGAAGGTTAGTATATCGTTAGTTACGAAGAGGTAGCGTACCTCGAGTATAAATAGCGCTAGAATAACCTCTTCGGCAGCTATATTACGCGTACTACTCGTCGGAGTAAGCGTACGGTATTATAAGAGAACGAGAGAGAAGCTAACTATTTAATAGGGGACTCTATATATATATCTACTACCGAAAGCACCTATTTATCGCCGACCGCTTCTTTATACCTCCTTTATAATTATACTCTCGAATACTTTAATCTAGCGTAGACCTACTCCTAATTATATAACGACCTTTAGCTTACTTCTAAATCACTCCTTCTTCCTTTCTTTAATATTACAAAAAGCTTATAAATAATATATTATTAAATCTACTAAAAGACGGTGTCTTTATGCCCTAGATAGTGTCTATACGTAATTTGAAGCTAGCTAGTCGGCAAGGGCTATAGTGGATACTGATAGCCAAGCCTCCCTTATTAGCCTCGGCAGCGACATCTCAAATTGGTATAGATCACTGCAATTAGTGGTGCCGGAAGGCTCCTAACCTTGGGCGGCAGTGCGGCGGAACAGGGGCTATTCCCTGCACTTTCACTCCGATGTGCCAACGCGCTATACTGGCACTTCCAAGTTCAAGGTTCTCCTGTTCCTTCACCGCAACAACTGCCTTCCAGAGCGAAGTGTGTGCGCGACTCGCCCCCAAGTTCAGCATGCACTGATCAAAGCGGATTCGATAGGCTTCTTCACCGCCGTTTTTGCAGAGTCACTGTCGAATGCGGTATTGCCGGGATCCTTCCTTGATTCTTGAATGCGAATGTCGCCGACACGCAACAGCAGTTCCATGCCGATTGTGCGACGGATGCTGCTCTAGACCATGCCAACACCAGCGCACAGCAAGCATTGCGAAGAAGCGACACAAGATCAGGCGAAGCTCTCCAAGACAGGCAAATATCTCGCACATTGGATATCATTTCGAACAATCACGCGCCTTTCACGCTTACCCTCTCCTTTGTGAGGCCTGATCCTGGTAAAGGCCATCTGTACTGTATAGATGCACTGCTGTTGCTGGCTGGATAGGAGAATTAACGTTCTTTTCGACATCTATCGCGCTGAACGGGTCTCCAACTTCTTCTCCGGACATGTCGGTTCCATCACCACAACATGATTGGCACTGTCAAACAACACCCTGCTGCACGCGAGTGCCATGAAGCAGCCATCTGCCTATCGCTCCCACACGCCGGCAAGCCATACGTCGTTCTGCAGAAGATCCGCATGCGAGTAGGGGCCCTACGTCTCAGCTGAAGCCTGAATTAATCGAGCGAAAACGCAGATGCAGAATTCTTCTCCGTCTCACCAGCAGTCGAAATCACCTTCATTTCCTCAGAGTCTTGCGTACCGAATCCTGCCTGCTTCAGGAACACAACGGATTGTGCATCCTGCAGTTACCCGTTGTGAGCACGTATTTTGCTGCATTCGATGTGCCTCGCTATGTTCACTGGCGCGACATGCCTCTCGGATCACGGCTGGGGCTGCAACAACGGCTGTAGCCTGTAGGACTAGTGGCTTTCCCAAGCGGCCATCACGGCTCCACTTCGCGCAAAAGCGTGATGCTTATTTGAATGCAAGCAACAGCGAACGACTCCGCCTCAGCGCCAGGAAGCGCACTCAGCTAAGACCAGAGTCTTTCTGCTTGAGCACTCTTGAAGCACCACCTTGCCGGTCTTGCATGTGATGAGCCAGCAGTGCCATGGTGCCTCCGCCCTTGGCCTGCACACTCGTCTGTCACCACAGGCGCCGTCATCCCGTTTGCTGCTAGTAGCTTTATTATGTGCGGAGGCCATGCCTTACTCGCTATACTTCAACTGGACGGGTGAACCTAGTCGACAGTAGCGCCAGTGCAAAATCGAGCTGCAGCTATGAATAGGATGGACTCTCGATCCTGAACTATTGCAGGATTGCTGACTTAACCACAACACTATTCCTACCTGCAGAACTGGAGCTCCCTGTGCGGAGACTCTCAGGTACATAAACAGTCGTGACGTCCCAGCAGATCGCTTTCCACCAGCTCTCAATCGCAACCTCTCCAGCTGCAGTCAAGGTCAGAGCCAAGCATCAGCTTTCAAGTCAATCGTTTAGACACTCTTCCAACTACCACCTGACCAAGATGCGCGCCGCATTCTTCGCTGGCCTTGTCGGTCTTGCCTCTGCGGCCTCTCTTGGACGACGAGGCGGTCCAGGCGGTCCAGGCGGTTGCATCGATGATGCCGGTGCCCAAAAGGTCGCCGACAACTTCCGCACCCTCATCACCAGCTACTCCAATGCCTCTGCCGAAGCCTACCTCACCCAGGACTTCACTGACTACTCCGACTCTGTGAACGAACTGATCAACAATGGCTGCCCCAACGGCCCACAGCCTCTGGGCTCTGCCACCTTCACCAGCCTTCAGTCCTTCGAGGCCGGCCAGGGGGGTCAACCAAGCATCCCATTCGAGAACCTCAACGTATGGCACGGATGCGACTTCGTCGCTCTCCGATGGAAGTCCAGCGCTCCTGGCACCGTCCAGCCGGAGCAACAAGTCACCGGTATCATCATCCTGGAGGTCTCATGCAACCAGGGTAACACGGGCGAGCCATGGCTGATCAACACCGTCTACTCCGAATTCAACAGCGGTGCCTGGCTCTACGATCTCGGCGTCTTCACCCCAACTTGCAGCTCGAGCAAGGTCAAACGTACCAGCAACGGTCTGCCAATCCGCATGTTGTAAACTAGAGATTGTAAAAGGATAGCTAGCATGTCTGGTGGAAGCGGGTTTCTTAGAGCATGTCGCTGAGTCGACCATTTCGTATACTGCTATGTGCTTTCTACAAGGAATGCGGGAGCATTATTGAGGCGTGCATCTTGATCACCTTTAGCGGTAATGATGACCATTGAAAGCAATTTCTCCAGAGGCCTAAGCATCACCATCTCAATTTACCTTTTTGCTGTCTTGCGCAATGACGAAATTTTCGCACTCCGATCGACTCTCGACGCAGTCATGTCTCTACAGTAGCTGCTTATCTCCTCTCCATTACATCGGTGCTTCGAACCTGCCTTCTTCTTCTGCCTTCTCACCAACCCAAGCTCCACACATTAACTTCATGACACGTTCAACAATTCAACATCCGCACCACTCCGCTTTCCTGTTCGTTCACTATCCGCCGGCATGGCATGGGAACACTGTTGAAACTGAAACTAACTTTCAATCCCACATATTCAAAGCCGTGGAGAGAGTGGAGACCCGGTCGAACAACACATTTTCCACGTCATCCGGCATCCGGCATCCGGTATTCGACCACGTGAGGGCCTGTTCATTCCTTTCAATACTTCTTTGCATTTGCATGAACTGAAGAGAAAGGAAGATATTCTCCGAAGGTGCAGGATCTTGGTTTGTGGAGATGATTCTTGGATTTTGTGTGATGGGATTCATTGGGATGGGATTGTGCCTGTCTCATGTTCTGGAACCTGCAGGGGCATCGCTGACAGCAAAAGGTAGATCCCAATGAGATGGGACATCCTAAAGGATTTGTTCGGAAGAGGAGGAAGTCTCGCGAGGACAAGCAGGTTCTTCACCTCGTCAACCAGGGGCATCAATACCACCAATACGATGAGACTAGTATTGAAGGAAATGCCAACTACTCACACAGATTTCCATATCTCCAGATCTGAGGCAGTTGCTGGAATTGTGCCAAATGGTTGCAAGATACCGCAGAGAAACAAACAGGATCTTCATACAGAAAGACTTTCTGGCACTTCTTTTACGACACCCCGAAAGGACACAAAACAAACCTTGCTGTATCGTCTGAGACCAACTGTGGCCGTCTCGAAATTCGAGCCGGTCTCTGGACCAATGCAGGATGAGTCAATGGAATACGGGTAAATACTCAAATGGGAATCATTGGCATAGTAATTACTGAGATGGGACTCCTCTTACTTAGATAGTAAACATTGGCATAGGAATTACTTAGATAGGACTAGTCCTATCTAACTAGCTTTTTGTAGCTATAGGAATTATAGGCATAGGAAACATTAGTACAAAAATTACACGTATAGGAAACATTAGCGCAAAAATTATACGCATAGGATTTTCTATATTCGTAGCCTTAGCTAGTAGATACACAAATATATACTACTAAAGTAATTTAGTACAAAACGATTAAAGAGTCCTTCGTACGCTCGATCCTATTATTTAGCTTACATTTTCTATATCCTATACTACGTGCTATAAATATAGAAAAGATAGTATAGACTCGGCGGATCGACTTTACGACTATACTACTTTACGACTTTACGACTTAAGTACAAAACGACTAGCTTTTAACCGCTCGACCTTCGTAGCAATCGACCTTCGCTATAATCGACTTTCTATATTCGTAGCAATCGACCTTCGTAGCAATCTACCTTCGCCGTAATCGACTTTCTATATTCGTAGCAATCTACCTTCGTAGCAATCTACCTTTGTAGCAATCTACCTTCGTAGTAATCTACCTTCGTAGTAATCGACTTTCTATATTCGTATATATTTACTATAGATATAGAAAATCGATTAGTTATATATATTCTAATCAATCCTAACTAGTTACTCTCCTCTACTCTAAACTTAAAACCTAATCGGTCCCTTTTACTATAATCTGCAGTTCTACTATTATTAGTTCGTAGGGATAGTATCGGGGAGCCTCGGGCTTAAAGAAACTCTAACTATTGTCGCCTAGGTCGTAAAGCTTACCTTAGCCGATTTACAATTTCTATATCTAGTAGTAACTACTATAGATATAGAAATCTATAAACGCTTTACTCGAGTAATATTACCTTATCGTAGCGCGAAGCCAATCCGTACTAACTATTATCGCAAGGTCGCGAATCTTACTCGACTAGAATTATAGTTTCTATATCTAGTAGCAACTACTACGGATATAGAAATTTACAAACGCTTTACTTTAGTAACATTACCTCGCCGTACCGCGAAGCTAATTACTGTTACCTAATCTAAGTAAAGCCCTACCTAGACCCTCGTTATTACTTAAACAATAGAATAATAGCTATAGGGTTTTACGATAGTATATCTTTTCCTTAGTTCTTCCTTCTACTTCTTCTTCCCTTCTTCCTTTAGATATCGTATATACCCTCTTACCCTCGTCTACAATATTACCTTAAATATAAGACCTACGTTAACGGTATAGGAAGTAACAAAGATAGCCGGTCCCTAGTTTACTCCGACTGCTCGCGGTTACCCCTTCTTTAGCTAGGTACGACTTAACTAAACTTAGATAAGGAAGGCATTAAGTAACTAATTTGCTTTATTTAGAGCTCTACCGCCTACCGCCGCGGCCGCCGTGCTATTCTATAAGTTGTTAACATTAATAGCATTTATTAGGAATATATACTAATTGCCTCTAGTCGTCGTGTTCGCAAGCGCTTAGCTACCGCCGACCTCGCCCGCCGCTCCCTTAACGCCGCTCGTTTCCGCGCGGCCTTTCTCGTACTACGCTAGCGCCGGCAGTAGTAGTAGTAGCAGCAGCAGCAGAATAAGTATAGAGCTAGCAGGTCATTCGTAGAGCTCATTTTACTAACAGTCTATATAGCGATAATATTATAGTCGACGCTAGTAGCGACGACAAACTAGCCCTATAAGTTCTAGTTTAGTCCTCGAGAACTTAGTATATTTAGCATTCTTATATCTTATCTATAGGTAGAACGACTACTAAGTGCCGCCTTTTAGCGAGGAAACTCTACCGTATGTTTAATTATTTCGAGCTCTTTTACTATTAATAGAGAGCTAATATTATTATAGTATCGACGACGATAAGCCTACCGCCGCCGCTGCCGCCGCTCTACCCTCCCCCTCCCCCTCTTTAGCCTCCTCTTTTTTCGAGCCTGCTACCGCTGCCCCCCCTTCTAGCTCCCTTATGCCTATCGCCGCCGCCGCCTCTCCCTCCGCCCCCTCTATACTAATCGTTGCGCCTCGCGAGGTACTAACTTTTCCGGGTAAGACCCTAGCCGACCGGGCTAGTAATAGACGCGGTCGTCTAGCGAAAGCTAGCAAGAATATAGTGCCGCTTCGCCGCCTAGAGGCGGTAGATAAGTAGTAGTCTATTTTAGAGAAAAAGTAGCGTCGTATATTTAACTTTAGAGTATAGAGGTCTGTATATATATACTAATAATTATTTAGTTTACCCTAGCTATTAGAAGATCTAGTCGCATATCGGCCGTATTATAGAGATCCTGTCGCTATCTCGCCGCCGCCGCCGCCTATATATCGAGTGCTACCGCGAGCTAACCTACGAGTGCCGCGAGTACGCTACTAATGCCTTTAGTATATAGCGTAAGTGCGCCCGCTGCATTTAGGCGAACTATCTATATATAGATCGCGACTCGCCGCCTTGTTTATCGTCGGATAGTTCGGATAGTTCGGAGGCTAAGAGTAATAAGGACAAGGAGTAGGCGCTAGGTCTTTGTTTTTCTGTTTTTTTTTTCTACTATTTAGTCTTAGTCTAGGTTAGTCTAGGTTTGGCTAGTGTTCGGTTCTCGAGGCCGCCTCGTCGCAAGACGAGGTCGTAAGACCTTATAGCATCTCGTAGTAGCTAGCGCGCTATTACGCTATTAAAAATAAAACTTACTATATAGCGCTAGATGCTGCTATTGCTAACCGCTTGTATTCTCTTATTCTCTTATACTATCGCAGTTCTTGTCTATATCGATAGGCCTTCTTATCGTAGGTACCTATAGTCGATCGAATTTCTATATTTATTACTATAGATACCCGCTAGCACCCGCGTTAGCTAGCTAATCGTGAATTTCTGTATTTATAGGCATACCTACGTACTTCTACATTCGTAATCTCTAGAAGGCCTAGTATATCCTATTTATAAAGTATTAATATCGTAGACTCGAGAACTCTAGTTACGTCGGTCGTAGAGCGTATACTTCGAGAAGTTACGTCGATTGCCTATTTAGCTATTTGCCTCGCTCGTTACAATTTCTATATTTACTAAACTAGATACCCGCTAGTGCCCGCATCTGCCGACTAATCGTAAATTTCTGTATTTATAGGCGGACTATTAGTCTTTTACATTCCCTAAAGCTAGGCTAAGTCTCTGCTCCTACGTTGCCTCCGCTATTGTCTACGTATATGCCTCTATCGTTAGCCTCGATTTAGACCTAGCTAGCGCCCCTGCTTCTAAGCCCTTCTATCCTATTATTTGCTATCTACCGTATTCGTTAACTCGTATACTATTCGACTTGTTGCCTATTGCTTGTTATTTGCCGTTTACCGTTTGCTGTTTGCGTTTATATAAACATAATAGGCGGCAAACAGCATAGTACGTAACTAGTAGTTACTATGCATTATATACGAGTCTATATGCTCTTTGTCCCCCTCTTTAGTAGAGCAACTCTAAAACTAGTACTCGAAATCGTTAATGCCTTTACCGAATATAAGAGATCTCTAGGCTTAGGTAGCTCGGATCGACGCGGAGATCTAGAGAGCAGTTCGACAAGGCTCTAGCGGCAAACTAGTTAGTCTAGATACCGAGGCTAAGGCTCGAGTAGTAATCGATCGAGAGTAGGGAGCGGAGGAGGAAAGGTAGCGGCAAAAGGCTCGAGAACAGTATAGGCGGATATAGAGCAATTATTTAGGAGAGACGCCGCTACCGTCTCTATCTGTGTCTGCTAGTAGTTAGTATAGCAACAAGAATTAGAAGCAAGGGGGAAAATGCACTACACTATAATGTAGTATAATACTATAGAATATCGACTAGGTACGAACCGGAGGTAGCGTTTAAACCTAGGCGTAGCCAGTTTCTATTATAATAGTATAGTATAGAAATAGCGAGAATTATAGCGCTGTATAGATATAGCGAGAAGCGGCGGCCGTATATAGGTATAGCTAGACTCCTGTTCTCTAGCTTAAAACCTACTTAGTATCTAGTTCTCTCGCTCGAAATCTACGCTACTCTTCCTAAAAACTATTAAAGCTCTAGCTCTCCTACTCGAAATCTGTACTACTCTTCCTAAAAACTATTGAAACTCTAGCTCTCCTACTCGAAATCTGTACTACTCTTCTTAAAAACTATCGAAACTCTAGCTCTCCTACTCGAAATCTGTACTACTCTTCTTAAAAACTATCGAAACTCTAGCTATATCGCTCGAAATCTATACTGCTATACTTGAAACCTGCCGAAACTCTAGCTATATCGCTCGAAATCTGTACTACTATGCTTGAAACCTACCGAAACTCTAGCTATATCGCTCGAAATCTGTACTGCTATACTTAAAACCTGCCGAAACTCTAGCTATATCGCTCGAAATCCGTACTACTCTGCTTTAAATCCGTACTACTCTCCCCGAAACTATTAAAACTCTAGCCCTATCGCTCGAAATCTGTACTGCTCTACTAAAAAGAACTGCGCTACTCTTCTCGAAACCTGCTTATATATACCGTTCCTACCTATAGGAGGAGCAATATTGCGCCGCATCGGCGTAGATTATGCGATTAAGCGTACGATATTAAAACAATACCGGCGACGACGATAACGAAGTGCTATTGCGAGTACGATTACGAAGGCGAGTTTCGTATATTTGATAATGCGATATTAGATTACTTCTAGTTAATGTTCGATAGTTATGTTTCTATATTTATAGTTAGTCGTATAGAATATAGAAATTCAGGCATACCTCGTATACTTACTCGGATCTTAGACTCTATATATATGCTCTATAAACTATCGAACCTTCGCCCTACCTCCTTTATACTCGTATTAATATCTAATAATAATACGAAACATATAGTCCTTCGAACGACTATATCTAAGCTTTAGATATAACAAAATGCTACGCGGCGCCGTATTATACGCTTCGGTCGTATTTGTCTATCCCCTTAGTAGTATAAGCTAGTAAATAAAGGCCTCGTATGCCTTAACTACATCGATATAGATTGCCCCGGGTACGAATCTTAGGTAACGAGGGCTCGCCGCCGCTACTATATAAGATAAATAATCGGTGAAATGTACGACCTAGATCCTATCGTCCTACTTTACTAGAATAATATTTATTACGTATTCCGAGTCTACTTTGTATACAAATCTCCGCATTCGACCTGTCTAGTACTATGCGATAAACGTATCCCTAGACTCCTATATACTAATAATATCTCGGTTAAGAGCGTCTATAGTATACTTCTAATCGGGGAATACTGTATCGAAATAGAAGGGGGTCGAAGGGAGTTCTAGCTTAAAGTCCGTAAGCTCGGCTCGTAGTGCTAGTTCGGGTATTGTAATCGTATATCTCGACAATGCCGCTATAATATACGCGTTATCGAGTCTGCGAGCACGTAGGACAAGGTCCCCGACCGCGACCGAGGAGATAAGGTAGATAGCATACTAAGACCCTAGCTAATTTCCTCCTAATTATACGTTAAATACGTTAAATTAGTATATCGTGTTCTCTATTCCCTTCGCCGACCTTCGTTCCTATAATAATAATAATAATAACGACGACGACGATTAACTATAGTATACTAGACAAATACGATACTACGAATCGCTATACCTAAAGACGATTATAGCGACGCGTAGAAACGCGTCGCCCGCACTACTCGCCTAAGGCTAATACTATCCAAATATGCAGGTAGTAGTAAGGGCATTCGATTAGTATATAGCATAGAAGGGGTAGTCTTTATTTGCTAGGTTATCGAAGCTAAAACGTAAAGAGTACGTATGTCTAAGCAATCGCGAATATCGTATATTCGATACGGACGGGAGGAAGCAATACATATTCAAGGTCTTGCTACGCTATAATAAGAAGGGCGACGACGGGGAACAAGTAGAAGTCTTTGCCTTAGAAGAACACGAATGCTCCCCGGTAATATACTATAACAATCTAAGGAATTACAGAGTTAACGTCCTCTTTAGGCACTATATTAACGCTGTTGCTGCCGACTAGCGACTTAAGCTAAACTAGCTTCAACGTACGGAATAGAACTAATACTTAAATAAGATTATATATATATAAGCTTTCCGGATTAAGAAACGGTATCTAGACGAACTTATTAGCTCGGAAAAGGACTCGTAGTAGAGGATTAGACCGCTTTTCGACGTACTAGCTACAATATAGAGCCTCGACGATACATATACTAGTGCATTCTATGCCCTATATATCGACTAGTAAGATCGGCATTAGGCTTCTGCGATCTTTCTATACGTGCGGCTAAGCGGCTTTCGACATCTACGTAAGTTGTTTACTCTCGATAGTAGTTATATGTCTAGCATATACGGTAGTGTCCTTTTAATAGTCGCCGGCATCGATGCCGAGAATTAGGTATATATTCTAGGATAGTACTATATACGGTCGGAGTTAGAGGAAACATAGTCGTAGTTTTTATAGCATCTCGAGGATTAGTTAGTACTTATAGACGAATTGTCCGTAACGGAGCATAGATCTCTAGTTAGCGATCGGCAGAAGGGCCTAGTTCCTATAGTAACGAAGGTATATAGTAGGCGTAAGATACACTACTACTACTATATATAGCACCTTACCGAGAACTTCGATAATAATTTTAGCCCTACTATTGCTAATACGATCCGCTATCTCGCTACGATTGCAACGGAGGTTCCTTTTAAAGCTAAAAAGTCCGCGATACTATACGAGATACCCTAAGACTAGCGGAGGAGCAAGACCGGCGAGAAGGTAGAATTAATACCGTACTTCGAAGGCATCGATACGTCTCGATAGACAATATACTACGTACCGCTCGAGGAATATCCGCGGTTTAGACACTTAACCTTAAACAACTCGGAGTCGATAAACAATAAATACTTAGTAGAACGCGAAATAACTATATTCTAGTATTACTAAGCGATATAGGAGAAGTTAATAGTTAAGAACTACGAGCGGCGCCGTCGTACTTTTAAAACACTACGATAGTCGGACTATTATAGGGAAGAACAATAGCGATATCTATATAGTTCTAGGGCCGGGTAGATCTACCTACCGATAATACTAGGCAGAGCGGTAATTAAGAGTAGTGCTTTAAAAGAATTATATATTGTAGACCTTAATCTACGGACATATAGCTATAGAGTATTCTAGGATATGCGAATGCCTTATAAATATACGTATATAGCGATCCGCTTCTTTAGGAACGAGGCTCTAATATCGAACGACCTAGAAGACTATATCGACGAAGCGTATAGTTAGACGTCGTATCTAGACACTTACTCGAGCATTCTATAGCTAATAACGTATAACTAGATTGAACTCGACGGCGTTACTAAGCCTCCGCTACTCGAGAAGACGAAGGGTCGGCTAAAGAAGGCTCGAGAACGTAAGAAACGTAAGCTAAGGTTACGAAGCGGAAAGCCGGGGACTCCGAAATTATATTCCGTTTATAAGCAAAATAGGCTCGACGGTCGAGGGTATACGAAGAAGACGTACGTACGGCGTAGGAACGGCGAGCATCCTATCGTCGGTAAACGAGGCTAAAAAGGCAAACAGCCTAATCGCCGACAAATTAACTACGAAGGGCAGCTGTATATAATCGATACTAACGAGGGCGATAGTAGTAGTAGTAGTAAAAGGGAAGAAGATAAGGATAATATCGAGACTATAGCGAACCCGGCTAATAGTAGTAGCAAGAGCGAGAAGATTGCGATCCGGTAGTAGATATTACGGTTGTCTAGCTTTAAGTAAGCTATCGTCTACGATAGGGCAAACTTCTATCTCTAGCGCTATAAGAAAGAAGTCGATATATGCAATACTAACCGTTAAGCGCGTAGGGAACTTAGGCAAGAAACCGACGTAGATAAAGACTACTTCTTAGACAACGATACGAGCTTTAGTAAACGCGCACTTAAGTAACTTAAGGCTATAACTGCCGAGGATATAAAAGCATATCGTAATCGCTTTATAGCCGAAGCCCTCTAGTAGTCCGAATCCGGTGTCTCGATCGGTAAAGCTATTCTTCCCGTACGAATCGATCTAGGTCTAGCGACGACTAAAGCGGAAGTACGCTAGAGAAAAAAGGACTAAGCCGCTACTATAAAGGCTAGGAAATCCGCTAGTAGACAATTTAACAATGTACGGCGATAAAACAAGCGAGCCCTAGGATTAGTATAGTAAGAGAAAGAGAAAGAGAAAGTAACTACTAAGAAGGAGATAGGGACAGCTACTATATAGAAGCAGAAGGAGAAAGAGGGGATACGAAAGAAGACAGCGTAGGCGGGAGTAAGTCGGATAGCTACTGCCTAATAGAGATTAGTAGCTATAATAGATAAGTTTTATACTAATAGTACGAAGAAGCCGACTAGATACTCGACGGTCCGCTAGCAAAATAGTACGAGGAAGCGGAAAGTACCTATATCCGATTAAAGTCCTACCCGCTAGGTACGAATAAAGACAACCGCTACGACTCGCGCTATAATAGCATAATAGTATGCCGCGACCGTACGCGCTAATATACAACCAGCCCTACTAAGTCGCCGATATTACGCTACCCTTAACGCCGCCGAAGCAGCAATTACTAAAAACGAACGCAAGCTCGGTTTTACTGCTTAAGACAAATTTACTAGAATAATATAAGCAGAAAAAAGAGTAGGGGTTATATAGCAGGAGAAAGCGAAGGCTAACTAACTACTAGTCGAGAAGGAACGGGCTAAGAAAGAGAGAATCGATCGCGAACTCGACGTACGTATAGCTAAAGGCGAAGGTATATCGCGCGCGTAAGAAGCTAGACGAGCAGAACGGCTAATATCTATAGAAGAACGCCGTATATAAAAGTAGGCCGAACAAGAGGAGGATAAGCGAATATATAATAAGAGGGTAACAAACGAGGCAGCGAACATAGAACGGCGCCGACTAGACTCGCTAAGTATAAGCCTAGAGACATAGCTTAAGCACTTTATTATAGTATATACATTTAGTAAGGCGAAGTCGGCGTAAGGGGAAGTCTATAGTACGCGGACTATAAAGAAGACTACTATCGAGGAGTTTAAGTATCTATATAGTAATATAATCCGAGAGGATATTACTTTGCCGCTATACGTCGAGAAGTTGCGAAAAGAGCTACTCCCGGTCTAAGTTAACATACATAGCGGTATAGTATTAAGCTAGCTAGCGTTACTTAGTTGTTTTCTAAATATAGGCTAGGCGGTTATATAGGCACGAAACGTTTAATATAAGGCGATGTCTAGTTAACAATCTACCGAGCCGACGGACGATAAGGAAGCGTCCTTATTCTAAAGGGCATTCGCCGACATAATAGCAGGCCTACTACGCGTTAACTTAGATAGTATAGCCGAGTCGGAGGAGCTAGACGATTAGGATATAGACGCAATAACGGGCAGTATTAAAGACGTATATACTAATATATATAAGTTTATAGAACGTCTCGGCGTAAGAATAACTAGCGTATACAAATAATATCTAATATAGATACCGGCAATAGAAAGCCCGACGGTACGGGCTATACGCTAATAGCGTATTATAACGGATAGCGACGACTTTCTATATAGGGAGCAGGAAGACGAAGATGCGCGACTAGCGCTTACTACCGAAATGAACATCTTTATTGCTAATAAAGAATATCGTAGACCTCGTCTATTCGACTCTAATAAGGCACCGCTAGAGCAGCGATTTTAGCGGACTAGGCTCTACGAGAGGGGCGGTTCTAGGCTTAGTAACAGATTGAGCCTCGTATCTAAAAGGGTATAGTCGAGTTATTAGTTATAGTTAACCGTTCTCCCGCGAATTTCTATATCTGCAGTAGGCTACTATAGATATAGAAACACCCCGCGTAATAGCCGCCTACCTCGGATAAAGGGTTTTGCAACGATATTACGAAATAACGGCATCTAGCAATAGATATATAGGGCTTACGCCCCGAGAGGAGCCGTCCGCCGGGTAAGCGGTTAAACTATTGCTTACAGCAAAGCTATAAGGGCGGCTATAAGGCTATAGTCGTTCTCGCGCGAATTTCCGTATCCGTAGTAGGCTACTATAAATACGGAAAATCTGGTTCCAACTTAGTATAGCTATCGTTAATTGCTACGTAAGTATATTATATAACGTGTTGTGCTTGTCGGACTAACCCGTACGAATTTCTGTATCCGTAGTAGTATTTATAGAATATAGAAATTCGCGCGGGGCAGTCGGACAGATATAGATCGCTAGATTCGGGGTCTTAGTAGGACATTAAGGCCGCTAGTCTTCCTCTTATAAGACCTTGCTTAGTAGATCGTCGAATAACATTACTATTAATACTATAACTACCCGCAGCTCCGTAGTGTATACCGCCTAGCAACTACGTTCCTACCGAACTATAGCGATAGACATACCTTACCCGCTAGCGACGGTTATATCGGAGACTCGGAGTCGATAGAAACAATACGAATTACTCGACGCGATTGCTACGGCCCTCGAAGAACTATACAGATACCGGACTAGCTATCGCATACCGCGTATTTAGTACAAATAATACAACCCGAAGGTTTATCGAGTACGTTAATATAGACAGCAATACAGACGCGCCTATATAGAGCGATACGTCCTATATATAGACAAGAGGTTCTATAACGTTACTACCGACAAAGGCATCTAGCTCGAGCTAGTTTAAGATACTTATAAAGGGCTTACGCCCCGAGAGGAGCCGTCCGCCGGGTAAGCGGTTAAACTATTATATACATTGTCTACGAAACTAACTAGGGAATTTGAGTATAGGTCGCTATAGTATATATGCATCGCATAGCTAGCGGATAGCCGCGCTTCTCGAAATTGGTCGTATAACAAAGAGGCATCGGCTTCCTTCTAAACTCCGCCGGAAGCCTATAGTAGCGGCTGCCGATATAGCAGATAACTTTAACTTACTCTTATTACGGCATCGGTATAAGGATGTTATAAATTATAACTAAATAGAAGCAAAAGGATATAGCATCGGTACGAGGATGTTATAAATTACAACTAGAAGTAAAAGGATATAGCCTCGGTATAAGGATGTTATAAATTATAACTAAGCAGAAGCAAAAGGATATAGCCTCGGTATAGGCAAAAGGATATAGCCTCGGTATAAGGATGTTATGAATTATAACTAAGCAGAAGCAAAAGGATATAGCCTCGGTATAGGCAAAAGGATATAGCCTCGGTATAAGGATGTTATGAATTACAACTAAGCAGAAGCAAAAGGATATAGCCTCGGTATAGGCAAAAGGATATAGCCTAGGTGCGAGGATGTTATAAATTACAAATAGAAGCAAAAGCAGAAGGACACGGCATCGGTATAGGCAAAAGGATATAGCCTAGGTACGAGGATGTTATAGATTATAAACAGAAGCAAAAGTAGAAGGACACGGCATCGGTATAGGCAAAAGGATATAGCCTCGGTACGAGGATGTTATGAATTATAAGCAGAAGCAAAAGCAGAAGGACACGGCCTAGGTGCGAGGATGTTATAAATTATAAGTAGAAGCAAAAGCAGAAGGATATAGTATCGGTGTAAGGATATTATAAATTACAAGTAGAAGCAAAAGTAGAAGGATACGGCATCGGTATAAGGATATTATAAATTATAGGTAGAAGCAAAAGCAGAAGGACACGGCATCGGTATAAGGATGTTATAAATTACAAGCAGAAGCAAAAGCAAGAGGACACGGTATCGGTATAAGGCACGGCATCGGTGTAAGGATGTTATAAATTATAGGCAGAAGTAAAAGCAGAAGGATACGGCATCGGTATAAGGATGTTATAAATTACAAGCAGAAGCAAAAGTAAGAGGACACGGCATCGGTATAAGGTACGGCATCGGTGTAAGGATGTTATAAATTACAAGTAGAAGCAAAAGTAGGAGGATACGGCATCGGTATAAGGCACGGCATCGGTATAAGGATATTATAAATTACAAGCAGAAGCAGAAGGACGCGGTATCGGTATAAGACGCGGCATCGGTATAAGACGCGGCATCGGTATAAGACGCGGCATCGGTATAAGACGCGGCATCGGTATAAGACGCGGCATCGGTATAAGACACGGCATCGGTATAAGACACGGCATCGGTATAAGATACGGCATCGGTGTAAGATACGGCATAAATTCCAAATAGAAGCAAAAGGATATAGAGGGTTAGGTAGATTTGTAGGTTGATCCGGTAATAGGGCAGAAGCAAGAGACTAACTTACCTTGCTTTATAGTAATAAGACAAAAGTAGAAGACTTACTAACCTTGCTTGCCTTAGAATAAGAGACTTATATAGCCTTTATAGTAAGGGCAAAATACTTACCTTACCTTAGGAGCAAAAGGCAAAAGACTTACCCCCTACCGCCTAGAAGTCTAAGTTTTATAGGAGGCTACAGAAACTCGATCGTAGCTAGAGGCTAGGCTTATACTATTCTCGATTTTCTAGTAAGGGGTAAATTCACTTTAACGCGGTACTTTAGCCGAAGTAGGGTTACCTTAGTCTAACAATGTTAGACCTCCTAATCTAATATAGATGTCTCGGAATAGAGCTCTTACGACGCTATACCCGAGGGCTTTAGAACTAATATTTAAGGAAGCGCGATACCCCCTAGGGTTCTAGGCCGAAGCCCGAGGTTTTACGTAGTATTTGAATCCTCTAGGCAAAGGATATTTACTAATAACTAAGCAGAGGAGGGACTACACTCCTAACCTTACCTGCTAGTGCAGTAGTAGGCTCGCGTCGCTATTAGATACTAACTATTAATTCTTATATGTATATATGCCTTTGTAGTTGTCGCTCGCGTAGTAGCTTAATAGTATAGATTGTAGACGAGGTGAACTTTCTACGATATAATAGTCGTAGGTTTAATCTACGATATCGTCCCTAATTATTCACTATTCCCGGTATTATAGATATAGTAACTCGGCAAGTGTCCCGCTAGAGGAGTAAATACAGAACGGTATATACTAACTGCTTAATAAGTCGACGTCTAAGGAGTTTCTAGAGTTCCGGATCTCGCAAACTATCTAAGCCTAAGCCTCGAGAAGATAACCAATTTCCGTATCCGCTAGCCGACCTATTAAATATAGAAACTCGCAACCTCGAGGCTAAACCTAGAGGCTAGTTTCAATTTCCGTATCCGCTAGCCGATATATTAAATACAGAAATTCGCAACCTCGAGGCTAATTCGGAGCCTTAAGGCTAAACCTCGAGGCTAGTTTCAATTTCCGTATCCGCTAGCCGACCTATTAAATACAGAAATTCGCAACCTCGAGGCCAAACCTCGAAGCTAAACCTCGAGGCTAGCTTCAATTTCTATATCGACTAGTTATTCTACCGAATATAGAAATTCGCAACCTCGAGGGTAATTCGGAACCTAAAGACTAATTCTAACTCGAATTTCTATATCCGCTAGTCCCTATACTAGATATAGAAATACGGAATCTCGAGGCTAATACGGAACCTCGACCTCGCGACGGGCCCGACCGAATATCTAGTAGGTAGCGGTAATTTCTACCTTCGCTCGTCTATCTATTAAATACGGAAAATAGCGACATCGCTAAACAATATAGGAATAGAATAAACGTACTATACTATAACGACGAGACAAGGGCCGGAGCGGGCAAGGCGTAGAGATCTCTTCTAGATCTACGTAAACTATATTAAATATAGTTTTTAGTTCAAAAATGCGGAAAAGCAGAGCTAGCAGAAACACGCAGACTACTAGAGCGAGAAACTAGCTATACCGCTAGCACTAAGACTAAGAACCCTAGTAGAAACGAAACAATAGCCTAGTAGCCCTCGTTCTTCTTCTTCTTCGTATCGAGACGGCTATTTATAATCGGTTAGTCTTACTCTCGGCATACTTAGTACGGTTAGCGATAGATATATACAACTTCTTACTAGATCGAAGACGACCTAGCGGCGTCGCCGCAGCGGCGACCTCTATAGTGCCCTAGGCGGGCGGGAAGTTAGCGGCGCGTGCGGCGCGTAGTATAGAGGTTGCTATACCGATCTTGATTAGCCGCTACGACTGCTAGCGAGCAATAGACTTCGTACTAGAGCGCATTATTGCTTCCTATACCGTTAACGTAGTTCTTATATTTAAGGTAGTATTATAGATAAGGGTAAGAGGGTATATAGTCGAGAGGGCGTAAGAAGATATATACTACTATCCGATATAATATTCGATTCTATCGAAGTTACTATTATATTGTTAAACCTTACCGTACGTAATGTTTAGTATTATATAATAGTATATGCCTTAGCTAAATAGAAGGACTTTACTTAGCTTTACTTTACTTAGAATTTTACTAGATAGGGGTATAGGACTTCACTTTCCTAGGCGTTTTGCTAAGGTAGCATTTCAGTATTATATACGCTATCTTATATAATACAGAAATCCTACTTTGCTTTTTAGGTATAGTAGTCGCGACATCCTACGCAGCGAGGGTGCGCGACCTACTTTATTATTTAAGGCGACAACGATAGGGTACAGAAATAGAGGGCATACCGTACGAACCTTAAGCCTTTACAACTGTACTATAGATACAATAATTTCTATATTTGCCCGCGTGCCCTATAGATGCGAAAAATCGTAGATAGAGTAGGAGGTACTAATGTTTCCTATTTTAGTAATTTCTATATTAATAGATTCCTATATATATAATTAATATACTAATGTGTATGCTAATGTTATAAAACTATACCATTTTAGAAATCCTAGGCAATGTTACTAATGTTGTCCTATCTTAGTAATTACTATACTAATAAGTCCTATTTAAGCATTTACCTATAATAGAATACTTTACCTTAGCCTGCTCCTCGCCTATAGATAACAATATAGACTTCTTTTATAGTCTAGCGAAGATCGGAGGCGCTAGTGATCCGATAATAGAAGAAGCTACGTCTTAATACGTACTTCTTGTAGGCAGAAATATAGCTACAGGTAAAGCGTATGCAACCTGCGATAGTAACCTCCTTTTAGTTCTATAACAAGGCACACTTGACATTCGTATAGAATTGAGTTGTTAGATACCGGAATGCATATTACTATTAGAATAGCAGAGCGACTATATACTAGCGAATGTCTAGGCAGCATTTTCAATGTCGTCGGATAGCATAGCACGTCGTACCTATACAAATACGATCTCGGCAAATGCAATACTTTCGGATCGATCTTATAGAAACATCCTAACGCGTCGATCTTTATAGTACTTACACGTCTCCCTACAATACTAGGAGAAGCGGTAATAGATGTCGTTCCCTTCGGACTTCGATATCTAGTTATAGAGGACTACTTTAAGCTACTATACTATTACATAAACACAATGTCTAAGTTTAGATTTCTAGTAGACGGTGGTTTCGATATCGAACCTCTACTAAAGGAATAGCATAGCATGTATAGCCTAACTAACACTCTCGTTCCGTATAGTTCTGTACTAGAGGCGATTAAAAGGCTGTCTCTACGAAACTAGAGCCGTTTAAGATTATACCCGAGAATTGCGGCATTATATTAGAAAGTAGGTAAGTAACTAGCAACCCTTCTTTTTAAGTACTACCGATCCTCTGTAAAGAACTATAGTTAGGGCTACTCACTTTATAAGCTAGCAAATACTAAAGCTACCCGTCCCGAGATTATAGTAAAGGTATAACATAGTTATTAAAGAATAGAGCAGAAGCGATCTCGTATAGCTATCCTACGTAAGTGTGTCCTCGAGCGCTCGTAATCGATTAATTATAGCTTGCTTTCGATATTCTGTATATAGCAGTAGCCGAGAAGATACGAGGTCTTGCTCGGTATACAGGATAGTTGTTAATAATTAGAATCTTGAGTTGGCTGTCTTAAAGCATATTCATCCTATCGAGTAGTACGCTAGTAATTAAGGCTTAGATAGTCGGCATCTTATAGATTAGTGTCCCGAGTCGAATATTTTCTATACTATTTCGGCGTCTTTTTGTATAGCGTAAGTAGTTTCCTCCTAGACATATAGTGCTAGATAGTAGACTCTTCCCGCGAGAAGACTTAAACCTTACTACACTAAACTCCTTATAAACTCTAAACTATAGTAGCGGTTTATTATAGGCTAGCGCCCGCTACTATCGTTTGCCTAAAACCTGTTAGTACGGTCCGCAGAGCCGCCTCCTCTCTTAAGCCGCACAGGGGTAGGCAAAAGGGGCACTTTTACGTAGTTTTTATCGTGTTTCTTCCTAATTGTCGTCGTCGAGTAGAGGATAATCGTGTGTTCGAGCCCCGTACGTATATTCTAACCGTTTCCGAGTGCTATTACTGCAATAATGCCGCTAAGAGAGACACGTACGAATGCTAGTAAGCCGCTAGTGCAATTAGACGACAAGATAAATAACTCTACGCTAAAGAAGAAGGTAATCCGCACTCTTAAGAAGACTATTAGTCTACCGCTAATAAGAAGGAATACTAATACGGCTTAGTAGGTAAAGGGTAGCTCGAAGAGTAGATCTTCCGGCGGCAAGAAGAGCAAAGCGACTACCGACCTAATTATTAATCTACTAAGTAAGGAGACTGTAGCGGCGCCGGCAGAGGAGACTAGCGGTATAGAACTACTAAAATCGGCTGTTTCTTCCTCCGCTTCGACCTCTATATCCTCCTCTTTTAATGCCGTATAGGAGGCGGCTGCTACTGCTAGCAGCTAAGCCGCTCTCGCTATAGGCGCTGCTCCTATTACTTAACCTAGCTCTTTCTCGGACGAGACCTTCTATTATAAAGGCTAGTAGACGCTATTTAATACGACGAAGAAGGGTGCGGCGCGGACTATAGGAACGAAGCTAGTAAAGTTCTTATCGGCTAATAAGCAAGAAGCATAGAATAGATACGCGTAGGCGGCGAAGATAGCGAAGTTAAATAGTCTCTCGGCAGCGTTTAATCGAGTCGTTATCTGTACTAGAGCCGACGGTTAGAAGACGGCTTTTACTAGCGATTAGCATTAAGCTAGAGATAATATTAATAGCGATAAGGTCTATAGTAATACTTTACAAGCTAGCAAAGAATTAGTGCTTGCCTCGCGGAAGAATGTCTTTATTAATATCGACTTCTTAACGAAGCCTAAACTAGTAGCAGCTAGACCTTTAAGTATTAAGAAGTTAGGTAAACCGGCTTCTAATCTAACCTCAATTTAGCTTGCTAACGCCGGCGTTATAATAGCTAAATTAGAGGCACAGAACCGGTAGGACTATTATATTCTAAGAGACCTTCTTTGTAGCTATAAAGATTGTCCAAATTATTATAAGGCTAGTAAGCATGCTTGCTAGCGTAATAAAGCACTAAAGGACTGTAGTAAGAACCACTTTCCGTTCTTTAACGCTGCTATAATTGAGGGCTATAAGGCTATCGCTTCTAGCGAGTAGAAACGAGATCTAGTAACTAATAAGCTCGAGAATAGGATGCCGATGCGTCTAGAGATAATAGTAATTAAGAGGAAGATCTAGTTAGAGTTTTAGAAGGGTAAGGCTCGAAGAATGCGAGGCCGCCGAAGCAGTAAGTCCGAGTCGCTATATAAAGCCGTTCCTACTACTAGAAGTTAGCCTATTATTCTTAACAACTTTAGTAAGGACTTCGGTCGTATTCTAGATAGTAAATTGCGCGGAAGTAGTATTATACCTAGTACGCTAAGTAAGACACCTACTCGGGCTCTTATAAAGACTAGTCTGCGTAATGTTGTGCTACCGCGGAATATCGTTTAGTGCGAGAAGCTAACGGTAGAATTCTTCGACTAGGTTGCCTTATAGCGCGAATTCTAGGATTACGACTATCTACGGCCTTATATCGCCTATTTCGTCGGTATAGGCTAGACGCTAGAGACTATCTGCAATTTAATAAAGGACGACTAGCCGGCGGCACTTACTAAAGTAGATAGAATAAGGTTGAGATTAAAGAAAGCTATCGTCGAGTTTATAAGGAAGAAATAGGATAAGATTATAGCGGCGGAAGCAGCCGTAGCGGAGGAAGGAGAGAATTTCTAGGAATCCGGGCTTTCTTTAGGCATCGATCTTTATACAACTACAACACATATAAACTTGTAATAAGCGGGAGATTCTTGCGGTAATAGCACTTATTTAGCCTATATATAATTAATTAATACAATGCGTTAGTTATAGAACACTAAGAGCGATAGGCAAAGCTAGCGTTCGAATACATTTATTCGAATCTCTAACTCGGAGCTTTCCGCGCGCTAGTAGCGACTAGTTACATTACTCGAAATCTTCGAAGTCTACCTCTTGTTCGCTATCTTCCTTGTTATCTTCCTTAAATACACTCTTACCGTTACAATACACTTCCGATACGTCGTTAATTATCGACGGTAAGGTATTCTAAGCCTATTCTATCTATTAGGACTCTTCCGAGTCTAGCGCTATTATATTCTAAGCCGCGCCGGCGGTATGTTCGAATTCGGCTAGATCGTACGGAATATCGATACTATCGACGTTATATCTAGCAAACTTAAATAACTCTCTCGATCTACGACCCCTATACTTATATAGGCACTAAAGCAAGTAGTCCTAGAAGCCGACAAATCTTAGAAGGTCGTCTCGGTATTTTTTAATAACTTTCTTTAGTAGATTAAAGCTGCCCTCGATCGGGTTTAAATCCGGCGAATACGGCGGTAGAAATTCGAGGTAATAGCCGGCATCTAGTATCGCCTGCTTAACTCTCGCACTATAGTAGATACTAGCATTATCTATAACAAATATTATTAGCGGACTATCCTCGAGGCAAGGCAGGACTTGCTTAGTTAGCTAGAGATAGAAACGATTAGAATTAATCGATCCTTAGTATACGTAAGTATACGGAAGATAGCCGTATAGCGTAAACGTAGGCAATACTAACTATCTAACTTCTCGCCTTATATAGGTAACATTAACGCAAGTTAGACCTCTTACCGACTATCTATACTTCCGCTAACTAGTCTTCTAATTAGATATAGTCTTATCGATAAATACGAGTCGATCTACCGGCTATTTAGCGCACCTAATCGTCTATAAAGCCCTTAAGAACGGATTACGCTCCTTCGCTTTACGTTTAACCTACTTACGAGTTATGCCTATCTCCTACTTTAGGACCTTCGATAGTATAGGCGCCTTTACCTAAACACCCTCTCCGCTATTACTTATCGGTCGTAGCCGTAGAAACTCGTCCTTAAGAGCTTGGATTATCTCTATAAAATAGGCGTTAGGCCGGTCTTTAAGGAAGCCGCGTAAGAAGTTACGTTCTTACTAAAGAAGGATAGCCTTGTTGCTACGCTTTAGTCCGCTAGTATACTTAGTATATAACGCTCCGAAGATATAGTATTTCTCTTAATATCTATATACCGATCTAATAGTTATTAGCAACTTTACAAAGGCATAAACCTGCTTAGCAGTCTAACCCTTTGCAAATAGGTTTATTAGCTAGCCTTGCTAGTCGAGGTTTATACGAGCGGACTTAACTATTGCGGCGTAGCGGCAGTAACAATAATAACAACACCTCGGAAGGGTCTATACCACTAAAATACCGACGACACGATATCTACGATATACTAGAGGATTCTACACATCAGAAGGAGGAGAAATAATTGAAAAACCACCAAAATAGCGGTGTGGTTCCTCTCTCGGAGGTGCAGGGTTCTCCCCGCACCGGCACTGACAGGTTTTAGGCAAACGATAGTATAGCCGAGCCAATGGGCAAGCCGCGACCTGATCGCACTTTATGCTTCCACCCACTCTCTCTTCTATTGACTATCACACTCTCAAGCTGATCTCGTTAGGCAAAGTCTTCTGGACCGAGAGATGAGCCACACAGCAGCTTCAAGCTATATGCAGACACCGCACCACCGGATACAAGAAAGCTAAAAACCACACATTCGAAAACACCATCGCCAGCCAAAACCACTACCACAAGAATCCGCACACACTCACTCCTACCTAACCATGGCATCAAACCACAAGAAGAGACCAAAATCCCTCAAATCCGGCCGTCCCCCAACATCCCAGAATCAAAACCCCAAAACCCTCTCCTCAAAAACAACCCAAGCAAAAATCGTAAAATTCCACCACCTCAACAAATCCCTCGCGTCAGCAAAGGCCTCAAACAACACCTCCTTAATCCGCGCCCTCGAATCCGAAATCTCAAGCCTAGGAGGGTTAAAAGCCTACCAAGAAGCCTCAATCCTCGGCCAATCGAGTTCCAGAGGCGGAGATTCCAGCATCGTCCTCGTAAACTGGCTCCAACAAGAACAACAACAGCACCGAGAAAATCTCCGCATGCTAGAAATCGGCGCCCTCTCAACAAGAAACGCATGCAGCAAACATCCCAACCTATTCACAGAAATTTCACGAATTGATCTCTCTTCCCAAGCCCCAGGGATTCTAAAACAGGACTTCATGCATCGTCCTTTACCCACATCAGCAACAGAATTCTTCTCAATCATCTCGTTATCTTTAGTCCTAAATTTCGTCCCCACACCAGAAGGACGAGGGGAGATGTTACGCCGAACGACGAAATTCTTGAAGGCAGGAGGGATGTTGTTTTTAGTGCTTCCGGCACCTTGTGTTTTGAATTCGAGATATTTTGATGATGAGAGACTGACGACTATCATGGGGAGTTTGGGGTATGTGATGGTGAAGAGGAAAGTGAGTAGGAAGTTGGGGTATTGGTTGTGGGAGTTACGACGAGAGGGAGGAGATGAAGGGGAGCAGGTGTTTGGGAAGGTTAAGGTGAGGGATGGGCCGGGGATGAATAATTTTTATGTTGAGTTGAGGGCGCCTGCGAAGGAGGTTGTGTAGGGTCAGGCTCCTCGATGTGTTTGTTGATTGGTAGTGATGGCATTATTGAGAGCGACACAGGACGAGATACCCAGCATATAAGCATAGCGATGGAGTTGAGAATGCGTATGGACATGGCCCTTGATTGAGAATCTGCAGATAGACATCGCACAAAGCATAGCTTTCAAACACTATCTACCTCCTCGCTAGGATTCGAATACGTTGACCGAGCAGCAGACATCGCAGGGTGTGAGAAAAACACAACTAGCATATAGCCTCCCCCTTCCATATCCTCTGTACCGCGCCGATTCCAGTAATTTCGCCGTCTTCCCGTGCTTTCACTTTCGGTCAGGCTACTGCCGCTTTCCTCGCATGATAATTAAGCATCAATTGATCACAAATAAGCAACAAAGAGAGCAACGCCGGCCGATGCAATGACAACTTTCGGGATAATGTTGGGTCGTAAGGAGCGTGAGCGTCGTTGAAGTCCTCGACAGGGTGTTGATGTGGTCGTCGAAGGAGAATAGGATGTGGGTCAATGTACAAGCCTCCGTTGGGCTGGTCTATCGCTGATCGGTCTCATGCTGATGATGGGAATATGAAGTGACAGATGCACTTCCAGACGTATATGCTCGATGATGCAGAGGCGGGTATCACTCAGACGAGAGAGCTTTCATCGTCTAGCTTTGCTTGCACTCGGCGGCCTCCTGCTTAGGCTTGCCACCTTCCTCCTACTGCATCGTTAGTAAGCGATCCAAATGTCATGTTAAGGGGAGCTCAACAAACCTCATCATCGTCCTCGTCCTCATCATCCTCATCCCGGTCATCCTCATCATCGTCCTCGTCGTCTTCATCTTCGAAGTCATCCTCGTCGAAGTCGTCAAGGCCCTGCTCGAACTGAAGAGCCTCGCCAGTGAACCAATCAATGGCACGTGGAATGAGCTTCTCCTTGATATCCTCACCGAGCTGGTAGTCGAGCTCGAGCTTGGCCTCAATCTCCTCGTCAATCTCCTCATCGTCGTCTGCCGGGGGTGTGGCTGGGTTGAAGAAGTCGAAGAATGATGGTGTGGGGATGGTCTTCTTGACAATGCGAGTCTGCTTGGTGTCTGCACTTTTGTTAGCCAAGATCTCATCGAATGCTATCCTGCTACGCTTACTCTTGTTCCTCTGCTTCTTGCTCTCAACCTTGACAGTCAAGTCCTGGCCAGCCTTCCAGTCAATCTTGTCACCCTCGGCGTGGTCGTAGATGAAGTCACCACCGTATCCGTTCTCTTCTTGGTAGAAGTATGTCTTGGAGAGGGTCTTGTTGGTGAAGAATGGGTTCTCGGCGAATTCGAAGATCAAGCGGAAACCTGGGCGGTCAAGGTACTCCATGCGAATGTCAGTCAGGAACTTGAGGGCCTCCTCGTCGCGGAGGGTGATGGTCTCCGCGAGCGAAGAGTTCTTCATGGCGCTCAGCCAGAACTCTGGGATACCCTTTTCGTCGGCGCCTGATGTAGCCGCGTCGGTCTCTGACTTTACTGCCACGGCTTCCTCATCTTCTTCCTCATCCTCCTCGCCGGCCTCGATCTCAGCTTCGGTCGGCTCAAGTTCGCCATTGACGATCTTGGCGCGCTTCTCGTAGAGAGGAGTGAACTTGGCGAAAAATCGCTTCTCAAGCTCGAGAACCTCTTCTTGGAACTGAGCTTCAAGCTTGGAGTGCTCCTTCTGCACGCCCTTCAGACCCGCGACGCGTTTTCGTACTGGCGCAGGCAGCGACTCGACGTAGCCAGAGGACTTGCCCACCAAGGAGTTTAACTTGCTGTGCATCATGCTCACGAGGCGCGGGTTCTGGGCGAAGATGGAAGCGGCGGCTGCGCGGTCAAGGTCCTCTGCAGAGAATTCTTGTCAGCCTGGCGGGGACGTGGCGAGGGTGTTTTGGGCAGAGCATTGTATGCACAACATACCTTCCTTGATGCTGGAGACGCCAGGCGCCTGGGCATGCGAGGAGATGGGAGCATTGTTTGCTGGGGTGTTTTGCGGCGTTCTGGTGTCCATTCCATCAGCATGAGTGGTCGTTGAGCAGTGATATCAAACAGACTTGGATGTGCGGTGTGAGTGTTTTCTGCTCGGGAAGGGTCTAAACTCACGGTGCGGTAGGCGGCGCCGCTCGATTGCGGATTGGCTCTGCCATGGCGGTATAGTGTTGGTCGATTTGGGGAGAGAGGGTGTAAGATGGTGAAAGATCGACCCTGGTACAGTGACCTGGACTGCGCAGTTTGTTGGCGATGTTGAGAGATTCAACAAGCCGAAGTTTTCGACCTCTTCACAGCGGCCAACCCCACGCTACGCTCACCGACCAATCACAGGCCTCCCATGAGGTGACTCGCGTTGTGAAAAGATAGACGACCAGGTCCCGCTGTCACGGTGTTTCTTTGTGGCGCATCCATCGCATCCACCACCTGCAGCAGATATCAACCACAACCCAACAACCACCGCACACCATGGATCAACTGAATATTGGGCCCGAGACCGCGCAAGCTCTGGGCAACATGTCCGCTCAGGACAAGCAGGAGCTCAATCAATTCGTCGTCAACGAGGCCCAGAAGGCTCAGATTCAGCAGAGTATGGCTGTCTTCATCGCATGTGCTTGAGCCATCTTGCTGACATGCGCCCAGCTATCCACACTTTGACCGATACCTGCTTCCGAAAATGCGTGACCTCAAAGATATCATCCGGACAACTCGATCGATACGAAGAGCCATGCATGCGCAATTGTGTAGACCGCTTTATGGATTCGCAGATGACCGTTATTCGGCATCTCGAGAAGATGCGCCAGATATAGACGGTCTGAGATAATGGCATTGTATGATATGATGGGTTGCATGTGCATATAGCATTACATGGCATGGCGCTGGAGAGGCGTAAGAAGTCACTCGAGCTGCGTGCGGTGCGGTATTGCGGCGCTCTGACAGATGGCGAGGACAGAATAAACTGTACAATATGTACCGATTAAGAAGAGCAAGACAGGCATGACTGAAAAAGCCGTGAAGGTAGGATGCACAGGACGCGATCTAGATGGATGTACTACGATCATGACTTTCGCTCGTTACAGAGTAATAGCGTTGGTCAAAGACCACTCCACGTAAGATGATCCACTGCCACTAGACATGGTGTCAGGAGAATTTACAAGGCATAACCTGAGAGCACGAAAATAAATGCGTTCTCGGAGCAACGCCGCCGGCTACCGAGAGGACAAAAAGCATGAAAAATGAAGTCAAGCATGATAGCATGGCAGTCGTATGTGAGATTCTACACACTGCCAAAGGCTGGCGCGCTGGGTATCCTGCCAGGTCGCAATGCCATTTCGGCGAAATCGTGATCCTCCTTCCAAGCCCATTCTGTAGGCCATGCGCCGGAACGCCCATGCTAACTGCGAGACTTCTGAACTTTTGACGCACCAGCTTAGACGATGGCAAGCTTGGTGGCAGCAATGTCGAGAGCATCGACATCTGGGGTTAGGCGCGCGAAAGCCTTCTTGGAACCATCTGGGCTGCAACAGTGTTAGTCTCAGAGTCCACGGATAATTCGACATTGTTCTGGCATACCGGATGAGAGTGTTGATCTTGATGCAATCAACATCGTACAGCTTCTTGAGAGCCTCCTTGATCTGTCTCTTGTTCGCCTTGACATCCACCATGAAGACGAGGGTGTTGTGCTCCTCAATCTTCTTCATGGCGCTCTCAGTGTTGAGAGGGTGGATGATGACCTTGCCGGCATCGAGGCGTGGCTGCGATGGGATCGACTTGCGTGGGTACTTTGGCGCACGCGAGATGGTGAGGGTCTTTGGGAGGTGGAAAGAGGTGCTCTTTCGGACCTTGGTGACCTTGTGCGAGTTGACCTGTAGTGAAGACAGGCCGTCAGAATGATGGGTTCTCTGACACGCCTCAAGGTATTGGGAGACTGCTTACTCCGCGAAGAGTGGCCTTTGCTGCCGCCGAAGCCTTTGCGGATGGCTTGCTGGACTTGCCGGCCTCTGTACACATGTCAGTAACTTCTTCTTCCTGCGGATGGAATTCGAGGAAGCGCAAGTCTCGTGCTAAGTACACCTTCGCGCCTCGTTTCCGGCCTTCACTTACTGCCCTTGCCCTTTGCTGCGTCCTTTGGTGCCATTGCGACGGTATTTATTCGTTGGGCGATAATGCGACGTGCAACTGGAGATCGAAGTCGAAGCCGAAGCGAGTCGAAAATGGACAGAGGGTGCGAATGGCTTGGCGAGATTTCCGCGCTTGCCCCGGCCACGGTCAAACTTCGGCACTTTCATCGCACTTCACCATTCATCTTCTTGCCTTCGCTGTCAACGTTCCCTTCATGCTGCGGGAATTCCAGATGAAAACTCATCTGCCGTCGGATTGCGGATGCAGCTTCGTAGCCCTTCAGTCGCAGCATTCCCCATCAGCCATGGATCTCAAGCGTCAAGTACAGAACTACGCCCGGAACACTGAGCGAGAAGCTGAGCTGTGAGCTCACACCAATCCTTCCAAACCTGCCGTCATCGCCGTCCCCTTGCGCCCTGAGCTACATGTAATTTACACTCTGATTGAGGCACTTTCACCTACGTATGCATCATGGCCGAGGATAGCGTCCATACAATCGAACAGCCAGCCCTTCTTCAGCACTCGGAATATGTATGGCGCCGTCTAACAACTCTTCGTATGCCAACTCCCCGATCGAGGCAACAAGCTTCATGTGAACGACCTATCAGCTGCTCGTGCTGGGGACAGCCACATAGGCTGCGGAGGAGGAGGAGGAGCTCGCCATGCTGGGAGGCATCCATCTAACTTGAGTCGCTGACTTGGGGCGGGAAGAGACCAAGTCACTTTGTCATGCTTTGTTTTGAGGCTATTATGAAACGCATTCCGGCTGGATCGGCGAGCAGTCCGGAACACATTCATTGCGGCAGTACTTTCATAACGTACAAAGTCTCATTGGACTTCTTCAGCTGACATACCAAAGGCTCCCAGAAAGTGCCCGTCCTTCAGTCAGACGTACGCGTACATCAGACTCTGACCATGACTTCATTTGAGAACAGAACCATGGGAAGATTCTGTGCATGTGTCTGGTATTGAAATCATGATGCCGGATTCCAAGACACGACCGTGTGCAGTACCTTTGAAAAATCCAACATGAGCAAGTGTGAAGAGTATCTAAGCCGGTCGTGGCCCTTTGGAGAAGAGACGAGATGGTACAATGGATTTCTGCACCTCCAAGGTGTAGTATTCCCGTTGATCATTGGCAGCATGGTCTAAAACGTTACTGGCGAAGAGGCACAGCCAAGCGTGCCGGCACTTCGCCTGTCAGTCATCCATTTTGAGGCAGTCGACCAAGAGAAGTCATCCATGTGAGTCTTCACAACCAGCGCAACAGTTCCGCGTAGTAGTAATAATTTCTCATCTAGCCTCGATCCTGAAGTCAAGACATCGCAAGCCACGCGCAGGACATACACTGGAATCGAAACTAGACACGGAGATCTTAATCTTCTCTTCCAACACCTACGCAAAGGATAGCATAAGGTACGCTCAACGTTCATACGTTTCTTGATCGTATATAGCAGTCCAAGGCTCCTTGTCTCAACGTCTGCGACACCTGGATCCGATACTCTTGAAAAAAGAAGCTACTACTTTCAATATTTCAAAAGTTATAGAAGGCAACTTACTCGTGAAAATCAACAGGAGAGACGATTGATTGATCATGCCAATTTTCCGACGAGTGGTTTCCTTGGGACCACCAAGAGATGACCCTTATGAGTTTGAATATGATCTTAACTATGAAAAGACCTGCGATGATTGATCGATTCCATCGATCGGTAAGCTTAATTTCGTCAAGTACAAAGAATCCTTAGCATATGCTGTCTTTCTGCTCAGACTATAAGGTAGGTAGCTGTGTTGATATAGACAACGAGGTCGCAAATTCGAAGTCGTGAGACCAAGATGAGCCTGATTGCAGATCTTCTATACCGAACAGTCTTATACGGCGACCTCGTCATCGTCCGCCTATCCGCTGTGTCTACAGCAGGCCTCACGAGCTTAGTATGATACCCGAAAAGGCATCTTCGTATCGAAAACCAGGGAGAACGTAAGGTAGTGCTTGCGATAGACCTCGCAGATCGGATGCCAAAATGGTTAGTTAACTCGAAATTCATCGGCGATGTGTACGACGCGATTACCTACTTCCCTCAAAACTCGAGACCAGCAGCGTCGTTGGAATCGACCCGCGATTTCTGATCGAACGCCATGGAAATTCTCCCAGCTGTGTCGATCGAGCATTCAAAAGACAGACAAACTTTTTTTTTTCAAGGTACGTACCAATATCATCAATTGGTCTTGCACGAATTAGCAGGCAAGTGGATAGGCTCTAAAGAGATGGTCGAATATGTGCGCATCAATATCAGCGACAAGGTCGTTCAGAGGCGATGTGGGAGGGATTGAACCCCGATGGTAGACCTGCCAGCTCAAGAATCCGGGGACGTTGGAGGGTTGATTGTGCTATCGCCGTGCTTCTTTTGCTCTCTACGACGTTTCAGACTGAGTAGAATCAGCAAGGCTGCGTTTGTAGCCAAATTTCTCGTGATACCGGGTGCTAGTCTCCGTCGTGATATGAGTAGCTGGCGCAGAGGGGGTGGTGAGCCGTGAGAGAATTCTCCATCCAAGATCTTTCAAAGCACCCACCCCTCTACCATCATCCTCTCCTCGTCCTCCCCCTTTGCGCTCCCCCCTCCTCCCTCAAAACCAGCACCAACCCACCCCAAAAATTTCACCATTCAACTTCAAATCTAGATGTATAACAGCAGAAGAGCATAAGATATTCTGAAAAGCTCAAAATTCGAAACACGCACTGCGCAGTGTGACTGACTGTCCCAGGCCTCAAAGATATCTTCGAAGCTCCGGAGCTGATAGCATACGAGTTCTGAAAAAGGTGTCTGTCGCTGAAGCTTGTAGCGGACATCACACTTCGGCCATTGATCATTAGAGCTGCCTGCAGTGAGTAGAAGGAACGATAGCTGGAGAGAGGAAGGATGCTGAGGCACTCCTGCATCGGCTGATCCAATCTCACCCGATACCAATGTGGAAAAAGTTCGACTTGAAATAACCACATGCATTAATTCCATCTACAACTACTTTCCTCCCTACCTTGTCCATCCAATCAATCAATCATCCATCCCATGCCCCAATCCCCATCCCATGCCATTCCATCACTCATCGCTATAATAAAAACCACCGCAGAAAAAAACAAGTCTTCTGCAATTCTTTGGTATCACAATTCCCCTCCCTCAAAAAATGCCAAAACCGAAACACTTCCAAGTTCCAACTCTGTGCATTCGAGCTCCCCCCCCTCACAACAACCTCGAACTCCCACTCCCCGCCCTACACCCTTCAGCCTCACCCTCAGAAACCTCCCCATCAAGAGTCGGCGAAGGCATAGAAAGCCAAACCTCCCCCCGCTCACCCTCTCCATCGTCATGATCAAAAGAATCCTCCACACCATCTCCCTAAAAATGATATTTCCCATTAATCTGACCATTCACCTCCTCATCCCCATTTCCATTCCCAAGATACCTCTCCATAAACCTAACATAATCAAACTTAGGCAAATCGCGATCCTCCTGTAAATCCGGCCCCTTGTGCACCGGCATAGACTCCACAAGCTGCTGCACAACCTCATCCGGAATAAGCGAATGCGTAAGATCCAATTCCGTAACATAAGGCTTGCCGTCGGCGACTTCACGAAAAGATTCAAAAACCTGTTCCGCGGTATTCTGGTCTTCGGTGACGTCGACCATGAAACGGATGAATTGTTCGAACGAGACGCTGCCGTCGCGGCCGGCGACGTCGATGAAACGTTCGTGCATTTCGGTTTCGTCGTACACGAGGCCGAGCGAGGCGAGGGCGGCGGAGAATTCGAGTTCCTGCAGGGAGTTGGAGAGGTCGCGGTCGAAGTGGCGGAAGACGGATTCGAACTCTTCGAGCTGGATAGGCGTGAGGTTCGTCATGTTTCGCGCGACCATTTGGTTTTCGAGGAAGGCGAGCTTCTTTTGGACGCTGGAGCGGACCAAGCTGAGCTCGTAAGCCAATTCGTCATATGTGTATGTTGTATAATCGTTCTCTTCGATGTTGGCTTCCTGGCATTGGGTGTCCAAGTTGGCGATGATGTCCAAGTACTGATCCAAAGGTGGAAGGTTGCGTGAAATTTGCGATGTATGCTCCAGCTGATCCTCCACATCGCCTTCCAGTCCAGATATGCTAACACTGATGGTCTTGAGGGCAAGCGCAAAGTCATTAGCTTTGTCGGCAAATGACTTTCGAAGATTGTTCTTGATGTCGCGGATGGTGCTGTTGATGATCTGGCTTCGATGCCGTTCGGCGTCCATAAGCCCGTTCCAAGCATTGTCCAGCGCTTCGAGACTGAGGTCTCGAGGCGGCTGGTAAGGTCGCAATCGGTATGTGTTCAGTTTCGTCTTGATGTTGCCGAGCAGACCAGCGAGGTCGCTCTTCTCCGCCACCCATTCTCTCTTGTTCTTCTGCTTGTATCCCGTAAACTGCCGACTCTGCTCTTTCGCATCCGCATAAGTGCCGTCAAAGTGGGCCTGCTCCCAATCCAGTCTCTGCCTTGCAATGGCCTGAAGCAACGCACGCATCCTCCGCTCATAGTTGTTCTGCATATCCCATGCACCTTGCATGTTCGACACAAACTTCTCCACTCTCCTACCAGCATTTTCGACCTTCTCCATCTGTGAGAAAGCATGAAACCAGTATGCGATGTAAGTCATCAGCGACCTCTCATCCGGCTTGGCCACATCCGCCACATCCTCGACATCCAGGAGCTCTGGGATACCAATCTCTTTGCTGGCAATATCGAAGGCCAGCTTCATATTGCCTCTGTGATCGCTCTTGTCCAGCTGATCATAATCAATCAGATCGGGTCGGTGTATATCCAAAAGCGCACAGAAGGCCAGGCCATCATTCCAACTACTCGAGAAGTCCCTCACATCCACCTCATCATAGCATGCCGTCTTCCGCTGACACCACAACAGCAGTCCTTCTCTTGCGCTCAATCCCTGATCATTGATATCGCTGATGGTAAACCTCAAGATGAGCGTCCATATCAGGCCAAGGATAATCTTGCGGTTCCCATCGACCACATCTTCAGCCCCGATATTCGTCAATTGGATCTTGCGGCTCTTGATGAAGTCCAGGGCGATGTTGACATTCTCGAATCTTTGGACTCGAAGTTTGGGTCGCGCGGCATATCGGCCCAGAGACTCTTGGGAGAGGATCTCGAGGAGGTGGATCAGGGCGACACCGTCGGAGAGGTCGCTGGTCAGGTCATTGATGTGAACATCTCGTGCTTTGAGTTTGTTGTTGAGCCATTTGCCAAATGTCTTTTCTTGAACTTTTACCCTACACACTCCCAATCAGTACATCCTGCAGTGTACACATGTTTGTATGTATGTATCCCGTACCAAGACTGCTCAAGCACCGCCATCTTCAGCGTCTCTTCTCATAATGCGTGAACCAAGCCAAAAAAGGAGTTCGATGCGCGCAGCGCGCAGCGTTCGTGGTATGGTATGGAATAGTAAGCAAGTCCAAGTCCAAATCCAAGCTGAGGCTGAGGCTGCACGGGAGATATAGTGAGCAAGTTGCAGCGAAGAGTCAACGTGGAGTGAGTAGATGATTGATTATTACTGTACGTACGTACGTGCAGTGCAAGCGCCGGGACGAGGGGAGTCAGTCTCGATTCGATTCGATTCACCAAACGAGGCATAGCAAGAAGAAGCTCGGCCAAACAGAGACGGGCTTCCACCCAGCAACGCCACTTTAGACTTTCAACCACGGCGCCATCCGAAAACCCCGGATCCACCTGCTGCCTCGCTCACTCTCATCCATCATCCATTCACAACACAAGACTTTAACAGCGATTGGGAGAAGACCAAATCACGGGCTGGCTCAGAAACCTCTCGAATTCTCCCACACGACCGAGAAACCGCCGTAGTAATGTAGTAGTAGTAGTAGTACATATACTTTCACAGTAAATGTCTCAAGCACAAAGCAAAAAGCCGCCATTCCCTCTTCCTGGATGACTTGGGTATATCTCGCCCCCTAATCAAGAACCATAAAAACAAACAAGCACAGCACTCGCGAGCATAAAATAGACGCAGGCATATCGATATTCGTCCCTTTCTTTCCGGAAATTCGCACATGCCCATCCCCTGAAAATTTCGGAACTTTCTTTCAACATCCCGATCAGTCCCAGTCCTCGCCCCAAAGGAATGTCCGTCCCGTTCATCATCTACACCTCAAATCGCGTATAAATCGTAACACATGTCATCAGATCCTTCACGACTACAAAGGAGAGACCGCTCGTGTGCGGCGCAAGCTCGGTCGCGGCAGAAGTTTGTGAGAGATTTCCTAGATCCACCCACCCTCCTGCTGGTAAACGGGAATGCTCTGGATTTGCGCTCGGAGGGAAGGCAGCATGCTACGACCTCGTTGTACCACGCGGCCTGACTGGAAGAGTATGGTCCTGTCTCCGGGATTGCTTGGACGTCGCATTATGATGGGGCCATCAGAGCTTGCACGGTTGGAGGGCGGAGGCCTGGCGCCAGGAGCAATGGTCTTCTCCATTGCTTCCGGAGATTCCTCACGAGGCAGCGCAGGCGGCACTTCACAGTCAGGACTGTGGGGTACAGACTCCAGCGGCTTCGAAATACGACGACCCTTCTTTGCCATTTGACTGTGGAGCAGGTCCGGGATTGAGGAGGCCGAAGCAGATGACCAGCGAGTGGTGTCGCTTCCGGTCTTGAGGGATCGACCACTGCTCTCGTACGAGCCATACGAGCTCGACTTGCGATGCCGACTGCTGCTGCCTGTGCGTGTGCTCTCCGGATCGGAAAGGTACTCTGCAATGGTGCTGTCAAGGACTGGGAAGCACGTCGACGAGCCGCCAGGTGAGTTCTCGACCTCGTCAGCACTCGTGAGGATGAAGGTGGTAGGGTGGGAAGCGCCCACGTGAGATCCATTGACCAGTTCCAGCATTGGCGGTGTCTTGGGCATTTTCGGCGGCACGGAATCGCTGCTTGCACGCCTTGCAGCCAAGAAGCCGCGATGTCCGACCGAGGAACCACGTTTGTGCTGCACGTCAGAAGAATCTGGCGTGCCGACACTTCCCGTGATCCAAGGCTCGGAGCGGCATGCGGCAGGTTGCTCGAGCCAGCCTGACAGTCGCACACCTCCACTGCCTGCGCTGCCTGGTGTGCTTTGGTCCGATAATGGCGGCGAGGCTACAGGCGGCGGTGCCTGCTCGACCTCCTCGTCTTCTTCTCGAAGCGGCGCGGCTAAACTCTCCCAGTCAAAGTCGCACATGGCCTCTGCACCCTGCTCGAAAGCAAAGTCGATGTCATCCTCCCAGTTGGGTTCTTCGAGGATGTCGGTCCTCTTCGATGCCGAGCTAATTGAAGTGCCACATGACTTGGCCGATAACTTGGATTGTACCGACGCCGCTTTCTTCACAGCCATGCTAGGTGGTAGCGGCAACAGACCAGTGCCGCTCTGTCGCGACGCTACCGATCCCTTGGATAGCTGCTTTTTGACCACATGTCCAGGTGGATTGATGGCGTGAGCGGGTGGTGGCCCAGGGAGTGGTGGTAAGGGTTGAGCGGGTGGTCTTCGTTCCGGCAGTCTGGTAATCTTCGCACTGGACAAAGTCTCTGGCGGTGGCGTGGAATCGATCATCATGCTCTTGGATTGCTGTCTCTGGTGCGCGTGGGCACGTGGCGGTCCACGCGTGGCTTGTGGGGAAGCATCAAACGAACCCTGGTTCCTGAGATGATGGATCGAGTGAGCCGCACTACTGGGACTTGGTGAATTGAGTGCTCCCATTGAAGAGTGGTGCTTCGGAGAGCGCAATGGGGATGTGCCGGATTCGAATTGGTCGTGGAATGAATGTGGATTAATTTTCGTATCTCGCGCCTCGTCGAATCTGGTTTCATCCTGACTCTGACGCACTCCAAAGTCGGCTTGAGGCGTTTGAGTTGTTGCTGTAGCTGGGCGTTCCAAGTCAGCGGATTGAGCGACTAAGCGTGCCGTGTCTTGCGCTATGGCGTCTGCAGGCATGTCTTCCAGCGTGTCATGCGGTCTGGCATTCGCAGCCCAGAATTTCTGAGGTAGCTCCTTTTCATCGACGGTGTCTAGTCTGGGAAGATGTCGTCTGGAAGTATGTGTCACATGTTGAAAGTTGAAGGGAGGGGATATGGACGACTTCTTGCGGTGATGATAGTCTGCGAGAGCGGGTTAGAGTGATGAATTGACGCGATGGATTCTGATACTCACAGTCCTTCTCGCTTTTGAACTCCTGAGCTTGCCGTGACGGAGGCCTCTGCTCTTCAGGTCGGAGAGGAGAAGTGAAGGGGATGAGTGCAGTATTGGCTGGCTGCATGCCAGAAGTGTCGATGGTATGACTGTGGCGTGCTCGTCGACTGGTCGGTGGTATCGTCGGGATTGGACCGTTCGCTCCCGAGCTCTTCTTGTTGCCCCCGAACAGAGAGTTGCGAATGCTTCCGAGTGGATCAGTGGTTCGTCGTCGTTGCTCGCCATTGGCGGTGCCTGGTCGTCTGAGTTGAATGTTCCAAGGCTCGATGTGGACGACTCGTGGGTTGGACGTTGCCGGCTGCATTGGCGGACGAGGCCTGTCTTTGGTCGAGGCATCTGAGCTGGAGCGAGCGAAGAAGGATAGTCTCTTGCGGCGCGTGGTGTCTGGAGTATCAGGAGCCTGGTTGGTGGTGTCGGGGGCGTGCTGCATTATTGTTGTGAGGGCGGGAAGTGAGCGCTTGGTATGGGCATGTGCCTCAGGATTGGCGTAGGTGTGCTTGAGGTTCACGTTGGCATGATGGTGAGATTGGAGATGTGGCGCGTCGGTCGGTGGAGCAATAATGGGCGTCGTCATTGCGCGGCGGGCATCGCGTTTGGGCGTTCACGATCAACGGACGCTAGAAGCGGTGGATGCTGAAAGTTCACGGCTGCAGGAGGCTTGCTTATGTGGGCAGTGGGCAGAGCGGAAACGAAGGACACTCGAGGGCGATGGCGCAGAGGCCGTGTGATGACGGTGTTGGTAATCGAGGCAGAGGTCAGAACAGCGCAGCGCAGCGCAGCGCAGCGCAGAGAAATGGCACTGGCACTGGCACTGGCACTGGAACCGATCAGCACTGCACGACATGGGCACGCTGCCGGACGACCGGGGGCGCCTTTGGGTGGCAGGCTGGCAGCTGGCAGCCATGGTGCGCAGGCCTCGTCGCCAGCTGGCTGGGATGATGCCGGTCGCTTGCGCAGGAACGGCCTGCGGAGCTTGAAGGTGGATGTCAGGCCCCGACGCCGAGGCCCGTGGGCCGGTGCGCTTGTCGAGTATGCCGGGGAGCAAATGTGAGAGGTGTCAGCACGCTGTCGTCCCAGCACAATTGGGCGCGTGTCCGAGGGCGTCGAGTAGTGCCACTGCCACACTGCCACTCCAGTCATCACCATACATGCATGCATGGGATTGGACGCTTCTCGCACAGTTCGCAGCACGCGCAAGCCCCTCCAGTTGCCGTGGAGGCGTGGAGTGTGCTCAGAGTGCAGAGTGCAGTGCAGTGCAGTGCAGTGCGTGGTCCAGCCAGGAGAAGCCTGGCTGATTTCGATGCGGTCGTTCATCAAATCCTCATGAAACTCCGCCTGCCATGCATCGGTCGTCGGCCATCGGCCATCGGCCATGCCATGCCATGCGCAAGCGAGGCGGGGCGGGGCCACTGCCGCTGTCCACCTTTCTAGCGTGAGCGTCAAACTTGGGAGGCAGGTCGGCAGAGTGTAGCGTGCGTTGTCTGAGCCTGCGTCGCCCAACCGTTAGACCAGCAAATGCATCACAAACGGTACATGTATTGTTCTTGTCTACTGATGACCGTACGGTATGCGCACAAGAGTCAAGACAGCAGCGTGACGCTTCAGAACTCCCGCATTGGCAAGAATCGCGCCACGGCAGAGGGTGACGCGGCAACGAGAACGAGAACAGGCGAGAGTGAGGGTGAGGCTTGATGAGAGAAGCACAGCGCACATCCTCACTCTCGGGAGCTGAGGCCTGTCCATGGCCAAAGCAAGCCCTAGCCCACCATCTTCACCCTTCACCCTCACGCCGCCCATAGTCCATACAGCACTAGTCGCACCTGCCACTGTGCCATTGTGACAGGAGATTCCAGAACAACGCCTCACCAGTCTCAGCACGAAAGAGAAACCAAACCGAGACTGCCTCCCCCTCTATTCCGAATTCGCCTCCTACTTTCCGATGTCTAGGAGCACAGCATCGAAGAACACCCGGCCCGCCTTTATCGGTCCGTTCAGTGCTGTGCGACCTGTAACCGCAAACAACATCGATAAAGGCGACGGCTCTCGCGTGAATGTGTTGCACGACTTACTGCCCACGAGACCGCGCTGCTAGACGACATATTGCATCTTGTTCATTAAACATTCTCCAAGCTTGGCCGCTCGACATTACCGGTTCAGTCTGCGGTTGGGGCGTAATGCTTTTCTAGACTTCATGTTGTCCACCGCGCCAAACCATGGAAGCGCAGCTCAAGCGCGCATCTGACCGAATTGACATTGACATTGACGTGCAGTTCATGCGCCATTCCCGCACTCGCCATTCTACCTGTTACTTCACCCGCAACGTCGTTCTTTGCCTTGCCTTGCCCTGCCCTACCATTATGATGACATCCTCAAGCACCTGCTGTACGCAGCACACCTCTTTGCTTTCGAGTCCAAATCATGCAGGTGAGCGAGCGGTACCTGACACTAACATTCTCCGCGAACGCACTACGTTTCACAATCATGCGTGCGACCCTCATTATTGTCGCTTGTTTCTAATTCGAGCTTCCAAACTCTTGGTTGACAGTAGACTTGTGTAATCGAGTCCCTGTCTGCAGGTGCTAGAAAAGCTCTTCCCTGTCATCATCAACAACCTTTTGTCGCATCGGAGTCCATATTTTATGCATTGCAACGAATCAGATGACTGAATCCCGCGGAGTATCCACTGACACTCAGATATACGAAGACGCTGTACAATTCAGATGCGTATGCAGCCTTCATCACTCACATGTCAATACGAAAACCTCGCACTGCAACACGCGGACCATGCCAGCTTACGACAGATCTCATTGGAGCCATTCCCACTTGCCATTGGGTCCGTGAACCGGGTCAAAAGCGTCGCAGCAAGAAGTGGACCCGCAAAACCAGGAATCGCACATGATGCCACCCGATAGACACGTGCCAAGCTGTCAACACATTCATCATGCGCTGAAAGCATGCGCGAGTGGCAGAACAAGGTGCGTGCTGCTGTTTCAGAAGAAGGAAATATCAACAACCTTGTTGACAAATTCAATGCCTATCCCTTCGCTACAGTCGATGAAGGCACCAGCCTTCCTAGTCCAACCCCATCGATCTTTTCGAGCTGTGAGGCTCGCACGCATCATCGACTTCTCGGATTCCCTCGGGCACGGCTACAGCGTCTAATCACATCGGAGTGAAAGTGGGTATTCCCCAAACCCTTGCTCCTCATGGATTATAGCGAATAGAAACTTGTTATTCAGCGGTCCCACCCTAGTCACTTTCACTCCGATGTGGTAAGACGCTGTATGGTTCTATCATCTGAATGCCTTATAATGAAACAAGAGGATCTTCAAGAGCGGTAATAATGCTGCCGGCAGTCGAGAGCATATGCTGAAAAGCTTCGTCAAGTCCACCAAACGACATCTCTTCTATGCTCACAGATTTCCTAGCTAACTTACGTGCTAACCAAGCCAACCCTGCCACTAGAATTGCGTCTTGCAGTGTTTCACAATTCTTGCGACTCGTACTCTTATTTGAAAAAAAAGGCTGCAAAAGTGTCCTGTAGCTTCAGCGCAAGAAGATTTACTTCCCTCCGAACGAATGTACCATCGCATTGGGTCTCACAGCGCACGTGTTTCCGCATTGCTCACTGGCTGGCTGCAGAACTCTCACTGGACGAGCAAGCATGAAAAGTCCTGCGCATACATATCTACACCCTGTACATTCTCTATGCACCTACGAACGAACGTCCCAACCACATCTATGGTATAGCACAGTAGTCTCCGACGCTAGTTGAAAAGCTGAAAGCTGATGTTGCTGTGCAGAAGTTGTAGTGAAACTTTTTACAAGTCACGGAAGCTTCACGATTCACGCCTTGCATTAGTTCTAAGTTACGCAGGATGTCCCCGTCAACTTCCACCTCCACCCGCACAGGCGCACCCTCGCCACTTCCCCGAGCCCCAGCTACCCGCCCGAGCCCCAGTAGATATACCAATATAGAATCGGCCTGAATGAGATTACGTGGCGTTTCCACCTATTACATATCATATCCATTCTTGGTTAGTAGCGCGGAGCGCGTTACCTAGGAGGCTAGGAAGTCGCGCCTACACTACTAGTACTAGTAGTAACAACAACAACAATAGTCGCTTATATAGCTAACAGGACGGCTACTTTACTACTAGGTGCTGCAACAACAGCACTATTAGTTTACTTAGCAGTAGTATTATATACAGTAGTAGGCTAGTTAGTAAATAAGGGACTAATATAAGCTAGCATATATAGCATTACGTAGCTACAAGGCTGTAGGTCGTAATCCGTTTAGACCTAAGTAGATAGCAACTAATAACACCTTAAATTTTGCTATACTACTAGTTTACTAACAAACTTTAGCTTTATAGCTAGCAGCAGTATAGAAGTAGTTGCCCGGTCGGTAGTAGTTACGGGGATCCGGAAATCGCTTTCCTACGCGATTTTATTAGGAACAGCGGATTCTATAATCTACTATATTACTAGGGCTCGGGCGGGTAGCTAAGGCTCGGGGAAGTAGCGAGGTAGGCGTACACTTAAGGGCGTGTTTACTTAGGGCAGGAATAGGTTTTCCTATTAGGAATAGGAATTTAGAAAACCGAGGGTCGGAATACTAAAAACCTAGGTTAAAAGACTGTTTTATTTTTAGCCGCTTTCAACCCTATAAAAAGTAGGTATAGAAAAAACTAGGTTTTTCCGGATAGACCTATCGTTCTAGGTAGTGCGAGGACGAGAACGCTCGGACGACGCTTAGATAGCGAGGTAAAGTATAAAAAGTAGGAATTTGTAGGTTTTTAAAGTAAACGCTTCGGGTTTTTAAGAACAGGTTTAGAAAAAACCTGTAGGAATAGGAAAACCGACCTCGAGTAAACGCGCCCTAACTCTTCGCCTCCGCCTTACTAGTTATTGTACTACTCTAGTTGGAATAGTATGGTATGCATGTTACTAACACGAACATATATCCATCCTGATTGGCCTTTACACTCAATTTCTCTCTCTCTCTCTCTCTCTCTCCCCCCCCCCCCCCCCCACGGTGCGGGCCGGTCCGCTCCTGCCAGTACGGATAATCAGGTGAGGTCATCAGGGACTGGACTCGATCACGCATATTTATAATTTTGGGCTTTGGCCAGGTCAGGCTCTTGAACCGAAGTCTAGGACCTTTCCTTTCTTCGAGTCGTGTAAGTTAACTTACGTCAGACACGATTCAGAGACAATATCTAGACTTTCGATCTTGATGTTCGGGCTGTGGTTGTCGTGATCAGAAGGCATGACGACATATGGTATGGTATTGGTTCAATGTTTCTTTGCATTGAACGCGTACACTACTGTCTGGCGGTGCCGCAGCTTTGTATCCTCTCAGCACGACATGATGTGATTCTTGATGCATGTTACAGCTCTAGCTCCAGGAACATGGCGCGAGACACTACTCAACGAAGTACAGTACACGACTACACAGATACGGTATCGACCAGGTCAGACAGCCAGCATGACTGCCGCTGTACCACGTAACCACATCGGCCACACACACACACACCCTCGGATGAATCATCTTCGCCGCCGAACCGGGTTACTCTTCGACATCCGCACCAAGCCTTGGCACTGGACTGTGTCTCGGCGCTGGAGCTCTACGCAGACAGCAAAGGCATACAAAGCGATCTCTACCGCAGTAATCGCGCCGCATTTCGCAGACCGACTGCCCTCTGTCGAACAAGCGTAATACCGAACGCCAACAAGGATTGTAAGAAGAGCAGAAGAACATTTGGTCGTTCTCAAATCGCCCACCGAGCACGACTACACAGCGCATTGGCACATCGGAGTGAAAGGCACTAAAGAAACCCCCCAATCAAGCCTGGATGTTTCAAAGAAAATTCGCAACGAATCAGAAATTTCATCAACTCTTTGGGCCGCTACCTAGTGTCTTTCACTCCGATGCATCAAGAGCGCGTTGGCACATCGGAGTGGAAGCACTGAAATTCTCCAATCCTGGATTTCTATGGTTCGCAGCGAATCAGAAATTTCATCTCAACTAACTCTTCGAGCCGCTAGTTGTCTACATGTACTTTCACCCCGGTGTGTACTGTATGTACATGTACCGTAGAAAACGTAATCCTTCGCACTGGACGCTGCGAGAAAGCGGCGCGGCCTTTCGCCTAGCGCTCGCATGTGAATGTGTAAAGGATGCCCTGCCCTGCCCTGCTAGCGAGATGCGGCTCACGCCCGTCGCCCGGCGGCTGCGCTGTGCATACTGTCAATCGGTAACTGCAGGTTCGAATTTCACGGCAAGCTAATCAATCAAGTTGAGCCCTTTTGCGGCACAGCTCGAAAAATGCCTCAGATCTAGAATATCGAATGGGAAGACACGTCTTATTGGAAATTCTAACGCGTACGACCACGGGCTGTGCGATACTGGATAGTGTTATCATTATACCTGAGTTACGATCGGAGTGAAAGCGCTAAATTCCCTAATCCTGGACTTCATGGTTCGTAACAAATCAGAAATCTCAGATTATACGGGCCGCTGGTATCCACTGTCACTCCGATGTGCGTTGACGCTGTATATTTTATTAGGACCCGCCACGAGGCAGACCGTCCTTGGCGTTAAGCAACCAGTCTTTGGAGTAGTAAATAGATGTGCTGCTGAATATCTGCTTCAGACAGATCTTAGGAACTGCACCATCATCAATCCAGAAATCACAGGATTCCGCTTTCTTCCTCTTCATCTCCACTCATAAGTCAAACAAAAAGTGCCGACGGCCAAAATCGATCTCCCTCTAGGATTTTCGAAATAGTCATTCATCATCAAGCAGGCAAGCAAGCAAGCCGGCTCATCTGCCCTCACCCATCAGCTTGTATGTATGTACATATGTAGATAGTATAATTGGTAAAAAATCCAAGACGCACATCACAGGGGAAAAGACAGGTGAGAGGTGCATAGAATAGAAATTGACTTTTTGTAGGGCTGGCCTCAATCGATGGCTCGCGATTTTTGCTGCAAGGGAGGGCTGGTCGTGTGTGTCTACCGGTTTTTGAGGGCCTTGTTTGAGTTGTTATTATTATTATCGAGGGAGGACTTGAGGACTTGAGGAGGAGAATGATATGCCTCGTGGTTAATAATGAAATGTGTCGCTCTACAATTCGTGTGATTTGAGAAACGAGCGGCGATGTCAGGTAGAACTAGAACTCAAGAATCTGTGAAAGAAAAAATAAAAAGACCCCATCGGCTCTGATGATCGTAACGAGACCTCATCTCATTATTAGGAACTTCCTCTCCTCTCCTCTCTAGCAAAAAAATATCCGATCTTTTCTACCCTCCTCTACCAATCACACAACCCCCTCCGCAAAAACTTGCCTCCTCTTCTACTAGAATTTCCCAGCTCTGTGAGTGGTCACACTCCCATCCCCGCCAACATTATTACCAGCTAGATGCCTGTCCTTCGGCAGTGAGTGTTAAAAGTCCGTCGAGGGACTCGATCCGGCTTTTTTACTTCGATGAATTCAGAGATCGTGTATGTACACGAAAAGAAAGGCTTTCGAAGTTGAATTCAACAAGAATCGTAGATTTACTTCTTCTTGTTCTTTGAGTGTGCAGTCTAGATCACAAATGGGGGATTTTTTTTTTCTGATTTTGTTGGAGCGGGCGGGTGATGATGATAACGAGGAACGGTACCTACTTACTTACGTTCGGCAAGTACATATGTACAGCGTCTCTACACTTCGGAGTGAAAGTGACTAGGGCCGGACCGCTGAATAACAAGTGACTATTCGCTGTAATCCTTGCTTCTTAGGGATTTGGTGAATACCCAGTATGTAGGACTACATGTCACATGTACCTACCAACCTACTAAACCCATTCGCGGCAGTGCAAATTTCCAGAATGAGGGCGTATGTGCAGGCTTTCGTCGTCGTTGTTCGGTTGACCTTGGCGAAATTTGTAGTATGTATGTACATGTATATGTATCTTGTGACGAAACATTTTGAGTTGAGTTGCGGTGAAGAAGAAGCTCAAGCTTCAGTGATGAGATCGTGAAGTTTCGAAGTGAAGGATCCGTATGTTCAGGTCCGGACGAAGGAAGCCTTTCTTCTTCTTTCATGGCCCTAGAAAGAGTTTCTTTCGCCACATGTGATGTGAGTGACGATAGGACTTGCCGAAAGTAATGGCCTGAGATGTCTCGATCTTCGAGCGATAGGGTTTTAGAATTTTTTTCTGTTTTTGGCGCCTGCTATTCGATGCGGCATCGACAGGCTTTGTGCGGGCAGACTCCTCTCCAAATCCCAGGATTTCTGAGCGCTCGCAGTACTTTACTGCTGCCAATAATCGTGCGAGAAAGTCCATGAGGGATCTGCCTGGTACCGTGCATCGAACCAGGACACTTGAATTTTGATGCCCCATCTCCGATAATAGCCCTGTGATCATCACGAGGCAGATTCCAAGGACGTTGATGATGAAGCTGGAAGAATCTGTACGTCTCATGCGCTGATCGCCGGGCCTTCAAGTACTGCTCATTCCACTCAGCTTTCGCAAGGGCGCTTGGGTGTTTTTGCTTCGCGACTTGTAGACCGCAGTCATCAGATGATAGCGAACTAGTGTTGTGCCTCGAGCTCCAACTGATTGCCAGGCAGTGGTGCTGAGCTGTTGTCCAAGATATACTGTCGTGCAAGCAGGGCAGCACTTCTCTATGCTTCAAGGAGCAATCTCACTTGGTTGCCATTCAACGCGTTTTGTATGCGCTTGGCGCTGATTCAAGGAAACAGCAGCACATCCTTCCGTCTTTTGCACGCAGCCTATAACGAAATCTAGCTCATGCGGGTACCAAAAAGTGTAGTGCTCATGCCCTCCTTTGGCCTTGGTGGTACGAACTGTTCGATTTGATGACGCCCGAAATATGGGATCTTGAGTAGAGCCTAGCCGGAAGTGATATTGGGGGCCCAAGTCGCAACGTTCATCATATACTATGGGCATTTGCTATTGCTGCCTGCTGACCGAATGGATGTCTCGTTGTTGAAAGGCAGGTGGCCGGGAAAAGTCCTTTACACTTTGATTGCCGTAGTAGCATGCGCGTAGTCCAACGTCATGGCGTGGTTGCGGATTCAACAAGTTCGCAAATCTGCCCAGCCTCCCACAGATCTGATATGCTGTTCCGATCGAAGAAGGAGCTCAACGAGAGGCCCTGACTAAGTCGTCTCTTATACGAGAGTTGACTCCGAGATGTCGATCTGAATGAGTACGAATGTGGAGCAGTGTGGTGGTCCTTTCGCCAATACACTTGTGGCTGTCGAACGGACATTCCGCAGTGGTCAATTTCACAGCTGATTGGCATCGCCCGAATGTAGAAGTCGTACCACTGCAATAGATCGAAGCAAAAAGGTTGCCTGCAGCAAGCTGGAAGGATCGGCCAGCATCGATCATTGTTTCATGAAGTTGTGCTTCCGCATAGACTCATCAGAGCTCACTTGGAAGTCATCGCTTTCGAGATCGCTGCATACGTTCGAATTGTTGATGTGGTTCGGGTTTCTACTGGCAGCTCCAGCAACCAACTACTCAAATTGACAGGATTGCTAGCATCACAGATGCCATCATCGATGCTCGAAACTGAGGCAGGTATCAGATGAGCACGAAAGAGTATCGCGACGAATAGTGTGAAGGCCGTGCTGTGCATACCTGATAGCTTTGCAGTGCGGTCCACTCCCACATGCCGAATTTCGCTTGCAGGTGGGTTCAGTGATTCCGCAGACCACAGTGAAATGCAGCTCTGAGAGCATTCATAAGTGCGAGTTAGAAGCTATGCCGCAGGCGAGCTGCCACTCTGACCCTCGTATCCCGCAATTGCATTCCCCAGTGTGGCCTTTGTGACCTGTCCCTGTCATGGCCCAAGCGTATCAAACATGAGAGATCGCATGCCAACCAGCCAAAGGTTTTTCAGGTTCGAATGAAGTAGGTACAGGTCGGCATCGCCCAAAAGATCGACTGGTGAAGGAACAGCTGAATGTAAGAATATCTGGAGTAGTGTCTGCCTCCTTCCGTTGCCCATATCGCCATTGCTTCGTCCGGTCTGATATCCTCGGTGCCCACGACTTCTGTTCGGACGTTCACTGCTTCTCAAGTTGAGCCAGCAATGACTAGTCTTAGGGATTTCTGCACAGATGGCTCAGGAGAGGTACTCTTCGAGCTTGTGTATAGCGCCCGTTCTCCTCTCACTCAACACTAATAGCATGTGGAGTAGGATTTCTGCCAGAGTAGAACACATATGCTCTAGCAATTCCAGCAGGCCAATTTTGTCGACGACCGCGATCATCACTTCTAGGTAGGACGCCGGAACAGGCATGTCCGAGGAAGGTGAGACCAGTACCAGAAGTCTCTCGACGATGAATTCTACTTCGCGAACGGGTGACCACATTCGCACGCAGCGCACTGCGGTATTCTCAATACCGTGGGTCAGCGTTCCCCTGTCGCGCTTGTTGCGAGCCCTCCTCTTCCGCGCCCCTCAATGTTCGCTGTTGTCCGCACACGGTTCTAAGTGAAGATTGTGGCTACTACGCCGATTGTGCTTTCATCTTGCTTCTCGAAGTACCTTGTGCATCACGCGCAGATAGTACAAGCAATAAAATAAGATCGCGCCCTTGCAATCTTCCTCACATCGCCTCAACCACACTAAAATTCCGAAAGAGGAAATGACTCCGACGATACCATGTCGCCGATGTAACGATAGCAGAAGGCCGACATATGCAGGTGTACCTTCCAGAAGAGTCGGGGCAGCCACGTGCGGCAGTATTTGGGCTCGAGGGATGCTTGGAATTGCTTTCGATAATCTCGGGGCCGTGAATCGAAGCGGCAACGGACGACGACGACTGCTGCGATGCCTCGAGAATGCCGCGGCGAGTGACTCTTGCTTGTTATGGAGCTTGCGTGCAGTGGCGACTTGACATCGCCAGGCTGAGATGTACAAAGTTTGACACGTACTACGCAGTCTTGGGGTTAAATCTACGTTGTGCAGTCATCGGCCTGTGACGGAAGCAAAGCTTCAAACCCTGCTCTCGAGAAAGCATGCCGCAACGCATTCCCTTCTTTACAGCTCATTCCGCAAAATCTGTCCAGCCTGTCCAACAAGGCCGGCGTAAGTGCTCCAAAGTACGCCCTTGAGCACCGACTCGCCCTCGCTTTCTGACCAGTGCCCAGCCTTGACCAGCTTCTCCTTCCAGTAACTTTTCTGATGTGGTTCGAGCTCGTCCCAGTGTTTAGCTTCGGTATCCTTCGACAGATACTCTTCTTTATCAGGATGCACAGCAACAGTGACTCCTTCACCTTCAGGTAAATCCCGAACAACAACAGCCGTAGTCGCAGCATCCTCGGGCGAGCCATGATGTTCTGCAATAATGTTCTTGAGGTTTGCGACAGGGATTGCTGATTCTACGGCTTCGGTCACTTTCGAGAGTCGACCATATGCAGCCATTGCAGGTTGGTCGAGAAAGCTGCGAACGTTCTGAGGTAAGAAGCCAAACACGCCGACATTGGTGTCGTCAGAGAAGCCGCTCGACGCAAAGGATTGGAACAGGAATGCTGTGACGAGAACACAAAAAGAGATGACAAAGATGTATGCCCATTTCCAGAAAGCTTCATCTTTCGGATGACTGAGCACATATCGGGAGTCTTTGTTCTTAGGTTCGAGGGGCGACAGTGGGAAGGTGTCGATGACAACGGTGTTACCGAAGCTGACGGAAGCAAGTCGAATATATTGAGGTCCTGGATGGTTAGGTCGTTGTTGTGGTAAAGGTTCGCCATTGGGCCCAGTTGTCGGTAGTGTTGCGGGATCGACTGCGCGAACAGGTGAGTGGAATGGCGTCCAGGTTAATTTCGTCATTTGGTTTTCGTGCACATCCTTCAAGGACATGAACGATCGCAGGGTCGAGAAAGTGTCGGTAGCTGCCTGGTAGTTGATGGTAAAGATCTCAATGCTAATGTCTTGGCCGGCAACGGCTACAGCAAATTGCTGATTGCCATTGCTATCAGGGTCGAGCGCGCAGACGTCTATCGCTGAGGCTTGCTTGACACGAGAGGGCAAGGTCTTGGTCGACATTTCGAGAGCCGGTCCTGTGGGATACAAGTGATAGACTCTGAGCTCCGCTCCGCTTTTGCTAGGCTTGTTGACCAGCGCAATGACATTTTCCGCGTTCAGGAAGCGGACAGCTCTGAACTTGGGCCGACTCTTGACTTTCTCGAAAGAGTCCGAAGCTGGCATTTGATACACTCTTCGGGGCCCATTTGGTCGCTTTTCGACCTTTCTCTTCGCGAAGTCGTACTTGTAAGTCTGTTCATGGACGCTATCATCGTCGCACCAGACGAGACTGAATTCATTTTGGTCGGGTTGAGCGATATCAAGATCTGCTGCTTCGTCCTTGCCCGCCAGAGGTATTCTTGTAATTATATCCTTGTCTTCAGGGACCTGGACTGTTGCGTTGAACACAATGATCTCGTTCTCTTGAGCCAGGCCAGACGCAATCGCACCTATGCGCTTAGCCGGTACATCTCGCTTCTGAACAGGCGACAGGCGCAGCAATCTTTGATACGATTCCTTCTTTGGCGCGGACGATGGCTTGAAGAGGTTCCTCTTACCAAGCAGCTTGATCTCGCCCTTGTCATCACTTGCTGTCTCGCCTGTCTTCTGCTTCTTACGCGGTGGATATCGAATGGCAAAAGATCGGAAGTGTTCATTCTTGTTCGCATCTTGTTGAGCCTGAGACGAGTTGATGCCCGCAAAGGTGATCAAGCCATCCTTAGTAGCAAGACTAGCCAGAGACTGTGGAGAATCTTCTTCGCGAGGGAGGTCGATCTCGGTTGCGACTTTGATGGTTGCTCGATTGTTGACATCAAGTACAGACTTCCCTGTATCAGCACTGGCTCGAGCGCATTTCCAAATTCTTCACCATTCACATACAATCTTGTTTGGCACACCAGTCTTGCTTTCTCCGCCGCCTCCAGCTACTAGCAGAAATCCACGATTATAGGGATCCCAATCTGCGGCGAAGATGGGATACTCGAGCTTGTGCTTGGCGTAGGAAACGTCGGAATTGGATATGTTAGGCATGGTCGGTGATGATTCGTAGCACTCGTGTGGAGCGCTGGAGGATTCTATATACAGGTTGTGTAGGGTTAGGGTATGGAAGACGTGTCAGGAGTGAATGTTGCGAGTTTCCATGTGACGGAAGCGTAGACGGACTTGCTGATGTCAGAGCTTTGATTGGCTTGGCGGAAAGCTTCAAAGAAATTCTTGGACGTCCCATCTTCCGCTTCCGCTTCCCACTATCCACACAACGACGGTCTTCGATGTAGTGCTGGCGAGTGCGGTGCGGCGAAATGGCCACTACGCTCGAGCTTCAGCACACCGAGAAGGACACACCTTACTCTGAGGATGACCTGACAGACGAGCAGATCGAGGAGTTACTGGCGCGTGCCACCGCACGACTGCAGGAAAAGGAAAAGGCCAAAGACAAGCAGCTAAGCAAGCACACCGAGCAGAGTCTGAACTTTCCCAAACTGGATGCGGGCCATCTTGAGAAGCCATACGTGTCTACAAAGGGCGACGTGGCCACGATAGACTCCTCACGACTGCTGGACCAGAAACAGCGCAAGAAGGCAGAAGGCACCAGGAAGGTCGAAGATCCACTTTCTGCTAGGAAGGCCGCCGACGAGGTACGTGTGACAAATTTCGCATCGCATCGCATTGGCTATGAGGAAATTTATCCCAAATTCTCCTTGAGCAGAGTCCAGGCGCCGTTTTGGTTGCCTTTCTGCACTACTGAGAGCTGCTTCACGCAAAATTCATAGTTACTCTGAGCCAACATCTCTGCACCAGCCTTATTATGATCTACATCTGTTAGGCACACGCTGACATGCATGCAGAAGCGCAAAGCCACAGCTGGCAGCGACTGGTTCAACTTACCAAAGACCGACCTTACTCCCGAGCTCAAGCGTGAGTTTCAACTGATCAAGATGCGTAATGTGCTCGATCCGCATCGTCACTACAAGAAGGAAGGCGGTAAGATGAAGGCGCCAGAGTACAGCCAAGTTGGCACAATCATCGAAGGTCCTACGGAATTCTTCAGTGGCCGTATCGAGAACAAGAAGAGGAAGAGGACACTTGTGGAGGAAGTCCTTGCTGGCGAGCAGGAGACTCATCGCTTCAAGAACAAGTACGCCCAGCTGCAAGAGAAGAAAACAAGTGGAAAGAAGGCATTCTACAAGGCGCTCAAAGAGAAGAGGAAGGGTGGCATCAAGAAGGCATCAAAGGGCTGAAGCATTTCTGCTCCCAGAATGGAAGCCGGAACATGCGTCAATGGAGCCAACATCTGATGATCTGGTGCATGCGCTGCATACTGCGCTGACACGCGGACGATCCGACAGGCACTTTATAACGGAAACGACCAGATCTTTACACGGATGTTGCCAAAGCCAGGACAGATATGCAACGGTGGCTCAAGCATGCTACCACCACCAAGGCAAAGCCGCAAATCCAAATGAACGTCTACTAAGGATCGCTGTCTGGCGCATGATGCTTCGACATTTGAAGAAGCAGAAGTTTGCCTCAGCCTTGTCCATGTCAGTATCGATCGGAAGTCTCCGCGCGCACGATACAAAAGTGCCAATGCCGGCGTGGGCAGAAGCTGAACGAGAGGTTGAAAAGTCTGGTTGGCCAAGTAGAAGACGGAGTACTCAGTGGCACTGAACAGCAGCAGAGCCGGAAGACAACGGAGATTGCAGCGAGAATGTTAGTGGAGAAGCGAGGCTCCAAATCAGTCCACGTAGGAATTTACCACGCTGGGGCTTGCGTGATAATGTGAGAATCCACCCTGGGGATTACAGACAATGCTTAGAGAGAATGCACATCGCGGCGGGAAGACTGACACTCGCCTGTAATGTCCCATTTGATCACACGCGGGCCTTCCAGACCTCACAGCTCCGATACAATGCGCAACACCAGACTCTGCATCTCCAACGCTGCCAGTCTGCCCTCTTCCAGCACTTCTGCGTGATTAGCCATGCCCTTCTGCAAATACTGATCAAGCTCCTCGCGGGTCAAGCCTTGTAGCTCCGGGTCATCTGCTCGTACCGTTGGCTCCAAGACGGATTTATTGGTGACCAAGCTGAAAGCCAGTACTCGCATTCCAGAATGTCGAGCAGTCACGATCTCCGGCACTGTAGACATGCCCACGAGATCAGCGCCCAGGTTTCGAAGCATGCGACATTCGGCTCTGGTCTCATAAGTCGGTCCAGCCACGAACGCATACACGCCCTCATGCAGTCTTCGATTGCTTGGCTTTTGCTGCCGAAGCTCTTTCCAGCTTCGATGCGCTAGTTGACGAAGATGGATATCGTAGGCATCACTGAGAGGTGGAAACCTTGTACCGAACTCTTCAAGATTGGGTCCACGCAAAGGATGGAACCCAGCGAGTCCTGCTAAGTTGAGGTGGTCATTGAGGCACACGAGATCGCCGACATTATATCCCGGATTTAATGCTCCAGCAGCGTTGGTCAGAATGATGGTCTCCACGCCCAGAATCTTGCAGACACGGGTAGCGAAGGTGGCATCCTCCATTGAATGGCCTTCATAGAAGCTTGGTTGTCGTTAGTAGAAGCGAGATTGATAGTCAGGAGATAGCTCACTGTGCTCGACCCACAAGCAAGACTACTGGTACTTGCTGCTGACCCATGGTGCCGAATATGAGTTTACCTTCATGTCCAGGTACTGCAAAAGAGGAAAGCTTAGCCACTTACCTTCCAGAAGTCTCACTATCGTGGACAGACGGCATGGGTCATATCGAACTCACCTGTGCTCAGAGGAAAGTTAGGCACATCTTTATAGTCCCAAGTCTCAGTCCCTTCATTGACAGTCTGTGCCAAGCCTCCGAGACCAGAACCGCATACGATCGCAACTCGTGGTCTCTTCAGATGCTCTGGCAACTTCGCTCGTACGAAATCTACTGTCTCTGTAGCACGCTCAAAGATTGAGGCCGCCATTTCGTCATGGGCGGAGTTGAATGTATGGTGTAAATGACTGAAACTGTGGTAGAGGCCGGCCAAGTGGTGAAGAGTTTCCATTCGATATTAGCCGATGCAAGTGAGCAGGTCAAGTGTCTCATACGATGGTCGATTGACACTTGCTTGGCCTATGTGATCTTGGCTTGTTGTTGTCGTAGAAAGAGGCGAGCTCCGGAAGAGCAAGGTCAAGGGGCAGAAGTCGATGAGGCTTGGCACTGCCGAGCTCCGCAAGACATCGACTGTAATGCAGCATCAACAATCATACTGCTCTATCGATCATGGCGACTCCATCATATGCGCGCTCTCTAGCGAGCTCTGTGAAGCGATTACGGGTATATGAGTCTCCTTTAGAAAGTTGAAATTACAACTAACACTTCCCAGCTCTCACCTACTACAGTACGAGCAACCCAATGCCAGACACGATGTATACAGCAATCATCACGCCCAGCCGCATCAGTATCGTCAAGCCTCGAGGCAGACCTTGCAAATCTGCGCCTCCCTAAGGCCGTTCAGGCAACATATCTCAACCCTTTAAAGCGGAGCAGAGCAAAAGGATATCGAGACCCAGCATGCGAACTGCACCTCCATTCGTACAGTGTACGAAACTTGGAAATGTTCGCCGACTTCGCTGTACGATCAGCATATTTCCTTAACCTTTGCGCACGCGGACCATCGCCTTTACCCAGAAAGACCGAACGATGGACTGTACCGAGATCGAACTTCGTCCACAAGAAATCGCAAGAGAACTTCGAGCGAATTACGATGAAGCGTAAGATCACCATTCTCAATGGTCATCCGGATACCGTGGCTATATGGCTGGCCTTCTTGAGAAGACATCAATACTACGGCATTGGAATGAAAGCCAACATATATGAGCACGGGGATCTTGATGTAGCTCAGGATCTGGACAAGGAGGCCGAGCGCCTGGGAAAGATTCTAGGAGAGAAGAAGCTGCTACCGGAGCCATCGAAGCGTGAGGAGATGCATGGTCCTATGAACAGCACTTCTGTGCTTGACGAATCATTCAAGGCGCAGTGGGGAGCATATGCGGCGATGGGAGGAGCCCCTGGTGCTAGTAGCGCTTTGCAGAGAATTGATATGGTCAAGCTTCCTCCCCCTGGAGCGAAGAAAGCTGTTGGGTACAGTCGGGCACGAGGACATGAGAAGGCAGTGTACAAAAGTCAGTAAGCGAAGCAATACTTGATACCCGTTATGGACACAAAGATCCATCAAAGTTCTGCACTCTGCATTTTATCACTCCGCAGATCACACACACTACCTCTGGCATTCCCACAGACATTTCGCCGACACTTAATCGGGCCTACCGATTAAGGTAATATTTGCCGCTTAAGATTCGCGAGGCTAGCGAAACGCATCGATTAATGCCTCTCTGTGCTTTATGCACGGGCGAGTCTCCCGTATTATGTTTATCCACATAATTGAACTTCTCATTGAACTCGTCCCAGTCATTCCCGCCTATCGCTCTCTCAGTGCTGGTGACAGATATATCTAGTCTCTTCCTTCCGGATTTGAACCCAATGAATCTCACAAAGCCGTGTGCAGGGTGCCTGCACTGTCAATATCTGTATCGAATGCGCCAATCTCAAATCGCCGCAAAGTACTTTGGCTATTGCAAATCACTTTGACTGGATCCGTTATTTTGACAGAGGATCCGGTGCTTTGGAGGTCAATATATACCAACCCGATGGGAGGACCGATCGCCAGTATGGGTATGAGATACGGCGATTTTCTCGAAGGTTTAGGTCTGATAGGAAAGTAATAGTCTTCGAGGGCAAGTCCTATGTGTGGCGACGAGCCGAGGTTCTCAAGTATCGATAGTACGAATTTGGGATCTGGTGTTGTGTATTTGAGACCATTTTCTTCACACGAAGCATTGGATGACTATACATCTCGTGAGAACCTCTAAGCAGCCGTAGCTTACTTACCTCCTTGCCCAAATAACTTAAAGCGATCGATCGAGGAAAGCGTGATTTCGCTAATGTTCTTTAAAGCTTTGCTTCTCGTAGTGAGAGCGCGTAGACCCTAAAGTTGTATTGGACACAACAGAACTTTTTTGAACCAACTTGGAGGAAGTGAGGTCGGAAGTGGACCATCAAAGCTTCATTCAAAACTTGACTAGTGACGGATGACTCCACCTCGTGCGCACAGGTCATATCCATCTCGACACAACACCCTCCTACAAGTCCCACCGGCCCTCAGCGCCCTTACACTCCTTCAAATGTACCACTAGCTCCCGTCTGCCACAATGTCCAAATTCGAACTCCCAACAGCAACCCCATCCTCCGCCTCCGCACTCTCAACTCCGGCGGAACCCAGACAAAGCACATCATCATACAACAATTCCGACGACGACGATGACGACGACCTTCCCTACCCAACCGAACTGCCTCGCAGCGACTTCCTCTCCCCAAATTTCGACGCCTCAACATACCTATCCACAGTCGCACGAAACCGTCACCAAACTTTAGAAGACTTACGCTCAGATCTACGCCAAAGAAGCCAATTACTAAATAAAGAGCTTGTCGAATTAGTCAATGGCAACTACGAAGAATTCTTGAGTTTGGGCTCGGATTTGAGGGATGGGGAGGAGAAAGTTGAAGGTGTAAGAGTAGGAGTCTTAGGGTTTGAGAGGGAGGTTAATGGAATTAAAGCTGTTGTGAACGAGAGGAAGGAGGAAGTGAGGGGTTTGTTGGAGGAGAAGAAAGAGATTAGGAGGGAGGTCGCGTTGGGAAGGGCGTTGATTGAGGTTAGTGAGAGGTTGGGGGAGGTGGAGAGGGATTTGGGAATTACGGTTGAAGGAGATGAAGTGGACGATGAGGTCGATGACGAGGCTGAGGATGAGAGGCATGTTGTTGAGGGGTTGGAGTTGGGCAAGTTGAGGAGGTTTACGATGCAGTATTTGTTGATCGGGAAGATGGTGGAGAGGATTGGGGCTGAGCATCCGTTCCTCGTGAAACAGAGAGGTAGAATGGAGGAGATTCGCAAGACGATATTACTGGATCTTGCGGCGAGTCTCAGGCAGGCGAGGAATGAGAAGAAGTCGCAAGCAGCTTTGGCTTTGATGAAGATCTATGCGGATCTGGATGCCGAGGCGGAGAGTGTCAAGGTCCTGAAAGGCGGATGAGGCATTTTCTGCGGGACTTCGCGCTTGAACACTTAATATCAATACAATGACGGCGAATGAAGACGACTGTCTGCAGGTCTCGTGTGGCTTGGCAAACAAGATCCGGAATGGGGTCCCGATACCCTGCCAGCGCTTCCATGAACTCCACGTATATCCTCGAATAACGAGTGGCCCAGAGCCTTTGACATCGCCACATATACACAAAAACGATGGACTAGAAGAGTCCAAAAGCAAGTCATGCACAAGCGTCGGGCGCCTCGAGCACAGGGATAATGAATCTCAAAATCGCGAGACAGTTTTGCAGTGGGCGATATTTGCGCAAGTACAGTCATGTTCAGCAATCTTGGCAATCTACACAGATGTCAGGATACAGGAGAGCGTAACTCGGAGGAAAACAATTGAGTCATCATGCCTGGCGAATTCGCATTTGATGTGCCTCACAAATGATGATCAAGCATGTGAATAGCTCCTCTTTTGCGCATGGAGGTTACCCGTCTAGATCAAGTCCATATCGTTGGATGAGTACATCAAGTCAAATCCGATCCCCAAGCCTGAAGACCTCACCTCGCTGCCATCTGTCGTACGCTGTTCCGAGATCTGGAATAAGCTAGCTCATCAGACCAGCAAAAGACATTGTCGAAACGCACCGTGAACTGTCTTGTTTGATCAACCATGCGCTGTTACATTCCGGAGCCATTGCCCGGTAGTCCTAAGTTAAGTTCCGGTGTCTCATGATCCTCTGGACGATGACCGAACGTCCAGAGTACATGTCGCGGCAGACTTGTGAGAGAGAGAGACAGTCGCAAGCTGCCGCCGAGTTCAAGATCAAATGGGACGACATCATTGTTGCTTACTGCACGAGTATAGATAGTGCTGTCTACGATCTTCACATCAAGGCCTTTATCAACAAAAAGCAAATGCAATGGCTCTTTGATGAGACCACCCTGCGAGTATTTCGAGAAATCGATGCACAAGGTATAGCAGAATGGGAAGCTGATCGAAAAAAACATAGGGGCTCCAAGGACCGGAGATCTGGGAGAAAGTATATTCTGTCCTGGCTTGCGTCGTTGACGAGAGGAAACGAGAATTTTCTGTTCGATCGGATCACGCCTCAACAGGACCTTCTTTATCAAGTCCAAGAAGGGCTGAATGGACAAATGAGAATCCTAGTACCTACCATCCTCACAATTAAAAAAAAATCCCCGAGAGAAATCTAACATGGAAAAAAACCATCACATACCACAACCCCCCCCCCCAATTCCTAAATAAAAATCGGATCCAACCACCTCCCAACGACCCAAACACACCCATTCTCCACACAAACCCTCTTCTCAACCCGCGCATTCCCCGCCCGATCGCCTTTGACAGAAATATTAAACCCATCAACCGACCTCACAACCCCAGCCTTCTGATCCCAAGTCCCTAACCCATGCCCCAACAAAAACGTCGTAGCCCCGAAATTGCTCGGCTCTGCGGCTTTCTCTCCAGCAGCAGCGGGGAGAATGTCGAAAGCTGCGTTGTTGGGGGCGAGGTATACAGTCTGCTGATTCACATCAGGTGCGTTTGAACGTAGGGACAGTCGAGTCAGGAAATCGGGATAGACTTTTTCGTACAAAGAATTCAATTCCGAGAGACTGGGTTCGGAGTTTTTCAAAACTGTATCCATCGTACCAGACTGCTTCGTGATCTGTGGTAGAGAATCCGATTTCGAGGCATCGGTACCAAAATACGTGACGAATTCATCGAGGAGGTTGTCGATTTTGAAGACGGCGCCGTTGGAGGCTTGGAGACGGATGGGTTGGCCGGTTTCGTCTTTGATTAGGTTTGCTTGGTTGTGGATGGGGACGTCGGTTTTCGTGAGGCCTGGATTGCTTTGGATGCCGAAAGAGGCGTCGAATTGGATGCTGAAACCTCCGACGAATCTGATGACTTCGTTGGCGCCGATTTCTGCGTCGCCGAGTTCGCCTAGCACGATGTGGTTGCGGAGGATTGTTGAGAGGAGTTCGAATGATGAGGGTCGGATTAGGGTGTCGAGGATGGGTTTGGGGAGTTTTTTGAGGGCCTGGATTTATTTGGTTAGTCGGGAGAATTTTCAACGAAGTAGTGGCTCGACTCACTTTGTTGGTGGGCGCGAAGACTGTGTATTTCACACCAGTTGAAGGGTTGTTGAATCTCTCTTCAAATCCTGGGCCTGGTTTTCCAGATTCTCCTCCAGTACTGTTGAACAAGCGATAGAACTCCTTCAAGTCTGGATCGCTCGCGAGTGTGGTGAGGATCGGATTGGCCTCAGCTTGCGGGCGCTGCTTGACATCGACGACTTGCGGCAGGCCAGAAACGGCCCCCAGAAGACATGCTAGGAGAAGGATTCCGGTTGTCGCAGAGAGCCTGAACCGGCTGGTAAGACGAATGCTGTTCATTGTTGACACAATCCAAAAATCTCACAGCATCGCCGAATGACCAGGCTGAAGACCAGGTGGGAGAGAAAGCCCAGATTCCAGAAGGGCGACAGCGGTACTTGTACCGATGTGCCAATCAAACCTTCATCAGAAGAGGACTTCTGTGATCCCTGCTTGGCGTGAAGTTGAAGCGTCACATCTCAGGTCCTATATATACCCTTTCCCGTCGTCCTGTGTATCTTATACTTGACATTGGTACCATCCTGTGATCTGTTGCTGCTGTTCAGATGCTCCAGTTACATAGGGCGGAGCAGCAAACGGTATCGAAGCTGTCTTTACCCTGGCAACTTGCGCCATTTCAAATCTTGGTCAGAGTAATTATCCATGTCGTTCGCCACGTTCATCTCCGATCTGTCCGCCAACGGGCTAGGTAGGAGAGCCGATGTCTTCGTATTCTCTATTGTCATATGATGATGCTGCAAACAAACGAACAACATGTTCTCTATTCTGCTAGTCCACGCATGTCAGTGTCAAGGTAAAATGTGCTTGTAGGCGGCTACGCGTGCCTACTAAGTGCGAGCGAAGCTTTCGTACTCCGCCGAGCTAATAGGATAGCGCCGTCGTTATCGTATTAATTGCTTTTGCTAGCGTATTCTTACAAAGACTTTATTAATCGAGAAGGCAAGCTATTAGTATCTATAGAGCAACTTAGGCTAAACGGGCGTCTTAGTAAAGCTATTAGTATCTATAGAGCAACTTAGGCTAAACGGGCGTGTTAGTAAGCGTCGTACTAACTGCATAATCGCCGTAAGCGATTACGATTATAAGCGGCAAGCCGCTTATAATCGCGATCTGTGCTTACGGCTCTATAGTAGCTAGCCTAAGTAAAGCGAACAAAGCGATATAGGGTTGTATTCTTCTTATAGCTCGGGGCTATAGATCACTCATTACTACTAAAGTCTTCCTCTTCATTACTATCTAGGAAATCCTACGTACCTATCAAAACAGAAGCAGCTAGACCGAAGACCTATAGGGCTAGTATAGCGCCTGCCTACACGTTAGCTACATACTAGCGTTAGAATGCCGTAAGAGCCTCCTCGCGTTAGACCTACTCTTCTGCTTCCTACTAAAGCCGTCTATTCTTAAGAACCTTACGGCGTTCGGCTTCGATAGAGATATACCTATCCTAAAGCCCCTAATTAAAAGCAGCTAAAAAGTTACTAGGCTATAGAAGTTCCTTTTACTATATCCGACGTGCTAGGACCTAAGCCCTATCGTCGATATTATCGTAAATGATCTAAAGATAGCGACGGCGTATAGACTTGTAGTATTAATCGAGGTTGTACGTATACGGAAGGAGTATCTTACTATATAGGGAGAAGATAATGTATTCGACAGTAAGCGGACTACAACTATAAGGGTTAGGCTGCTATATAACATCGTTATCCGGAGTCTCAATATGCGTCTAGTTGCCTAGTTATAGCTAGCTAGCATCCTTTGCATATAGAAAGCAAGATAGTAGATTAGTAAGGGTAAGAATGAATTGACCTCTAAGAGGGCCGATAGTGCGCTTGCTATCTAGACTACCCTAGGTATTCTATGTACGTATAATAGCTGCAGTTGGATCGGCTTCGGCGGTAACAAAGTAGGAAGCAGAGAAAGATACGGCGGCGATAGGCCTAGTTGCTATAAAGCTAAGCTGTCTAAGGTGTAAGAGCAGCGAATTAGTAGTATACTAGTGCTGTTAGCGAGTGTCTTTAGTCTTATATGCGTCCTACTAGTCCTCGGAGATAACCTTATTATTAGATGCAACTAGGAAGCCAAACTCCTTAACAACCTTAGTCGCTATACGGAATATGTCGATTGCCTACTTTATACCGTATATAATCTTATTGTACTATACCGACTCTTAGTCTTTATACATTAGAGATATAAACTAGCGCCCTATAAGAGGACGGGCGTTTAGACGTACGAGTCGATCGATATCTTCTACTAAATACTAAGCAAGGTTATAATCCTTATCGCCTAGCTTAGGATATAAAGCTATACGGATATAGGACTTAAAGGAGAGAGGAAGCGAGGCTTGCTACTAGGCTCGCTATTTGAATAGAAATTGGACGTTTAGGTCTACGCTTAGGGGATAGTTGCCGTAGACACCGTCTTTGCTAAATTCTATAGTAAGATTAGCAATGTCGTATATCGGATAATCGGTAGGGTACTTCTCTATAGCATCTATACACTCCTTCCGATTGATAGTAGCCTCTCGTTCTAAGGAATAGAGTGCCTCTATTCTAAACACCTACTAGAATACAGAGTCTGCTTCCTAGTCCTTAGTAAAGATACTAGAGCGATATAACTGAGAATAGAAGGACGAGGCAAGGCTTAGAACCTCCTGCGATCGTTCATCGAGGTCCTTATTAGAAAGTGCAAGCTCCTTCTTTACACGACGAGAGGCAATAGTAGCTAGTTCGGCGTCGTCGATATCGACAGCTTAAGTCTGTTGCTGCATTTGTAACTCTTAAAGCTGTTGCTATAGTTGTAGGTCTTAAAGTTGTCCCTAGATGTATAGCTCTTAAAGTTGTTACTGCATCTATCGCTCTTAGTCCTATAGCTAACGTACAAAGAGATAGTTGTCTAGTACTGCCTAATACTAACGCTGCACGTAGGTACGATGCTAACTATATCGAGGTACGGGACCAATCTTAGAAGGAAGAAACACAAAGCTAGACCCGAGTAGGTAGCCTAAATTTTCGCGCTCTAGGTTAGCTATAGTACTAGCTTCTTAGTCGTTAATGTCTATATCTTCGGAAGTAGGAAGGGCTACGTCTGTAGGTTGTTTAGTAGCCTGTAGATCGGAGGTTAGATGCTAGTCCGTAGCGGGTCGTCTAGTAGTACCGAAGATATTAAGGATAGCATTAGAAAAGCTACTAAAGTCGAATATACGAGAGCTCGGAAGTGGTAATGCCGCTGGCTCTAGTAGAAGCTGACTACGACGGCGTTCTTTATCTATTGCTCGCATTCTAGGTATAGCACCCTTAGTCAATTCTTTCGTAAGCTAATTATAATCGAAGGCCCCTTCGATTATAAGGCTACGATAGTCTCGAACGCGAGAAAATGCGATATAGGTCAACCCCGAGGAGAACTCGGGCCCTATCCGAATTACGGCCTTATTAAGCGACATCCCTTAAGCCTTATACACCGTTATCGTATAACAAACGGTAACTAGAAATTGTAAACGCTAGTCATTGTTACTGCTATTAACGGCCCGCTAGATACGAAAGATAGGTACGACTTTGCGGTTGTTAATCCGAAAGAGCTTAAGTACATTCTCCTTAAGACCGTTAAATGCTACTAGAAGACAGAGAGGTAGCTCCTTACGGAGGTTCTTCCCTACTGCATCCTATACCTAAACAATGTCGTATAGAATGCCTTGCCGACTATTAACGAGACTAAACTCAGTCTACAAGTTAGTTAAAAGCATAAGCTTACAACCAATGCTAACCTTTAGCTTAGTCTCAAGGTTGTGAACATTCTTTAAACTAATAGTCGCGACTTCGGGACGATTATAGGAGGCATATATAGGTAGAACAGCGTTACTAATGTCCCGGAGCCGCTAATAATTGAGGTCGTTAACATTAGCGTTAGTAAAGTATAGGCGGGGGGCATTATCGAAGGATGTAACCTCTACAATATTAAGATTCGAAGTAGAACGCCTTATAAGGGTTTGCTAATAGTCCTTGCCGAATCGTCCGATACGTAGTGCTTACGAGTGCCTCCCCGAAAGCAACCTGATCCGGATTAGCGCCCTCCTGTCGCATATTAGCTTTAAGGACAAGGGTCTTGTTGAATGTATAGTATATAGCTTATATAGAAATACCCTTAACGCCTTTAGGTCGACTCTAAAACAATAGCTGTATAAAGACCGGAGCTAGTTAACAGAAATCACTAAATATAAGAATACTTATGCCTCTAAATAGAAGATCTTAGTTTATAGGGAATACCTAGCGAAGTCTTGCATCTAGGAAGTGCAGAAGCTTAAGGCCGATTATTGACTTCTCGTCGATAATAATGTACTATATAGACCGGAACTGGTTCTATATATACGTAAGGCGTGTACCTTATAGCTAGTTAAGGGAGCCGCGGACTAGAAGCTTAAAGGCAGAATGCAATGTTAAGCCGTCGATATTAGTAGCCGCTATTCCGGTTAGTGCTGCTCGTATAATGGGATTGCCCTAGTAATAGGCGGCTTTCGCATTAGCCTAAAGGCGTATACAGAGCATCTAAATTAGGAACGACTTGCTAGTTCCTCCTACGCTATCGATATTGAGAAGTAACTAAGCGGGAGCAGTATTAACTGCTCGATCCCGATACTAAAGAAGGTAGTTAAAGTAGTCGACTACTAGGTTAAAGCCCTAGCGCTAGTAGCGATTAAGGCGCTTAAACTAAGCCGTAGATTGAGATTGAACCTCTATATCGACGACGCCGTAGTCTCGCTTCTTTGCCTACTACCAATCCTAAGAGGTATCGTAAAGCTTAGGATAGCTATTTAGGTATTTCCTAATGCGTGGCTCCTAATATGCGGCTCTATTAACGTTACGGTTACTAAGGTTGTTTGGATCCTCGTCCTAGATACTAGGATTCTATAAAGGACTATAAAGTGCATCGAAGTTAGCCGGTTTACTAAGGTTCTAAAGCTCCGGGTCGACAAAGGGATCGTTATCCGTACGGTCGATGTCTTAAAGGTAATCGTTAGGATGTATAGAATAGCTATCCTTATCGACATAGTTCTAATAGTAGTGCTATAGAGCGGCGGCCTAGGAGGTGAATTGTAGATTAGGCTTATTAGGGAAAGAGTATAGTGTCTCGATAGAACACTATAGCAACTCGCGGAAACGATAGTATACCTAGATCTTTATACGCTAATAATTAACAAAGCTAGGCTTCGCAGGATTAGACGTATAGCGCGGGAAGTAGTTAAGGAGCCGCCGATTACGGGCGACGTTTCGAAGCTTACGAGGCGGACCGCTTCGTTATAGGTTCTAGTCTAATAAGTACTTGAATAGACTCTC